TAAAACACCTTTTGCCGCCTTCGCTAGGGGGTTCCTCTCTTGCATCGCTTCAAACCTCTCCGTTGTCCAGTGGAAGTGTTGCATGGCACTGCCCGCCATATCCAGGTTCTCCTTAGGAAACAGGATATATATCGACGCCATGAGCACCACTGCATCAAAACTGCCGAAGAACAGCGAGAAACTAGACGCGTTTGTCAGCCAAGCCCGATCGTGCCACGCACAAGACCTACTTTCGCCACGACCCAGCATCAAGGCCCTGGAACGTAAGCATCTGACGGTGCAGCATTTCAATGCTGGCCTTGAGCGCCTCTGTTCGACTCTTCTGCCGGTTGAAGATGTAGGGTCGGTGCAGCGCCATCAGATTGAATAGGTTCATCTGTGGCAGATAGAATCGCACCGACTGCAGCCAGGAGCACGAAGGGTCATCATCCCACTTTCTGTCAGGATTCTCCAGGCGGAAGTATGCAGGCGTTGCCTCGTCGAGTTCCATGCATATTTGGTGCACCCGGTCGACCTTGGAATAGTCTTTTGGACACGGGCCGTCGTGCTCCAGCTCCAGAATCTCGCGCATTGGGCCGACGAGCTTGAAAGCCCATATGCTTTTGGTCAACGGGGTTGGAGGGTCTCTTTCGTCATCCCTCGGCGCAATGGGCGTCTTGCGGCGGTCCTTTGGCGGGGGCGCGTCCATCGGTAGACTTGGCGGGAGTATACGCCAGTCTATACTGCCAGGACGTCCTAGCACAAGCGCACAGTGGATGTCCCTGGTCGGTGTCAGCCGAGTCATGCGTGGCCATCCTTGCCGTCCGGCAATTGCTCACCATGTCATGAGGACCATGTAAAGCTTTCTTCTCCGCTGAATCAGCCACATGTTCTCGAGCATATCTCCCGTGTCATCACTGGCTGGGGAAGGATCCAGGCTATCCCGGTGCATGCCAATCTCTTGAGCATCTCGAATGGCGCTACCAATGGCATGCCACTGCACTGATCATTAGCTTTTTTGATAGCCTTGAGCTACGCACGAGGGTTCACCCACCGACTCCGTAACCTTGGCCATGTACTTGAGAAATGCAGCTCGAAGAAAGTCGGCCTGGACTGTCGTGAGAGTGATTTGCCGCTTACCAAGCAGTGACAAAATGCCGACGCCAGACTCGCTGTAGTCCGCGGCGAGGTCCTCGAATGTCATGTTCCCGGCATACTTGAGGTGATCGTAGAAGTCTTGCGACCCTTCAGGGAGGGTCAACAAGGCCGTCGCCAATACCTGGAAGAGCAACGCAGGAAACACTCGCAGATCGGGCGAGAGTGCCTGTGGTCCAGAGTTGGACAGCACGCTGAAGGGAATGTTGGACCACTCGGCAAATTGTTCTTTGAAGAGATCCTCCTCAAGAGCAAAGTACTGGTGGTTGAACTCGTGAAAGTAGACATCGATGAGCTTTTCGATGTAGCCCTTTGCCGGCAGCTGTCTGATCAGGGACTTGTACCGCTCCTTTGTCGCGAACTGGTCTTCCATGTGAGCTGCGCCGCCGAGATGCGACAAGTGCCCGTCACCGTTGGCGCTTTCGATTTTCCTCATCAGACCGAGCGTAGAAGCTCCAGCTTGAGAGTAGCCCCAGTTCGCAGCGGCATTGGAGAGGCTCTGGACATGTGTCGACCTCGCGCCTTCGCCGTCCGTCTTGCGATTGTCCTTTGCCGTGGGCGCGCCGGTTTCATACTTGCAAGCATCCTGTTTGTTGCGCGACTTGCAGTTGGCGCATGGGAGGTCTCGGTCGCACTGCGCACAAAAACACGTCAGCTACAAATTGCAAAGGTGGGCGGCAAGTGTTGCGGCAAGGCAGAAATGAACCAACCTTTTGCTTCCGCCGGTGGCATTCCGTGCAGGATATCACCACCCGTCTGCGCTTCTTGGGCGGTGGTCGGGTGTCCTGCGTCTGGTTCTGCAATTGGGCCGGTGGTTGGGTTGGACTCATGCTAGAGTTCTGACCATCCCGCGCCGAGGTTGGTTTCTCGGAGTTGTCACGCCGGTCGGAGGCCATGGTCGGCCGTGTAATGCGTGTGTAGGGTGAACCCTTTGCAGGCGTGGTTGTTGAGAGGATTATCGTGGGCGCACACGCTGGGAACGGCACGGCTTTCTCGACTTGTCGGCGCCGTCGCCGCCTCGGGGGTTTGATCGTGTCAGTCGTTCAGGTTATTCGGTCCGCGAGCTCGGCACGTGGAGTTGATCGAGTTGACGGGTGTCTGAGTATTCGCAGAGTCGCGCAGACAGGCGCAAGGCCGGGAATGGGACAAAGGACAAGCAGAACAAGAAAAAAAACCAGCTAATTCGGCCTCGGTCGTAATTCCTCGTGGTGATAGCGGCCGGAGAAGATGGAGGGATGATTACGGAAGCAGAAAGGTGGAAAAAGTTGAAAAAACAGGACCCGCCCACGATCAATCTGTGACTCTCGTCGGCGAGCGAAGCAGATGTCGCCTCCCACTGACTGACACTGTGTGGGAGATGAGTAGACTGGTACGGATAGGCAGGGCACACACCAGTAAGAAGGAGCTACTACTGTGTAGACAGTTGGAGTAGGTATTCGTAGAATCGTAGATCAGGGCTGGGAAAGATGTTGGTGAGCGCACCTATTCGTAAATATGGGCAACGGGGGTCCAGAAGTGGCAGGCGCTCGCTCTTCCCTTGACTTCTCACACTTCTCACGCGCTTCTCACCCAACTTGCTGCAAGCACCTGGCGTTGGCAGGCCGCAGTTGCGCTCCTCCTCTGCGGCAAGGCATGTGGTGGCCGGCGGTCGACTGTGGGGCCGGGAGTTGATCCTGGCTCTCCAGTCTTTTTTCTGCCCTTTCCTGGCAAGGTGTGCTCCGTAGAATGGGCAGGATACCTATCCCTGGAGCTCGGGGATAGAAAAAAAAAATAAGAAACTCCCGTCGTCAAAGGGCCTTTTTGAAATCCCCATACTTTCCTTACACGTCCGGCCGGCACTGGGATATGGTGGTGTCCATCCGTAAGTTTGGTCGGTACATTTGCCTTACTTTGCGTGCTTAGTGCCATCCGGATACAACACAAAGCCCATCAAACATCATCAGATCCATTCCAGCATCCAACCACCCACCCCCCCCCCATCATACTCTGACGACACCGACGGAACGAACGGCCGGCCCAAGGTCACGGCACGCAACAATGCTCCGAAGCCAGCTAGCTGCTGTTTCTGTGGTTTGCTGACCTGCAGCTCTCCCTGTCCCATTGCATCGCCCAAGCTTTCAGGCCTTGCAACTCCTTCGCCGACATGGATAACCCCTCCCCTCAAACGTTCACGCTCTCTTCCCACCATGCTGTTGGAACTTGGATCGGCAGCTCTTGGTCACATTGAGATGTGCACAACAGACACCCCAGGGCCCGGGCAGCCAGAAGGACGGCAGTTTCCTCCGGCTCCTTTACACACAGACTCTGCGGATCATGGCGGTAGAAGCGTTCCGCACCGTTCGCGTTTGCCCAGGCAGGCGGTAGTTAGGCAGGAATTCAGGAGTTCAGGGACTGAGTTGAAGCATCGTCTTCTGCGGGCCCGCGCCTTCGGGGACAAGAAGTAGGGGAGCACTAGAGCTGCGCAAAAGACACTAAGAAACACTCCCACGGCGTGGAGGGGCAAGGCCGGCAGCCTGCCGACAGGGGCACGGCGCGCCGAAAAGATGATGAGATCTCATCCCACGGCTCGCGTCCCACGTCCCACGTCCCACGTCCCACGTCCACACCTCACGGCCGTTGCCTCGTGGATCTGTCGCACTAATGCCTTCATAGCAGCGTCGGCGTCGTCTGGAAGTCAGGACGACTTGAGGCAAGCGGTGCGCTACTCTCTATTCGTAGGTAGGAACGTTCGGCCATGTGCTTGTTTGTGTGTGTGTGCGTGTAAGATCACCGGCTGCCCCCTTGCTTGATCTACTGCGCGTGGCAACGGTGCACTGCTCAGCTTTAAATTTACCATCTTTGGGGAAAATAGCCTTCTTGCATCTCGCACCTCACCTCGACTTGGAGAGAACATGTCGCATCCTGGGGACCCTTGCTCGCCGACCCGTCCCCCTCTTCCTCTACCTACGGAGAGTCTCTTTCTACCTTTCAACCATGCAAATAGTCTTCTGCGGCTGCCTCAGACGGTAGATACTATGTACGGTACTAGATGGGACCTTGCCCCACTTCTTCCTCATCGGCTTTAGAACTTTTTGCCCATTGTCCGCCAAAGTCCGTTGTCCAATCGCCTACAGCAGATTCCCTCATTCTCTCCCCCCCACCCTTCCCTGCCCGTGCCATGTTTTGTCGTGACATGCCTGGATGCCACATGCCACACTCCATGCCGTCGAGAACCTACTTCTCCGTCAGCTTGTCGCGCATTAAGCTATAGAGGGCGATCAAGGGTAGTTCAGGTACATGCTTTTGAATAGCCGATAACCGACATCTTGACTGGATCTGATCGAAACCAAGTCAGAACGAGCGACTCAGAACAGCAGCCAGCCATTCAGTAAACCGCTGCCACACCTTAGAGGATCGGTGGATGGATGCGCGGGCGAGTGCTCACGATCCAGAGGGTATGCAGAAGACTTGGAGATCAAGGCAGGGCATAAAGAGGTAATAGACGTGGCAGAGATTGTCATTTCAATGATATATAAACTGCAACTGTCCGCATGTAAGTACTGTGCTTGTAGAATCCGCCCAAAATCAACGCCGATCCCTTTTTTTTATTTTGAACCCGTCTCCGGGTCACCGAGTCCCCGTCTAAGATATCGCCCCAGTGCCGAGTCCGAGCCCCATCCTCTACGACAAGAATACCATTGGAGACCGAATATGCATGATTCGGCAGCAGCACCCTGAGAATAGTGTTTAAAAGTTCCCGACGATGGTACGAGTGGAAAAAACGACAGAAAAAACACGCCTGGGTATTGACTATGGGGGGTGTGTGTGCGTGTGCGTGGGTGTGGTTGTGGGTGGTGGACGTGATGGACGTGTGATGGACGAGCCGCTTATGCCACCCGAGAGAGATACGCCTTCCAGGCCTTCCTGCGGTATCTCTCAGCCTCCGATTGAGGGTCACCCGCCTTCAGGATACCACGTCCGACGATGACGACATCAGTGCCGCATAGCTCTATAAGTTTCTGAGGCGTGTTGTACTGCTGTCCCTTTCCGTCACCGGCGACGGAGCCGTTCTCCTCGTCACCTTCAGGGGGCAGCTGGCATCCAGGCGTCATATGAATGAAGGAGTCCTCCGGCTCGGTGTTGAGGCTCTCTTGGGACACGAAGCCCATGACGAAGTTCTTGTTCTCCCTGGCCGCGTCGACGCAAGCTTGGGTGTATTCCTTGTTCATAAAGTTGCCTGCACTCGACATTTGCGCCAGAATGAGAAGACCGCGGTCCATGGGGGCCTCCTCGATACCGGCGTACAGGACCTCGTCAGAGCTATGGGACTCGTTTCTCGGGAATCGAGGTGACGGCGCGGGCTCGAAGTGTTGAGTAAGTGTGGTGATGGAGACAATGCTGCCCTTGCGTCCGTTGACATCAGATGGTCGTGGAGTGCCAATAGTGTGCTCGTGAGCATCATCGTTGTTGTCTTCGTCGTATTCATCAAAGCTTTCGGACCTTGGGGTTCCGACTGTGACCGACGTCTTGACCTCGTATGGGTACCTTTCGCGCCATCGCGCGGCGGCTTCGGCGAGAGCTGTGACAGCGGCCTTGCCCGGAACCATATTGACGTTTGTAATATGAGCCCATTCGATTATCCTTGCCGATCCCGCGACGTACTGCATCTGGACCGTGTTGCCAATGTCACCGAATTTGCGGTCCTCGAAAATCAGGAAGCCATGTTTACGAGCTATCGCGGCAAGTTTAGCGCCGGTACCGGTCTGGGGATTGAAGTCCCATCCGGAGACGATGTCGTGGTGCGTCTTGAGTACAACAATGGAAGGTCCGACCTTATCAGCCAGGTAAAGTAATTCTCGTGCGGTCGGAACGTCGGCGCTGAGGCAGAGGTTCGATGCCTTTAAGTCCATCAATCGGAGGAGGTAGGCTGTAAGCGGATGGCTGGCCGACTCGGCGCGGCTGGCGAAGGTCGCCCTCAAAGTACCGTGAGAGGTCATCCTAGCAGATATCTCTCGTAATACCACGGTCGATTATGCGTACGGGACGTGCTGCAATACCAAGACAAAGGTAGTACTGCGCAGTAGCGAGGTTGCTGATTGACGAAGGTATGGCAGTTCAGAGGATGTTGCTGGGTTGGGTGAAGTGAAGCCGATAGGGGAGGGGGGATGCTGTACAGGCAGGAGGGGGTGGATTCGGAGGTGACGAGATGGCTGAGAGGGCGCAACAGGGTTTTTGTGCGAAGACACCAGAGGGCGTTGCAATTGTTCAGTCTGGAGGTGTTCGTGCCGTGCCGGGCTTAGGCTTTGACTTGAGCTTGACTAGATCCAACGTGGGAGTGGCGTGAGGGAGAGACAGACGCGACCTGACCAGGCGATGGAGGGGAAGCAGGAAGCCAGAATAAGAAGCGTCGAGGCAGTGGCAGTGGCAGCGTAGGCTGTACTTTTTAGTGAGGACTGGAACAGATAATAAGTTAGTGAGAGTCGATGTGTGTGCCATGGGACTGTGGGGGTGCTGTTAAGATTAGATAGGTGTTGAGCGCGGCCGACTAAAAAATTGTCGGAGGGGAAAGGGGGGGGGGGGGATAGAGGGGTTCTCTCGTCCGTTCTGCATGTCCAAATCCCCGTCCAAAGGCAGGAATGGGCAGGCTTGGAGGATGGGAGGGCGTACCTCAGAGCCAAGGGAACCACTTTTTGGGGGCCGGGGCGAGAGATCCAGGAGAAACCAACAAAAAGGAAGTGCCTGGGTGGGGGGAATCCCAGGTCGAGATCAAAGGAGACGGGAGCAGAGAGGAGAGACATTGACGAGGGTGCTTTGATGGGAGCAATATCGGAGGGACCCGAGAGATGCCCGTTCTCCTAAGGCTACCGCAGTCTCGGTATACGTTCCGCACTCTGTAGCAAGTCCGACGAGTCCAATGAATCTGCATCAAAAGGCTTCTCCATCTGTAGTTTACCTCAATTTTAAAACTCCATGCCCCCTTTTCCTCGCTTCTTACACCACTCTCGTAACCTCGTAGACATCCATATAGCTCCCGCGGCATGTCAATACCGTCATCTAGCTTGAACTCTCTGGCTACAGAGTCCCGCTGACACATTCTTGCTGATCGGAATCGGACTGGCCAGGGACACCGCCGTTCTTGGCCGGCCTGGAAGATCCCGACATATCCCAGTCGGTACAGAATACCCTGAATCGACCACGGCAAGAGACGCCTGGCATTGTTAGGCAGTATACTCGTACAGAGTACGGATACACAATACGGTACAGGCTAATTAGCTGTGCAGTAGTGTAGAGCCGTCGAACGAACCATGCCGACCTTCCATGTAGCATCCCGGCAACCGGACCTGTCCATGCCACCGCCAATGCCAAACCAAGGGACTAACTTCTTCCAGGCATGCGGATAGACTACGTCGCCGACGCTCAGTTGAGCGAATGATTCAATACATAGCCGACTTCATCTCCCATCTTCTTTCTCACCGCGGAGGCGCGGAGGTTCGAGAGGCCGCTAACCACAGAAACATACACCTCCAACAAAGTATGCCACGGAAGCCAATCCAAAAGGAAAAACTGAAGAAACGGCAGACCTTTGGCCGCAGCATCCCGCGACGGCAGCATGCCTGAGTCGATCCCCATAGGCAGAGCGACGCGGGCGACCAGATGAGATGGGCTCGAACCCACCTTTTGCACGTTCTGGAACAGACCAGACGTCCGGGAAAAGTATCTTTCTTTCCCCGATCAGACCCTGCAAATGTGACGTGTAGCCCTGCGGACAAGGGTTTTTATTTCTTTTGATGTGTCTACACTATACATGCCGATGGAACTGTGGCCGAAGACAGCAACCACCAGCTGCGCAGGACCAGCGCAGCTAACAGGCGGTGGTGTCGTAGAACGGAAACCATGTGTGTAGTGGCCGCACCAATCCGGTGTCTTCAAATGCTTTGCTATGCTTTGTGTTGCGTTGAGCGACAGGGCAATTCTGTCAATCGTCCTGTCGGCCCGTCGCAAAAGATGGACGGAAGCGCAGAGTATCCGCATAGACTGAGAAGTGTTGGGTGTGGTGGACCACAGGAAAGCATCCTGGGGCACGAAGAGGCAATCCTGAGCTGTACCCCGTCATCAATATCTGTGTATCGTCGATGAGAGACAGAGGCCGGCCGAGCTCGACTGTAGTGACCCGGAGGACTGGGTGGTTCATGGTGTGGCCGCAGCCGTCGAAATCCGAAGCCGGAAGCGGCAACACCGTCTCATGCGGTGAGGCCGCCGCGGCCGCCTCCAGAACCACGCGACGGTGAAGGCTGCGGGCCCGAAGCTGTAGGTGAGCCTGGTGAAGTAGGCTTCTCTTCTTCATACGTACCCATAGCTGCTTTGTTAGCCTATCAAGTCCAGGCGGCTGGGCAAAATCGTGCCATGCCCCCGGGTCTTCGTCCCACCAAGTAAGGCATTCTCGCGCCATTTTGCGAGGGAGAGGCGGGAAGTCCGATGAACCAAAGAACGGTGTGTGCTTCTTCCCCGCAACCATGCTACCTTCCGCCGGGAGCCCTGGGCCTCGTTCCCTTTTCAGACTTAGCCCAACGGCTTCTGCCGACGGTAGCGCAGAAATGCCGAACCCATGGTCGGTCTTGTCAAGTTGTCATATACATGTAAGTCGACGACGGCGAAGCTGGCTCTCGAAACGTATGCGCAATGATCAAGCCGATGGAGACGGCCTTGGCGAGTCCCCGACTTGCTCAATAAATATGGACCGTCCGCCAGAACTGCGGTATCTTGCTGCCACTTGGCGAGCTGCATCAATCTGCCACCCAAAGAAGCGACATTTTCGGGTCCCATGATCGGCAACCATCCGGCGATGATGTTGGGCTGAAGGGCCATAGTGTCGGGACTCTTCTTTGATCTTAATAAAAAGCCCGGCAGCATACGGTTCGTTTTGTGCATCCACTCGGACTGGAACTGACAGCCAAGGCTCATAAGCCCAGCCAGCGGCTCGGATAGCAGAATGGACTTGTGGTTGAGCTGTCGGTCAGACCAAACAAAGTCAAAGCGTAATCAAGGGAAGTACAGATTCGAGAGATGGCGACATTTTAGCAGCGGAATTTCTATCCAATACTTGTTTCAGCAAAATGCATATGCGACCATTTAGGAATATTGCTGTTAATTGTATCTTGAAGATACGTCCATGGTGGGGCACATTACCTACCAGCCAATACGAATGCGGGGTGCTAATGAGAAGACAAGAGAGATGGCGGGGCGGTGCAAGACTCGCAATAGAGAGAGAGAGAATACGCATGTTTGAGACAAGTAGCGACAGGGAATATGTCAAGAAGTCGAGAAGCCAGAATTGGCTCAGAAGTGCCGTGAGTCCCGTGAGTGCCTGGCTATCTCAGTACGGCATGTAGTTGAGATAGGAAAACCCAAGAAATGCAGGCACCTACCTTAGGTAGGTGCCTGCCTGCCTGTTGGCGTTATCTTGCAGCAGCGCAAGTGCGCATCGCAAGCGACTTTTGCTCTTGCATTTTGCGGTCGCGTAAGTACTAAGGCCCAGGGTTGCCTCGTCGCTGCCATCGTTGTTGTCGTCATTGTTGTTGAATATCGTGGAAGATTGAGAGGGGTTTGGGAATCGACGCATTTGTCTATCATGCCTCCAAACATGCACACGCCCAGTGGTACTTGGAAGCCATGGAGAGAAAGAGGGAATGTAGGCTACCTAGTAGACCATCTCACCAGGTGGCCAGTGACGAAAGGAGTGCGTATTCTTCAGTTGCCTGCATCGACAAGAGCCGTCCTGAAGTTCCAAGGTTGTGTCTTAGCCTTTTCCTTATCGTGCGTTGGGTGCCAGTGTACCTACCTAGGTAATAACGCTCAGTGTCGTTAGCTAAAGTCATATGCCCCTCGTATCTCGGCGCTCTCAACTTGCTCTTCCCTTTCGACATTGAGAAACATTGAACCTGGATACTGTGTAATACAGTATTATTCCTGCAACAAGAACTCTTTCTCGTCTGCGTCAAGAAGATAATGTAAATACACGCGAGATTAAGAAGCGAGGCAACAATTGCCTTCCTAGGTTCCGCGTCAACTGAATCGCCTCCAGGTGTCTTATCTCCTATCCTGCATCGTCTTATCGCTGCTAGATTCAAAAGCCTGCTACCTTAGCTGGACCTTTTCGGGTAGGTCGAACCTGGCAGTGCAGAAGGTCAGGTAGATACCTACGAATAGCAGCCTACGTGCCCTAGGAACCTTAAGACATGTAGGTCCGCGGTGCCTTCTAACCCTTGTCACGGAAGAGTCAACTAGCGAAAATGGCAACTGGAGTCGAGAGAGTGTGCCCACTGCCGATCCGGAACACCTGTGAGATACGTAAGACTGGCCAAAACAGCGGGTGCTACCTACGTAAGGCAAGGCATCTCAAGGTAGGCAAAGCCGGGCGGGCATGGCGCGGAAGCGCAAAGGACCCGCCTCGTGAGGTACCTCCCTGTAGAATCAGAGGGAAAGAGATACCTTACGCGGTGGTCGCCGGTGGAAACGTATCTTGTGAGACCAGAAGAGAAAGGAGAAGCCAAGCACGATAGCGTGCCGTACGCTGTCGCTTGGGGTCGAATTGACACCGGCTAAGGTTGCTCAAGCTGAGAAAGCAGGCCCTCGAACAATTTCAACCCACCACTCCGAAAGTACCATCCGATCCCACATCAGCACAGGCATCCAATCTGCTATCTGTACCATTTATTGCTGCTGCTGCTGCTGCTGCCTCTCTCACGCTCCTTTCCCTTCCACCACCAAACTATCCTCCACGTGTCGCCTGCCCGTCAAACCTTTTCAACATCCTTTGCGCGAACCGACGTCCTCTTCGATATCCCATCTCCGTAACGTTGGCTGGCAATCCTGCACCCATCTCCATCCCTTGCCTTGGGCGACAAATCCTGTCATTGGGAGCCACTTATCGATCATCCGTGTAACATCCGCTTGAACACCGGCTGCCTCGGTCGCCTCATCCACGCCGTTTAAAAGCTCTTCGTGCCCCATTATTCGACTATTCAACCTCGCCCATCTGCTGAGCTACAACCTCTAAACACTCATCACCATGTCGGTCCGACAAACGAGGCGTCAAGCCGCTCAGGCCGCCGCCGCGGAATTATCCAAAGTTACGAGCAACGGACCAGCTGACCAGGTCGCGATGAACGGCAACGGCAACGGCAACGGAGCTTCAGTAACGGAAGCTTCGGAGGATGGACCTAAGGAGAACATCTTCCTGTTCTGGCCCAATATCATCGGTAAATCTACCTGGCAAGCTGCAGACCTGCCAGCATATCGCTAACAAGTGTCCCGTTACAGGCTACTCGCGCATCGTGCTCGCCATCGCCTCCCTCTACTACATGCCCCTCCACCCGCGAACCTGCTCCCTGCTGTACAGCGTGTCCTGTCTCCTGGATGCTCTCGATGGATACGCAGCCCGTGCTTTCGAGCAATCCACGCGCTTCGGCGCCGTCCTCGACATGGTCACCGACAGATGCACAACATCGTGCCTGCTGGTGTTCCTGTCCTGCGCGTTCCCTCGCTGGACTATCGTTTTCCAGATGCTCCTCTCACTCGACTTCTCCAGCCACTATATTCACATGTATACCACTCTCACTATGGCGGGCTCCGAGAGCAGCCACAAAAATGTTGACGAGAGCCGCAGCTGGATCCTGCACTTGTACTACACCAACAAGGTGCGTTATACCTCGAACCGCAATGAAACAAAAACATTGAGCTGACATCAGTCCCTACAGACCGTCCTCTTCATCTTCTGCGCCCTGAACGAACTCTTCTTCATTGCGCTCTACCTCCTTTCCTTCTCCTCGCCGCTTCTTTCGCCCTCCCTCCTCAGCTCTGTCTCCAACTCAGAGGCAATGCAGATTCAAGCCGGAGCGCAGGTCAACACGTCGCTGCTCAGCCATATCTTCCCGAATCCCTACAGCGCCGCGGCTCTCGAGCTCGCCCGTGCGAATAAGATGGACTCGTTCTGGCCATGGGTTCTCACCGCGATCAGCTTCCCCGTCATGGCCATGAAGCAGTTCATCAACGTTGTGCAAATCGTCAAAGCGAGCAAATGGCTCGCTGAAGGTGATATCGCCCTGAGGAAGGCGCAGGGCTTGCCTAGAAAGAAGTCCAAGAGCACCTAAGTTCATAAGCGAGTGGCGCTGAGCACAGTCGCACCGCTGGACGTCTTATCTGCCGACAAGGGAGCTCGCGTGCCAGAGAGCACTTACTATGTCACGAATGATCTGGAAAGGCAGCTGCACTAGCAACGAGTCTAGGTCAACACACCGGAAAAGCCGTGTCGCCGGCGACTGGGAAGGTGCTTAGAACAGAATAAATTCAGGAGCTCCAGTATAAGACCGTGTACTTTCGATTATTTCGGAGCACGGCGACGAGCAGAGATTCCTTTGGTATGGAACATTTAATGGCACCAGGTGCATTTTCACATGTCCGGCTATGAATGCCGAGAGCAACCATGTAGGAGAGGCAAGAAACGAGAGTCTGGACCGAGTGCCAGATTCAGGAGTCTGGAGTCTTGTCGTTCACATTATTCAATTTCTTTCACACATTAGACTAATTGATGTTTCATCTACTCATGAACTCGCGCCCACGAGCTCCCATCAAGGTCTCCACCAAATATTTCGTCAAAGGAGACGTCGCCGCGCTATACTGCTACTCCTGCCGCCAACGTGAGAGAGCCACTGGACGCTTCGGTGACAACTTCGCTCAGCTTCTTCTTAAAGCTTGACCCATAGACTCACTCGCCCATTCGAAATTGTAGCATGCCATATCCGTACATTTCGCATACAATTCACCATCAAGCGTGACTTATACCCGACCCGCCGGGTCCGGCTCCGACCATGATTGGCTCATTTTGATAATTTCCGGCAGCGTGCTCCACTCCGACCGCCACGCCCGGCGCCGGAGCCGTGTACCCGGACTCGGAGGGACCGTCTGGCGTCTTTGCCAAGCCATACCATGCAACCGTCAATATGCCGAGAATGCCGGTGACACAGCTGAAGACGAGAGCGACGATTCCTCTCGAGGTGAAGCTGGATTTTCCCTTTTGTCAGTACACGCAAAAACTTGCATGGTTTCATTTGGGGATTGACTTACCCATCCGGAAGACGCGATGGTGGGGTGTTCTGTCCGCTCAGGTCCAGGAAGTCCTTGGTATTCGCCGCGGCGTTGCCGACTGTGGGAACATTGCCTGCTGCACAGACATCCAGGTGACTCTGAGGGATTTTGAGATCCTTTTGGAGATCCAACGGCGCCTCGACAAAGGTTGCCAGCAGACCGGACGAGACGTGCCACTCAATGTGGCAGTGGAACAGCCAGACGCCTAATTTTGATGACTGTCAGAAAAGGGATGGTGGTTCTGGGAGGGCGAGCAAGGGACCAACTCACCAGGGTTATTCGCTCTGAAACGCAAAACGATGTTGCCGTTGGGCCAGACGACCAGAGTATCACGACGCATCGGCGTAGCAGGGAAATCCGCCTCCGTAACATTGGCATCGGCGAACGTGCCACCGTCTTCGGCGGCGCGGTATAGCGCCTGGAAGTCGTGACCGTGCAGATGGAAGGGGTGACGGCCCGTGTCAAGGTTGTTGACGACGATCTGGACGACCTCGTCGCGCTCGAGGACGAAGCTGTGCGTGTAGGTGCCGTACACCTCGGCGTTGGTCGCTGCGTTCCCGGCGGAAAGGACGGTGTAGAGGGTGGGTACTTTCGGGGACTTGTAGGTGATGTTGTTAAAGAAGGCGTAGTTTGCGCCGTCGCCCAGGTTATCCATAATGACGTCGAGCTCGACGGTCTGGGAGGGGGGTGGAAGGATGGGTTGCTTGTCGTAGGGGACCAGGGTCATGTCGTCGAAGGGGTTGAAGGTGTCGAGGATCGCTGGCGGGTCAGTGGGTTTCGAGCCGTCGTAGACGAGCCAGCCCGTGACGTTGTAGTTGAGATCATCCGGGACGGTGTCGAACAGGGTCTATTCTGGTGAGCTGGGTGTACGTGTGAGAGATGTGTCTTCGGTCTGGTGGCGACTTACAGTGTCCATGCTACCCACGATGGCAAAGTTGGACGAGGTGTCATTCCGAGTCGTTAGGAGGAAGCTGTATCTCTGAGCCGCAGAGATGTAAATCATGCTCGCTTCCGCGGGCTCCGTGTAGATGCCGTCAACCTCGACAATGGAGATGTTGTGGCCCTCAATCCAGACATACTGGCCGGCGAAGGCGGCCACGTTGACCAGCCGGAAGAGATACGTCTTGCCGGGTTGAACCGGGACTGTGAGGTTCTGTGTGTCGTTCATGAGCGCGGCCTGGGGAACGGGTTCCGCGCCCGTTGGGTTGCCCTTGCTAAGGAAGGGAGGGATAAGATCGGCCATCTGGTCGTGGTACCAGTCGGACAGAGATACGACGATTTCTTCATCGTACTTGTCTTTGAACGGCGAGCTCGGGTCGTGAATTACGAATACTTGCCGCAAGCCGTCGGGGTATTGAGACTGGGTATGGGAGTGGTACCAATACGTTCCCGGCTGGTTGATCTACGCATGACTGTCAGAAACTCACTCATCACCACCTGCGGAATGCTGTCCTCCAGGCTTAAGAGGGCTGCTCACAGTGAAGTTGTACGTGAAAGACGACCCCGGCGGAATGGCACACTGGCTGACCTGCGCCGGTCCGTCCATGTGAGTTGTGCCGTTCATGTAGAGGCCGTGGAAGTGGAGGGACGTCGACTGGTTCCCCAACTGGTTATGGACGTTGATGAGGACATTATCCCCGACGTTGGCATCGATGCGAGGAATCGGCCATTGGCCGTTGATACCGATTGTCGAGCGGTTGAAGGCGCCATCTGGGTTTGCCGTCACCCAGCCGACGTTGAAGTCATACGAAACCGTGGCAGCGTAGACCGTCTGCGCGATGGCGGAGAGGAGGGCCAAAAGGCCTAGTGTGCCTGTCATTTTCACCTTCTTCTTTTTCTGCCTCTCCTCTGCTTCAGTCTTTGCAGTCTATGATGCAGAAGAAGAAATTTCCAGGAGCGAGGCGGCGGCGGCGGAGAAGATGGGTATCGCAGTGACACGAATGACTTCTTGTGTATCCCTTCAGATGAATTGCTCCGGGGACACGCCGGAACCAAGAAGATTTCACATCGTTCGAAAGAGGGAAATGGGACTTGTACAAAGCTTCCGTTTGATTTGGGTCAGTCTGGCTTCGCTTCCACGAAACGGCAACTTCTGGCGAGGGGACCATTGCTTGCCACCCTGGCTGGGATGGCCTTTCCACTGTTCCACCGCCCTTATCACTACTCGGCCCAAGACATCTTATCAATCTGATCTTCCAATGGTGCGGCGCTGCGCCGGACACTCCTTAGCGCGCCATCATCTTATCAGATTCGACCCAAGAGACACCAGTTTTTCCACGCTAACACAAGCCACACGACCCAAGACCGCCGCGGCCAGCTGGACGAAGAAAGCGCGAGGCGATGAATAAGAGCAAGAGGAGCGGCTGGCTCGCACGGAACTCGGCATTATTCACACCACAGTGTCATTGCAGCCTGCAGTCTCTAGCCTGCAGCAAACAGAAAAGATGGGTGGGGTGGTTCCTTTTGTCCTGCCCACCTGCGATAGAGATCAACTAACCAGACACGTGCCAAGCGCCCTTGTAGCTGAGAAAAAGCTTGTCTCCCCGCGCTAAGGCGAACTCGGGCCTCGCCTGGCCTCGCTTCTGCCAAAAGTGTCCTCCGATGTGGGCGAGATGGCCTGTCAAAGAACGGCCATGACTCCATGAAAGACTCGAGAGGGGGGGTCTTTCGAATTTTTCCCTCGTTCCATTCCGTCGGCTTCCGTCGGTGCGGACAATGTGGAAATTGCTGATTGTGTTTGCCGGGATTCACGAGCGAGCTGAACAGCGATTGCTGTCATAGAAACTCAGGATGAACCGATATACAAATTGTTTTCTCGAATGGGAGGTCTCGAGGACGGAGAACTGGGTATATGGAATCTTGATCATTGAGCGTCCATTCGGGGTCGTTCAAGGGTACCATGGTCGCCAGACCTTGGCATGAAGTGGTAAGATACCGGTACCTATTATTTTCCCACCCTACTCTCCGCGGCGATCGCGATGCTATCAATGGAACTCCGCCATCGTCGTCGAGGCAAGCTAGGTGGTTCGATGGTCACCGTAGCAGTCTAGCCCGTCTTTGAACTCATCTTGGGCTTTGGCTTACATACCTCCGTACAGCATCCCACATCAAACACAATACCTCCGCAACCGCCACTTCGCTTGCTTCGTGCAGTATCAATCAACGGCGTTTTGCGTCACCGTCTTGTGGCTTCGAATCGACATTTGGGCGTCTCAGCGACGGTTCATTGAGCTGTCTTCTAAGTCAAAGATGGAAACAGAAACACCACAGTCGTCAATCTGTGTCATCCCATGTCGATCGTCAGAATCACGGGCCTCCCTCGACACATCGCCCATCAGATCACTGAGATCAGTACCTCGCCACTCGCTCGCCCGCCATGGTCCTCGCGCGTCAAACTTTCAAGGATCGTGCAATCTCGCGAGCGCAGAAGTGCCTCATGCATCCTTGTTTATTTGAGGCCCCCTGCCCTCTCCACCGACCTGCGCTAACCAGCGCGAGCTCGCCTAGGGCCCTAATGTAGGCATGCAGCTCTTCCATGCTTGCTTTATCCCCAACGCGAATCGAAAAACAGAAAACCCCAACTTGTTGCGTACTAAAGTCGACTAGAAAAAGCTTGTCATAGGGAAATGGTCTGGCTGAATGCAAAAGGAGGACTCGGCGCTGGTCTAATTGGCCCAACGCCTGGAACCGGGTTTTAGAGCTTGCACCACCTCCGTCCCACGTCCCTCGCCTCAACCTTCCCTTCGGGACTACAGTCGGCCAGAGCACCAGTCCGCCCTTTCATAAATCCTTGATTAATTACTAGCAGAAAAAGTCTGCTGATTATCGAGATATGCTTGTCCTCTCTCATTCGTCTCCGTTGCCACAAGACCAGCAGTACGGATAGGTACCCTCCCTCCTCGGGACATCGGCTAGGCCCAACGATTATCTGATTTGATTTTATCAGATCTGGCTGGGTCTGTGTTTCCTTCTCCTCGCCTTCACGTTTGTTAGACAAAAGTCTGTCTCCTCTTCTTTCTCTTCGCTACCCGAAGTTGTGACAGACAACGACATACGTCTTCGCAGTCCTCACAGGTGCAGAAATGACCGTCGACGTGTTTTCCGTGCCAGTATTCCTGGTCGTCTTTCGAGAGTCTCTCGAAACCGTCATTATCGTGTCTGTTTTGTTGGCTTTCCTCAAGCAGACTCTCGATGGCCCAAACAGAGACTTGGCCGTGTACAAGGCCTTGCGCAAACAGGTAAGGACATCGGTGACCTTGGAAAGGACACTGTTGCTGATGCGTCACCGCAGGTCTGGCTCGGTACGGGCATCGGTTTCTTGATATGTTTGATCGCTGCAGGCGTCGTTATCGGCGTCTTCTACAAGCTCGGCCGTAACAGCTGGGAAGCCCATGAGCTCTATTACGAGGGAGCCTTCTCTCTCGTAGCCGCCATCATCATCACGATCATGGGCGCGGCTCTGCTCCGCATCGGTAAAATGCAAGAGAAGTGGCGCGTCAAGTTGGCAAAGGCAATGGAGTCTCCTGTCAAGACCGGTGCCAGCCGGGGATGGTTCAAGCGCTTCGCCGAGAAGTATGCCATGTTCATCCTGCCCTTCATCACCGTACTCCGTGAAGGAATCGAGGCCATCGTCTTCGTCGCTGGCGTCTCTTTCTCGGCGCCTGCATCTGCCGTGCCGCTTCCAGCTATCGTCGGGTTAATTGTCGGCGCCTTTGTCGGTTATCTCTTGTACAAGTGAGTTGTCTGCTCTTCCACATTCTTCACCACCTACTAACGTTATTGAAGGGGAGGATCTACAGCCAAGCTGCAAGTGTTCCTTGTAATCTCCACCTGTCTCTTGTACCTGGTTGCTGCTGGACTCTTCTCCAAAGCAGTGGGTGATTTCGAACAGCAAGAGTGGAACAAGGTTGTCGGCGGTGACGCTGCAGAACTTGGAAACGGACCGGGTTCCTACGATATTGACAAGAGCGTGTGGCACGTGAACGTAAGTTTTCTTCCACTTGTCTACTGCCAACTCAGTACTAATGTCTTCAAAGTGTTGCAGCCAGGAGCTCAACGGCGGCGGTGGCTGGGGTATTTTCAACGCCGTCCTCGGTTGGACAAACTCAGCAACCTACGGCTCTGTAATCTCCTATAATGTCTACTGGATCTTTGTCATCGGTTGCTTCCTCGTCATGAGGTTCTACGAGACCAAGGGACACTGGCCTTTGATGAAGCCAAAGGCTCCTCGGGAAGCCGATAGGAGCCTCTCCGATGACCGCAGCGGAAGCGAGGAACAGGCGAGCTCATTTGAGAAGGACAAGGGGGCGGCAACCACGAAGACGGTGACGGCTTCGTCATAGTTGGGAAGATGGCAATCAGGTTTTGCTGGAAAAGCCTCGACATCTCTGGACGATCATGATTCTGAAAACACTAATGCTGGTGACCAAGTGTGATGCGAAAGCTGCTTGCACGATGATTGGGCTAGAAGCGGCCAAGCTTTTGAGAGGACGTTGTGGGCAAATACTAGCGTACTATAAAACCATTAAAAGCATATGCAACTGTCTGCACCGAGACTATCGGCTAATTGATCAAAGTGTTTCCTAGATTGTAGTGAGACCGTACAGCAACATGTTCGTGAACGTACACGCGTAGCCATACGCAAAGAAATTGCGCAACAAAATCCTTGATCTGGGCCAAGAAAGAACGCGACCAAGGTCTGCTCTACGTTCAATATCGAAGTTGGAGTGGATAAGAAAATTATCCACGTCTGATCCTTCTGGTCCGTCCCCCCTGAGCACTGGAATATCGGAGAGCTTTGTTCTATATGGACTAATACTCGGGGGTCCAGTCCCATCTATCGGCAGTGAATAGCTTGCGCGCCATCTTATCAGCGTACATGTTGCCCTCGTATCGAAGTCGTTGGTCGCCCGCCAGACTCCTGGTAAACTCAAACTTCCTTTCTTCTCTGTCCAGTTTCGAACCATCTTCCGCCGGAATCCAAGTAGCCGATGCCTGGTTGTTCTTCCATTCAGCCTGGGAAATAGAGAGGACACTCGACGACATCATCGATCTGATGTATTCCACGATCGAGTCAATACGCGTACGAATACCGCAATTGGTGTGGTGTTTGTCAATCTGATAGCTTGGAACTTGCTTCAAAATTGCCAGTATATCTTCAATATCGATGACCGAGGAGTCTGGTATATTGTCGTATGAGCTGGGCCCAAAGTCAACAATACCAATCAACTCCTTGGCCGTGAAGAACCTGAGCATCTGGCCCAGCTGGAACGAGTCACATGCAGAGCTCGAGTCGTACCCAAGTTTACACTGTCTCTCGCGAGACGAGTAGAGAGCGAGGAAATGGCGATGGACTGAAGCAATGGTATTCAAAATACACTCCCGCCGGAACTGTAGCTCTCCTGATCCAAGTCAGCACGTATTATGTATTGAGCCAGGGTCAAACAGCTCACTCTCCAAGCCATCCGGCAGACTCCACCATAGCTCAGTACGTGGGCTCTCATCCGGAGACAGTTCGCTCCATCGGACAGAGCCACGGAGAATCAGCTCTCGTGTGTAGTTATGGAGTCTGGGCGGCTGCTCCAACAGCCAAGCAACCAGGATCTTCTGTCTGAGGACGTTCTCGGTGTCTAGACTTTTCTTTTGGTTGCCCGCTCGCACCGGCTTGGCACTTGTCAAGGGCCACTTGAACTTGAGCTCGATACTAAGGTATCTCGAGACCAATGATCTGCAATCAAATCGATCGGCCAGAATGGCCAAAGTAGTCACATGAAGCATGTTGACAGACGTAGATTGTATCTGCTTCCCATGCATAATCCTCATCAAGTCCTCAAAGACCTTTTCTCGGCCGACGGACCGGGTTGCCTCGTCGTCATCGACGACTGTGATCCAGGGCAAGTCCCCGGCATCCACTTCGGCCAGCTTAAGCTTGTCCGCAGCCAGGCGAGCGAGGGTTTCCTCGACGTAGCTCGCCTCAGAGAACTGTTTGTTGCCGAGAAGGTTTTCAAAGTACCGAGAGTGCTTCCTCAAGACGGAAAGCCTGACACGGTAGGCGACTTGGACGTTGGGGCTCAGGTTGGGCTGGGGCATCCGTGGTGCACCGATCTTCTTACTGGCAGCCTGCCAAGTCCTGCGAGCCACAGCGATGGTCTCTCTGGAGGTCTCAAATGTAACGTTGAGAACGATGTCCCCATCTTCAGATATGAGCACAACGGGGGGTGAATCACCCGAGGACGGATCCGATGTGTCATCCTGAACTGCTGCCGAGTCTCCCATCGTAAGACAGAGCAGCGGGGGAGGAGAATCTCTGCCGCGACTCAGGGATTGACATGTATATCGAGACTATACTTGACCATCGTACGGCTTTAGTAGAATATAAGTCAGTAACGTCTCGAGATTGAAAGCGCAGGAGTATCCCAGAGTATCATTGGTGTCAGTGACACTCCCGTCATTCGCTCCTCACAGAGACAAAGAACCCCTTCTGCCTGCTTGAGTCCACCGCAGTGGGTCTACTGTGTTTCATTCCTCGCCTAGCCAGATTTTGACACTGTACGTCCCGATTACTGATGAGATAAGATTATCCCCAGCCCAGTGCCCATGGCAGCTGTCGGCTGTAGGTACCTCAACCTGTGCTAAGGTATGCCACTTACCTTGCACCAGGTGCAAAATCATAGAGCACTGGGCACCTACCTAAGGTACAGTACCTTTGGCTGTACCCGAATACAAGGGCACCTAAGGTTGACTGCAGCTATGGCGACCCTCCTCCCCCAAGGCGGGCAGCTGGCAGGGCGGGGAGAGGGGACCTTCACGGTCAGAGTGTGTCCCCGTGTCCCCGTGTCCCCATGTTTCCCCCAGTCCCGTCCTTCCTTTCCAGGTCGGTCTCATTACGTCGCTGGGTCCATCCATGATCCAACCGAGGCCGACCATGTGCCTTGGCCAAACCCAATCCTCCAATTCCACAGTGTCAAGAACAACCAATTGATCACAGAAACCAAACACACATGCCGTCAAGGAATTGATCGGCCCGTTCGTCCATCCCGCCCTTTCACGATTCCCCGGGCCCACGCACGATACTCAGCTTCGTGGCAGTTCCATGCCAATGCCTCGCCGTCGCCGACGCAACAGCTGACAAGCCTTCCCTTCGTTCGCGCCATCGACCAGAGCTCGCTGACCCAGAATCCCGCTCTAGGCCCCCAGGCCGCCGTTCAAGCTTGACGACCTACAGCCCATGGCTTTCACAAGCTTGAAGGTCGCCCTACCTGAGCTGCTGCAGTGCTGGTGACGCTCTCATCCCCGCCAATCGAATTCCGCCCTTTCGGAACAATGCCAGCTTTAACACGCTGTCTCGCAACGCGACGAATAGCGCCGTATCATGGGACCACGCGGATCCTCGCATCAACAGCTGTGCGATGGGTACACTCGTCCTTGAACAACAGCATCGGCATCCCCATCGACAAGTCCACCTCTTCTGCACTCCCTCGGCAACCGCCGCGAAGATGCCACACCACACTAGAGCCAACCCCTCGATGGCTTCCGACTTGGCCTCATACTTCACTCGGTCGCGAACGACGATGCTTATTCAAGAACGGCAAGACACTAAGCTCGAGAAACCGGCGGCTATTCCACAACTACTTCGTCACCCACCTGCCATCCTCTTCCCTACACCCTGACTCCCGAACGTCATCAGGGCCCGGGCACAAGCTTCCCCGCGATGCTTCGACTCCCCACAAAGTGACGCCGGGATCTTCTCCAGTCGCCGCAGCCCTCAACATGCCTAGCCGGGATCTCACCGTGGTACGGATCCCGCTCAAGAGAGCGAAACACCACTTCGGTGTCTTCTCCTCAAGGGGCCAGCGTTCGTACAATGAGGATACAAACCAAGCCGGCACAATTAGCATGCCAGCGTTTGCTAAAAGAGCCCCTATTAGTCTTCAGAGGCGGCCGATTCAAAAACCAAACGAGGCTACGTCTGCTGACAGCGCACTTGGTGACCCACAGGTCTTCTACTTTGGTATATTCGACGGACATGGCGGATCTCAGTGCGCCGAGTTCTTGCGCGATGAGCTGCACGGCTACATTGAACAGTCCTCTGCAGAATTTGGACTCCAGAGCAGCCTGGCAAGGAGTCAGGCACCAGAGACGGGTCGCAAGGAAGAAGACCCTAACGAGGAGCTGTTTATGAAGACCGAAGAAGATATCAAGGACGATATACGTGTTCCCGAGCAAGATAAGCATGGTGTCCTGACAAATCCCGAAAGGGAGGAGCCCATGAAAGGGGCCGAGCCAGTCTCGGCCAAGGTGGAAGATATTCCGAAAGCTATCAAGTTGGCGCAGGCCCTCGTGGAAGAGTATCGGCAGACTGTCGGAGGATACTTCAGGCGCTTTAACCCCGAGTACTTCCAACTGTCTGAAGGGGAGATGGATGGCATCGATGAGCCCAGAGTTACAGTCGAGTCCGTCCTCATGTACGCTTTTCTTAGGGCAGACTTGGATTTCATCTCAGCGCAGGCCCGAAAACCCGATCCCGATGATCCTCAGGCAAATGACCGCCCCGTCAACAATGATGAGATTCTCGGAGTTCCACACAAACCACCATCAGGCCATGGCATTGGTGGTCCGGCGCGCTTCAAGGGCGGATCGACAGCATCAGTGGCTCTCATCTCGACACCTACGCCAGCACCATTCTGGCACCCCAATGCCCAGTCTACCCTGATTGTCGCTCATGTGGGCGACACCCGTATACTTCTCTGCACAACCACTACCGGTCTCGCGCAGCCCCTGACGTCAGACCATCACCCGACGACGCCCACCGAGAGCCGTCGTCTACGCCGCTATGCGCCGGCCGGGTCCATGGTCTCCGCAGATAGCTTCGGGGAGGATCGAATCGCAGGTCTGGCCAATAGTCGCGCATTCGGCGACATGCGAAGCAAACGTATTGGCGTATCAGCCGAACCAGAAATCACCCGCGTCGAAATTGGCCCCGCGCAGTATTCGTTCCTAGTCCTCATGAGCGACGGCATCTCGGGCACGCTCAGCGACCAGGAGATTGTCGACGTCATCAAGGAGGCCAGGACGCCCGAAGAGGGCGCCAAGGACGTGGTCAACTATGCCACCGAGGTTTCCCACGACGGCGACAACGCCACCTGCCTGGTCGTCAGACTCGGCGGGTGGGAGCGTAGGTCGGAGGGCGGAGTCGGCAGTCTCGGCACCAAGGAGATCCGCGACAAGAGGAGGGCGGAGGCGTTGGATCCCCGACGCGGCAAGCAGTGATATTTTCAGCAACTGGGGAACAAACAGCAAATCATGTCTTCTTCCAAGTACGGAGCACTTTTGCCTCATTATCACATCTTCAGGAGTTGGGGATCTAGGCACAGGCGTTCATCGGTTGGTCTGCTAAATGGCAGCAAGGGTTGGTTCTTCGAGATGGACCAGATAAATCATGCATACAATTCAACAAATACGAATATCAAGAACGGATAAATTATTGCAATTCATACGTCGTGTGCTGTAAAGCACCGACCCTGGGAATCATTCTCATCAGCCATAGGTGGATTTTGTATCCCGCCCCTTCCAACCCGACCCGTTTCCATGTTCCCCAAGACTCCAGTCCGTAACCCGCGACCCGGTCGCCAACTGACGACACTTTCGTGGCGACACATTCCATTTTCCGTATACGTGCTTGTCTAATAGCGATGCTGGCCCGGGTACTGGCTCCAGCCGCCGCCACCCTGCTCGTGATGCGGCGGATGTGGAGGACCACCGTGGTGAGGAGGGTACTGTGGTTGCGGCGGTCCACCGTAACTCGGTCCGCCGTAGCCTGGACCGCCATATGCGCCTGGGGGGCCACCGTAGCCCGGTCCGCCGTAACCCTGAGGGGGTTGAGGAGAACCCCACTGGCCCGGAGGCGCCTGGGGCGGCTGTTGACCGTAGCCTTGGGGTTGAGACTGGCCGCCACCGTAGTAGCCAGAGGCCTGGCCTTGAGACTGGGAACTTGAGTAGTGGTGGCTGTTGTCACCGCCGCTCTGGTGGTATCCGTAGTCTTGCTGGGATGGGGGGAGGGGGGAGCTTGACAAAGGCTTCCTGTCATCACCTTCCATGGAGCTGAGATCTCGAGTGCGGATCTGGTTCCAAAGGGAACCTTGCACTTTGCCATGTCCCAGCTCTCCAAAGCTGTCAAAGGCCCCATGGGAGTGCGTGTGGCCTCCGACGCTCTTGGTGCCATCACCGCCGGCCAAGATATGATTCTTACCGGTCTTGACAGATTCGGACGAGAGCAGGTGGGAAAGTTCGTGCTTGTGGGAGGTCTCATTCGCCCACTTTCGCACCGTCTCGAACATATCTCTCTGGATTTGGACTCTCTCATCGCGAGCTGCCGGATGGTGGAAGGCCCGGAGAACATCATTGACGACCTCATCGACAGGCACACCCGGGTTTTCCCAGGCGTACAGGATTCGTCTGTCCCCCCACATTAGTCATGTTCAGAATCCCCTGGCTATAGATCAAGTCTACTTACGGGACGACATATTGCAATATAGTCGCAGCAACCCTACCAGCGCACGAGTTCAAGACGTTGGTGAAATGGTCCTTTGAGAGCATGGAGTGAGTGGGGTCAGAACAGTTGGGGTTCTTCCAGGGCTCCAGCTGAGAGTTGGAGCTTGCAGTGATGACAGTGGATGAACCGTCCTTCAGAACCTTGGAGACCTGTGTGATGATGGGTCTGACAAACGGTGCCAGCAGTCCCAAAATGAAGGCAGTCAGCGTCTCACTGATGTGGTCCAAAAGCTTTTCCAGACCTGGGATCTTGGCGATAATGTTGCTGATGGACTTGACAATCTTGTCACGGAATTGAAGGATCGGATAGATCTTGCGCGCAGTCTCAACAGGATCGAAGTTTGTGCTCATGCCGGGTACCTGGTTGGAACTCTCACGGCTGAGGTCACCACGGCTGAGGTCGCCCCCAGATCGAGTGTTCTGCTGCTCCTGTGAATTCGACTGGGCCTGCAGATCGCGAGCCTGGCTTGCCAAATCTCCGCCGATGCCAGGAAGCTGACTGACAAGGGAGATGAAGTCATTCGGCTTCGAAGAGCCGATCCCTAAGAAACCACGAGATCCGGTGCCACCAGTGATGTTCGCAGACATACCCTCGGCGTTCTTCAGAGCGACATTCATCTCATCTACCTCAGACTGCGTGAAGTGGTCCGTGGCTTCGCCGAGAACGGAATGCAAGAAGTCGACAGCGCCGAAAGTTCCCGTAACGATAGGGTAAACGCGGCGACCATTCAGGTTGATTTCGGTAGCAGTACCACAGTGAGGATAGACGTCGTGGTAACCTAGCTCTCGAAGAGCAAGCTCGCAGTAGTTGCTGTGCGCGCTGAAGTCCTCCATACAGTGGAGAGCCTGTCCGAGACAGCGCAGTGCCTCGCAAAGGTCGGCCTCTTTTCCTGAACCACGCGAACCGCTGGTATAGACCCGGCCGAAGTGGATGCTGCGAGAGAAACTGAAGCGCAGGTAGCCAGCGCTGGTCGCCCAGCCGCCAGACTCATTGGCAATGTAGTTCTTCATGCCAGTGCGAGGATCGATCTGTGTCTCGACAGCGTCGACGGGGCCGCGAAGACGAGGGTCGAACTTGCGCGCGTCCATGCCATCAGCGTATCCCAAGGGATTGTCGATGTGTTCCTCGGGACGGTAGACGCCGAGGCGCTCCTCGGTGACCTCAAATTCTTCCGTCGCATAGCCGAAGGCCATGAAAGAGAGAACCCATACCTGTTGAAAGAAGTCAGTACAAGGAATACCCACCGACTTCCGCTTCGCTACGTGGACATACTAGAATTCTGATGGTGGGAGCGTTGACTCCCTTCAAGCTACCCACATCGACAGCTTGAGAGTAGTCTCGAAGCCAGTTGCCAAAGTAAACTCGGGAAACCAACATGGAGGTCCATTTCTTGCCATGCAAAAAAGCAATGGTCTTGAGCATGTCCTCGATATCTGTGCGCAACCATGTCAGTCAGCTGTGGGGGTAAGCATAGCAACAGAAGGGTGCGTACCTCCATGACGCCAATTGAGGCCCTCGACCTACAGGTAGATCGCAATGCATTAGTTTGCAAAACGGTGGAATATTGGACGAGGTGATCAAGGTGTCTGAGCTTACCTGAGCAATGGAGGGGATGTTCCCGGCGCCAAAGGCAGCGGCGCGACCTGGTAGAAGCACCAAGAGCAGACAGAAGGCAAGGAAGATGGAACCTCTCCCGAGACCGGATGACGCCATGGTTCAGGGTCGCGGGAGGCTCAGAAAGCTATCCAGGAATCTGTAAAGACTGGATGTGAAGTTCAGTCGCAAAGATGCGTTGGTTGTTCGGGGAAGCGATGGAGGGGTCGCGCAGAGTGTCCGGGTCCACGAGGTCAAGAATCGATCTTTTTTGGCTTGTTTTGGAGGGGTAAAAGGGCGAGCGAAGTGAGGTAAGGTGCACCAGAAGGTTCAAGTCCGACTAAGGTAGACGAGGTAAAGCTCCAAGCCGTTACCTAAGATGATGTAAGGCACGCCCACGCAAGGGAGGGCAAGGCAGGTAGAGCCGAAGATGATTTGGGGGTCTAGTCAAAATCAAAAGTCCAAGCTGGAATTAATTATGGTGTGTGCAGCGGCAGCAGCAGTCTGCTTCAAGAGGTACGATTTTATCAATACGTTATTGTCTGGGCGACATCCACTCGAGGTAGCATTCGCAGCGGCAAAGACGTGCCGCGAAAGACTTTGAAGGCTTGGGTTGCGAACCTGGGGCTGAGGGGGGCGGTTCGATTGCTTGCGCAAGGTAGTCTTAGCTAATGCGTAGAGTGGCTGCGGCGGCAAAAGTACTATTGTCAATTACTTGACGGCTGTCCCCGCCACACATGTTTGTATCACTGCTGACGACACCTCCTGCTTCCCTTGCCCTACCTACCTGCCTTTCAGCGATTTCTTTGGATGGTTCCATTTGGCGAGAGGGGGACAGCTGAGCTTGGTGGGAGCAGAACCTGTTGGCCCATTGGCTTGTGTCGCATGTGTGCCATTCCAACCTGCAGCGCACCTCGATGGGCTGCGCATACATGCACGCATACTACCTATATAAAAGGTATATGGACGCATCCCAGATCGCAAGATGAGGCAGACCATTATGGGCGAGGTACCTTAGGTACAATCCCAGGTGCCTTGATCACCTTGAGATTGATGAAGCAGTGGACGCATCTTGCCGGAAGCTGCCCGGCAAGATGCGCTGGAGCTGCGCTGGGGTGGGCCCAACTTTGAATGAGCTTGATGGGCATTGACTATACCCAGATAGGCCCCTCTACTCATCATCCACGCTGATTTTACCTTTGATTAACTTAAAGCAGGCTCAAACACGATAGCATTGCGGGAGAGCTAGCCATGGTTACGCCGAAGAACCTGGAAGCCGTAGGTTACCTATTGACATCGAGTTACCGAAGCTAGGGGTTTAGGGGCAGAGCAAGTCGTCAGTACTTGTAGCGCAGGCGACCATCAGATGCGCAGGAACCTTGAAATACCTTATTTCTCTCCTGGCTTCCTGCCCCGCCTCTCTGTGCGCTGAGCTCAGCACAACAGACCGTGACTGCCCCCAAACAATGAGTGCCCCTCCATCTGATGCGCCCGGACTGCCTACCTACCTTACCTTACTCTGTATCCGTACCTTACGCGCAACAGGGTGGGGTCTGGCTGGTAGGGCAGACCCGGGAAGGAGAGCCCCGCCATTGGCCCAATGGAACTCCGATCAAGTTGAAGTTACCTCAACCATTGCCATGCTTCCCTGGCAGATTCCTGGCTTGACCAAGCATCTCATCAACGAGCCGCAGAAGCATGTTTGCGTGCCAAAAGCGGTCCAGCCGCCGTGTTCGTTTCCTCGTCTATTACTTTCTGACCTTTGGCACGACTTAAGTTTGATGTTGACAGCTACATTTATATGCGGCTGGTTGATCCTGTGATTTCCCGGGTGGCCATGGAAAGCAAGGTAGGCAAAGATCTACGCAATTGGAATGGGAGACGAACTTGATCAAAAACAAACGACTTTTCCGTACCTTGGCTTGCTTGAGTAATATTAGGTAAATAGAACACAGATTAGCGGGTTAATTAATCAGTCCAAGAGGCACTTTTTGAGGATTACACGCGTGGCTCATCAGCCACAAATTGTAAAGCCGCAACTTGCAGCTGCCGTAAAGTGGCTGGGTCATGTACTTGCATGAGGAAAGGTCAGGTGAGCTCGAGGTACCTCATTGTGGCATCGAGGTGTAATCAGTGGCGTTGGACTGATCGTGGGAACGTACTTGTATGCATCTCCCATCCTGCCATCTTTGGCCCATGCATTAATACAATGCTCGCTGTGACAGACCGCTGCTCCCGCCAACGCACGCCACTCACTTCGATCTTGGTCCTTGGGGGTCAGGGCCCACGGCCGCTCATGGCCCGAGGTGCTAAGACTGTAGGAGGCCAAGAGTCCATTCCCGATCTTATCTGGAGCGTTCTGAGAATGTCCCTCGATTTCAAGCCACGAAGAACCAAGTGCTCGTCGGGTCGAACTGGAGGACCAGTAGACACACCGCTCCCCCAGCTACCCCATGGCTCACAGTTTATTTCATGTGATTTACTTGTCTTTTGGTCGAAAAATCTGCCAACAAGCAGGTCGGTCAGGATGGCGCGGAGAGGAATCACCTAGTTAGTACCTTACTTATCTGTACGGGTGACACGGTAAGGTAGCCTGCCCATCCGAACTAGTGTAAAGGAGCCCTCTGCACAGCACAGACCGGATGATCTGGCTGGGCCGACTGCCGACTGCATTGTGTGGTCCTGGATTTGCTTTTTGCCTCAGGTGCTGGGCTCGGTGATTGTCGCGGACAAATTCCACCGGGATTGAGTCCATGGAAATGTCCATGTAGTTGCATTTCCCCCCTCAAACTGCCACGCGACTATTCTCTACCCCTCCGCCTTCAGATTTTTGCCGAACTTGCCCAATGCCCTTCTCACCGTTTCGATGTTCCCCTGCCCGTTGGTCTGTTCTTGTGTGGCGTTTCTCCTTATTGCAGTCGTGGCAACGACGCAGTCCCGCGGGCTGGGCAGTATGTGCCCTTTCGTAGATGTTCCTAAGTCCCCGTTCCTGGTCTTCCATTCCGTCCCAGACCGTCCCAGGCCATGCTTGGGTCCCGTCAGCAACAGTCCCCAGTTCCCACACCTCTCCGTCAGTCCCGCGTCCTGATTCCTGACTCCTCCCTCTTGCGAGTCTTGCCCACCCCTATGACTGCAATCTGGCAAACCTACCTTACCTTAGTGAACCGTCACTCATTGCCCGTTCTGGACATGTTCGACTGATGCTGAGCTGAGGCAAGGTGCAATTTCGGGGTTTGTGACTTTGTATCCATCTGCCCTAAAAAACAGACACTCGCACAGTGCAAACCCTGAACAGCCGGGCGAAAGTGGTCGACAGGTGGAACCATGAATCGGCTGTCCAAGCTTCCGCCAGGTCCCGTTCTGTGCCAAAGTAACGCCACCAGGCCGTATTTTTTTTCTGGCCTAGAGGGAATGCTAGTCGCGTAGAGAGCTTCTCCTTGGCCCTGCCTCCACGTCCCCCGATCCCTAAACCAAACATCCCCCCCCCCCCCTAAATTAATTCTTCGAACCGACTCCATTCTCTCACCACCCTGTGCCCACCGAGCCTCAAGTCACATCGCCCCGGCCTCTCAACCTCGCCCTCCCGGCCCTCCCGGCTTTTGGCTCCTTTTTGTCACCTTAGACCGCCCGCTTTCGCCCAACCATACAGCGTCTTAATACTTCTTCTCTCCGTCCCACGTCTACCTCCATTATCCTTCTCTCTCTCGCCAGGGCCCGCGACCGCGACTGCTGCTGCAATTCTACCCGTACACTCCCTTTGTTGTCATTCAACTCAGAGTTCGTCCACTTTGGGCTCGGGCGCCAGAAACCTACAGAGACAACAGCTATATTTCCGTTCCATCATTCTCTGCCAATTTCGTATCGTCGCGAACAAGTCGTCAAGTCACCAGCAACATGCCGTCGCGAACTCTTCCCACATTTACTCGCGCCGAGGTCGAGGCTCACAACTCCAAGAAGTCTTGCTATGTCACCATCGGTTCCAACGTATACGATGTGACCGACTTCGCTCAAGACCATCCCGGTGGAGCCCATCTCGTCTACGACTATGCTGGCAAGGATATCGATGCCATTCTGCGCGACCCAACCTCTCACCCTCACTCCGAGACGGCGTATGAAGTTCTGGACGAGTCCCTGGTCGGCTTTGTCATTAATCAGAAGGCCGCTGATGGGATTCGCAAGGTCAATGGCACAGCAAATGGCAAAGCCAATGGGCTTGCGAACGGAAACGGAAAGGCGAACGGCAACGGCAACGGCAACGGCAACGGTATCATCGAGAAGACGGGAGAGGCCAAAGGCGTCCAGATAAATGAGCACGGCGAGCTATGGGACGGCGAGCGTTGGGTACATCCTCGGACCGGTATGGCAAGCGAGGAGGATCTGAGCAAGGAAACGGATTATACAAGCGACTACAAGAAACACAAGTTCCTCGACTTGAGCCGCCCACTGTTCCCTCAGATTTGGTTCGGCGGCTTCAGCAAGGAATTCTATCTCGATCAAGTCCACCGCCCTCGCCACTACAAGGGCGGTGAGTCTGCGCCTCTGTTTGGCAACTTCTTGGAGCCTCTGTCCAAGACGCCCTGGTGGGTAGTCCCGCTCGCGTGGCTTCCGCCTGTCGCCTACGGTACCTACCTGGCAAGAGAGGGTATGGACAGCTCCTTCCAGGAGTTCTGTTACTGGGGCTTTGGATTTTTCCTATGGAGCTTGATCGAGTACGTCCTGCACCGATTCTTGTTCCATCTCGACAAGTAAGTTTATCTGTGATTCACCATGGTGCAACTACCAGGCTGACATGTTTTAATCAGGTGGCTGCCTGACAACCGTGTTGGCATCACTGCGCATTTTCTCCTCCACGGTATCCACCATTACTTGCCCATGGACAAGTACCGCCTGGTCATGCCTCCCACATTGTTCGTTGTTCTTGCCACGCCGTTCTACAAGCTCGCGCATTGGGTATTCTCGTACAGTTGGCATGCTGCGACGGCTGTCTACTGTGGAGGCATTTTCGGCTATATTTGCTATGACTTGACCCACTACTTCCTCCATCACCAGAACCTCCCTCTGTGGTATAAGGAACTCAAGAAGTACCACCTTCAGCACCACTTCCTCGATTACGAACTCGGCTTCGGAGTCACTAGCCGGTTCTGGGACAGCATCTTTGGCACTGAACTTCCTCCTATCGTCAAGGCCAACTAATTCCACTTAACCACCGCACACGACCGCAACATACACCATGTCACGATGACGACTTCTGGGGCCTATTCCTAATACCGAACCGAGCAAGTTTGCTCATCTTCACCATCACGTGTCCCACAATGTATATACGTTTTTAGTCCTTTACTTTAACGCTGTAATGGGGTTGTTTCATGGGCGTTCTTAGGAGACGGCTCGAAGGAGCCATGCGTATTACAGCGCCCCAGCCAGTTATGATACGGCCGGGAAGAGCCGTCATGTTTCCATGACAGGCTGTTTTAGTACAGAGTATTTTGAATGATACCACACACGCCGAGATTATGCCATAAAATGACTAGACAGCACGTTCATTCTCTGTCCAACCATGGCCGCTACAGGTTATGAGTTTGACGTTTGCCCATGGCGAGGATCATAGCTTCATGAAGGAACGAATTGAATAGGTTTCCCAACGCAATGGGCGCATCTAAACGGCGAACCGTTGCAGCGAATATGTTCACGGGCAGTCGTAAAGGGGGTCTGGTCGGGCCTCCAGGTTGAAGTCAGTTTAGCATATTGCAATGCTGCACCCTAAGCTTCGAGTCTGGGACAAATGACTGTTGGTCACGTGTTTGTACGGTCTGAACTTCTGAAGTTCCCTCAAGGTGACCAGAGTTTCCCATACCAGTGGCTCGGACGGATGTGTGTAAATAGGCATGCATTCTTAGATAGTAGGTTCGATGCCACCATGGCGCACAGAACTTGCCCGTCTGAGTCAGCCACATCATTACGTAAGGCATTCTCTTTCGCCAGTTGCTGCCACCTTCCAGATTTGCTTGGCCAGCAGGTCCTCCTACAGCGCTTGGGCTGCTGTCCGTAGCCCGATTCACCGTTTTGCCTGGTCCAAGATTTTGCCTGTCTAAGGTACCGCTGCATTCAGTCTTTCGTGTGGCTGCGCCAACCTCCCCGTCCCACATCTATTTTGCTTCCTTCCCCTCCGCAACCACGCTACGATAAAATCTGCGATCTACCTTAGTAGAAGCAGCCAGCATAAGCGGAGAAAACAGCCGACTACTCCTTCCTTATCTCTCCCAATTCGAAACCCAGCGCAAGATGTCGGGCCTAGACGTAGAGGCGTTGCTCGACGCCACCGCAAAAAGCTCTACCGAGACGAAGACTCACGACGTTGAAGAACGTCCCAATGGCGATCGTTCCGAGCGCAAGGAGCGCGATCGCGGCCGCGATGGAAGCCGCGACAGGGACTATGATCGTCGTCGCCGAGACCGTGAGCGCCGCGACCGGAGCACGACACGAAGCCGACGCGGAACCCCGGACGACGTCAAGACATCAACCCCGCGAAGTGACGCTGGTAGCCACAAGAGTAGGCGGAGAAGCAAAAGTCGCGATGATGACCGCCGTCACTCACGTCGTCACAGAGGAGATGGTGATTACTACAGAGGCGGACGTGCCCGCTCGCGATCTCGGTCACCGCACCGCTCTTACCGCTCGTCGCGCGACGATTATCGCGAACGCCGCGATCGCTCCGATCGCTACTCTGGGGACCATCGCCGGGCTAGGGACGACGATCGTCAGGAAACTTCCAAGCGTGAGGCAACACCACAACTTACTGAAGATGAACGGGATCGCCGCACTGTCTTTGTCCAGCAGCTCGCCGCCCGTCTTCGCACACGCGACCTGAAGGCGTTTTTCGAAAAGGTCGGCCCTGTCAATGAGGCCCAAATTGTCAAAGATCGCATCAGCCAAAGATCCAAGGGGTATGTATCAGGTCAACGCCGGCTCAAGAACTCGCTAATCATATTCTAGAGTTGGTTACGTTGAATTCAAAAACGAGGATTCAGTCACTCAAGCGCTTCAACTTACCGGGCAGAAGCTGTTAGGTATCCCTATCATTGTCCAGCTCACAGAGGCCGAGAAGAATCGACAGGTTCGCAATTCCGAAACCACCAGCGCTCACCCGAACTCGATCCCCTTCCACCGCCTCTATGTGGGCAATATTCACTTCAACGTCACCGAGCAGGATTTACAGGCTGTGTTTGAACCATTCGGCGAACTTGAATTTGTCCAGCTCCAGAAGGATGATAATGGACGCAGCCGAGGCTATGGATTCGTGCAGTATGTTACCGTACTCGTCTACCTCGATGCGAAGGGGCATGCTGACTGTCTGTAGATACCGTGAAGCCAGCCAAGCCAGAGAGGCCCTCGAAAAGATGAACGGATTCGATCTCGCGGGTCGCCCGATTCGCGTTGGCCTCGGAAACGATAAGTTTACCCCTGAGAGCACTGCCAACATCTTGCAGAGATTTCCTGGCCAAAACCCACAGTTCCAAGGCTCTGCATTCTCTGGCGCGGGTGGCCGCGGCCCCCAGACATCGGCATTCGACCGTGCGGGTGGAAGAGACAGCGAAAAGTCCGGCGGCGCCAGCGCCCTTGACGATACCGATGTCGCCGGTGTCAACTTTAACAACTATAGCCGTGATGCCCTGATGAGAAAACTTGCCAGGACTGATGATGCTTCCAACGGAGTAGATGAGCGACAAGTGCTGAAGCCCAAGACTGAGACTAAGCCTCTGCCGGTCAACGTCAACATGGCCAGCCGATGCGTTGTCCTGCACAACATGTTTGACCCTGAAGAGTATGTTCACCATTTTATTCAAATCTGGATTTCTGCGGCGCTAACATTCTATCAGGGAAGAGGGAGAGGAATGGGTCAAGGAATTGGAGGATGACGTTCGACAGGAAGCAGAAACCAAATACGGCCGCGTCGTACACATCTCCGTCGATCCGAACTCCAAGGGCGACATTTACCTCAAGTTCGACAAGGTCCAAGGTGGCGAGAACGCCATCAGAGGCCTCAATGGTCGTTACTTTGGAGGCAGGATGATCGACGCGTCACCTGTTGTAGATGCCGTCTACAGCAGTTTGTTCTCTCGCACACGAGCGATCTAAAAGCTAATCCATGGCCCCGAAAACACTCGTCTAGGACCCTCCCCAAGTATGTTTCAACAAAATGTGCTACCTGGCATTCGCTTACAACAACACCAGGCCGATGCCATCGTTCGGCAATCCTCTCTCTCGCTGGAATGAGCCATGACGACCGTGAGACTTGCACCGTTTGACCGCCTCTGGCCGCCATCCGCGTCAAGCCAAGTTTCGTCACGTCAGAAACCAAGACCTACCCAAACACCACTGGAGAGCAGGTTGATATCGCACTGATTCTCTGCAGAAAAGACTTTGATTGCACGTTCGATCGCCAATTTTTTCTGGCTGATATTTGTACCTTAGGTTGTTCCCTTCCAAGTCCTCCATTTATATGCGGAGCAAATGACAGGTTGCCAACCCGGCGTCTGGGTAAGGAACAAAGGAAGCTGTAGCTTATGCACCAGACTAGGTACTAAAATTGTTCTTAGCAAATTTTGCTTGATCTAAAATGAGCCGGCGCGATGGCTGGCTCCGGTTGTTATCATCGCCTTCGTCTACTTTCCCCAACTCAGGTTGCCTTTTTACTTCGTCCCCTGGCCGTAAGGCCTGTTGTAAGGCGGGACAACTGGCGACGATGTTCTTTATTTGGTGGGAGACTAGACTGTATTTGACATTTACCACAACGTTCTAGTGATGCTTTATCAGGGGCTACTTTCTATCAATTTAGCCTATTCTATTTCCCTGCCGCCCTGGTTACAATACTGAGACGTGACACATCTCGACTGATTTACCAAACTGGCTACTGTTCCCCAAAAATGACCCCTGTCCGTGTCAGATTGGTGTGTACTCGAATGAGTAGTTCTCTCGAGTATAATGGAAAGGTTTCCAACCAGACATTAGTTTGCTGCGCCCCCATCGCATTTGCAAGGACAGGCGGGCGGAACACATCTAGAGCTCAGCCCTTTTGTATATCCATTATCTCTAACCTGGTCCTATCACAGCTACCTTTTCTACTCAATTCCATGGACCTGAGCATCCTTGCTCCTAACAAAGTCCGTTTGTTTTCGGGCTTTTCCTCCTTCTTCTCTTTATTGAGAGAAGATTGTCTTCAATAGAGGGGTACTAGTAATGCCCACCTTGCAACTGTCCTCGAACAGCCAGACAGGTTCTTCTCACTTTATTGGCACGTAATCGCAAGTGCTCATCCTGGTACCATTGAAGGCAGTCCCTCTATGAAGACCTTCTGCGCAAGCTAGTCGGTGCCAGACGGTTCTCGCTCATCTTAGTAGACTCCAGCTTGTTGCTTGTGGCAGGAAGCATTCTCCTCACCACACTCGGTTGACTCTCCATGCCTTCTGAGGCTGATCACAAACATCTCAATTAGACTGGTGGTCTACAGTTTTGCTTCAACTGAAAGTGAAAGTACTCTCTTCATCTGAAGCTGCCTTGACATCTATTCACAACTTACCTTAGCTTGGTTATTCAAAGGATTCCCAGGTGAAGCCTGTCATCGTGTAAGTATTTCATCAGCATCAGGGCTGGGATGACAAAACTCGTCCGCCAGTATTGCTACATTTCTCAAGGTGTACAATCAAGCTAAACAGCTTTCGCCATCTACTGTCCTGTAGAAATCTGCCAGCCTCATGACATGCGATCATGAAGATAAATTTCAACCTGGATGGGGCGAGAAGTATCAAAACCCTCCCACGCTCTCGATGTCAAACCCTGAACAAAAGGAGGGTTTCCGAACCTCCCCCGTCCGTCTAGGTCGAGCAAGGCATCTCGAGACTTGGACAAGGTGAGAACTTCCCAACCCCTTCAGGTTGCCAACGGTATCTTGAGATGTGGATAAAGCGAGAGCCAACAAAACCCTCCTGCCTCTCTAAGTCGATAGTGGCATCTCAAGAGGGAGACATGACTGTTCTTCGGTGCTCTCCCCCTTTTGAGAATATGTGAAATCCCTTCCCCCTAGCTCTGCACCCGCCCTTTTAAGGATACATCACGTCTCTTCCTCCCGTGCTCTCGACTTTTTGAGGACTGGTGAAATTTCTTGCTCCTGAGCTCTCGCCCTTTTGAGGAGAACTGAAATCTCTTCTCCCACTCTTCTCCTGCTTCGTTGCCACCTCACCATCCTTTCTTCACAACTTCTTTCTTCCACAACCATCTACCCCCTCTCGTCTCTACTCTCAAAACCCATATCACATCATATTTCTTCCCTCCCTGACCCCTTCAATACCACTGTCGAAACTCTCTCGAATTTTCGCCCGTTCGAAAACAATTTCCAACACACTGTCTACCGGACGCTTTCTCCCAGAGCTCGAACCACTGCGTGTCCTCGTGGCATCCTCTTGGCAGACAGCCTCAGAGTAGCAACAGCAAGGTGAGGGTACTCTCTCCTACGTTCATCGCTGTCTCTTCCACTTTCTGGTCATATGGATCTCCTTACGCGGCTCACTAACCAATTTTTCCTATGTTCTTAGGTCCGACAGCATTGTTTGCTCTTCGGCGAGATTCAGAAGAAGACGAGCCAGTTCTTATGCTTCTCGTTGAAGTTTGAGCTTGCCCCCAACATCACGACGAAAACCGAGATCATTAGGACAACGAAGAAACAGATTCTTGTTCTCCATCGATTTATCGGCAAGTTCCCAATCCTGTGTCGCCCTCGGGCTTCAGCTGACCGAAAGAGCAGATAGGTAATCGAAACGGAGCTGAAGAACTTTGCTTGACTTGCTTGTTACTCTTTGCAGACCATTAGCTTCATAGCTCCAACAATTACCCAGACAAGGGCGAACGTTTGCTTCAACATTCGACAAGACCGTCGAGTCTACTAATTCCGTTTTGTCGGTATGTGGCATTTTTCTTCCTTACACGACCATCCTCTCCCTCTTCTATTTATTCTTGTTACTCTTCTTCCACCAATTTCGTTCGCAAATCCCACTTGGCAACGCGATGTTGCTCGAGTGACTATAGTGATGGAATGATTCATCGTTCGCTCTCCACCGTGGCCTCGAAGCCATTACAAGTGCCTGGGAAATGGGTCTGCACGTTGTTCAATCATCCATGTGTACTTTCTCCCCCGTCCCCCGCCCCTTGATTGTTTCAACGGCATATGACTCAGGCTCATTGTAGATGAGCAGAAGGGGGGTGGATGGACTGGTGTTTGGCAAGATGCATGGATCCAGAGTTCTTACCAAGACTCACCTGGGCTCACCTTAGTGAGTTGGTTATATGCACACCTTGCCTGCTTGATTCCTACCATCTCTGTGTGTATTCTCCTCAAATTTTCCTACGTGCACCTCCTTAAGGTGCTAGCGTGGGCTGCTCCTGCCTTCTGCGAAGACAGTAACCTTTTTTCCCTTTTCTTCCTTGAATCACCTTTCTTCCACCACTTCCGTTTCCTACCCTTTGAGAACTTTTCCAAAGCTTCTCAAGCACGGAATCTTCCCCATCCCATCCCCAGCCCGGAAATATCCCTTGAGTATTTCTATATTCTCTCACACTGCCTTCGAGCTCATCTCACATCCCCTGAACGTACCAGACCCTTCGAGTTCAACAAACCTTGCTTGGTCACGATGGCCGATTTGGGCAGCGCGAGCTCCGGCTCTAGACGCGGAGGCGTTTGTCTCGCCGAGCACTCTCCACAGTTCGCCGCGACTCGTGAGCCATTGCGGACGACTCCCAGTTCGTCTGAAAGCACCGTCCGCGACGCAAAATCACCTTCTGACGTCTTCGCGGCTGATCTTTCTGACCAAACTTCACAGCTTCACCTCGGTGACTACCAGCTACCTCAGCCGCCGAAATTCCAGTCGGCAAACTTCACGTTCGCTAGGAACCAGGAGCAGGGAAGTTTCCAGAACGCAGGTTCTGCTCAAAATCCCTCCCACTTCTCCACGCGAAGAGCTTCTATTCCTTCTGAGAAAACAGCCTTTGCAACTCCCACTGGTCGTTCTGCCGTCCAGCCAAACACAGCAGGTCATCGATCTGGCCCGTTGCCGTCTGCTAAATCTAGCCGTCAGTTCGGAACTGCTACTCCCAGCATCAAGACTCCTGGTCATCACACTCCGGGTTCCCTCAACAACGATATTCGACGAATCCAACCGGATCTTGCCCCCGTTTTGGAGGACAAAAAGAAGCTCATGCCAAATCTTGAGCTCACAAAGACAAAGAAGAATATCGCAGAGATGGCTGCTCACTGCCAGATTGACGGCCCGTTGGCTGGCCCTCTCAGGGAGAGTCGCCGCTCCGAGCTAGCCAGAAACCACGTAAGTCAGTTTTTACTTCACCTTGGTCCCTCTCCGCTTTCACTTTCAACCAGGCTCCTCGTCTTGTGTTTTCCTGTCTTCACCTTTCAACTTCTATTTTTACTATCCAAACTTTCGTTATTCGCTCTAGACTACGTGACTAACTTCGAGATGGAAGCCTGCTTGGATCCCCGCCCGGCAGGTTCAAGCCGGGATTATGACCACCCAGCAGGCGATCCGCCGCACTCCGGGCATTCCCAGCAACATTGCCAACGACCTTTGCGACGGCCTCCAGACGTACGCGCAAAAGGTCAATGACATTCTTCGTCAGGCAGTCAACGAGGTCGCGGACATTAAAATCGATCTCGAGTACAATGACAAGATTCTTTGCTCCAACAAGTTGGAGTCCAGCATCATTTACGAAGAGCGTAAGCAGCTCAAGCGTGATGTTGCTGAGATTCACCGAAAGCACGAGGACTTGGAGGACCGTCTTGCGCGCTACCATGTTGAGCAAGAGAACCACAAGAATAAGGTTCTCGAGTTCCTGGCCCGACTCGATCCTCGCAATGATGAAGAGGATGAGGACAGGGAGCAGATTGTTGCTGAGCTACTTCAGGTACGTTTCCATATTCATGGTAGTTGAAGAAGGAGCTTCGCTGATGATATCAACCCAGACTCTCAAGGACTTTATGAACCGCCCTAGCTCCCGATGGATGCATGGGGAGCGTGAGACCTCTTCCAAGGCTATTACCACCCTGAGCACTGCTAGCATCGCCGCGCTCGAGAAGGAGAACCAGCCCCAGTCTGCTAAGCGATTCCAGCAGCCTCAGGAGGCCCGTCGTCCTCATGATTCTGAATCCTATGAAATTGTTCCCTCCATGGACAATGCCCTGCAGCCGTTCAACTACCAACAGAACATGGAGCAGCCTCAACGCTCTGCACCGGCCTATGCACCTACTCAGAACGGACCTCCCATGTCTTACCCGGGCATGTTTGGTAGTGGCCGTCGCCCTGGCGACAACCGCACCATGTCTTCTGCTGGCTGGACACGCGCATCAAGCGTCGCCCGTACTCAGCATAACGCACCTCCTTCTGGTTCTTACTCGCGGACGCGAGATGTTCAGAATGGCTTTGGCGGCGGATATCAGCAATCCAACGGCTTTGCGGGACCCAATAACTATAGAGGCCAGATTGACATGCCATCGCGCCCTGGCACTGCCATGGGCCACCGCGGCTCGTTCCGTCCTAATGCTCCCGAGTTCCACCCGAGCATGTTTGCCAACGCGGACAATAGCAGCTTCCACAATGATGCCTCTTACAACATGAATTATGGTCCAGGATCCAATACTGGTTCTCGCCATGACTTCAACGGAGGCAGCGCTCTCTACCGCAGCCCGACTCCTCGTTCTGCGAGCCATTTTGGCAACTTCGAAGGACCCAGCAGTGGCTTTACTCGCCCATCGCCTTTAGTTCCTTCGGGTCACCAAGGCTCCCAAGGCCCTCAGGGCATGGGCTCGAATCACATGGGCTACAGTAACGACTATTCGATGATCCCGCAGCGCATTCGCAACCACGCTCCCAATTCATCCGGTAACAGCCACCACACGGCTAACTTCTCTCAGCAAGGAGCTTTTAGTCCTGGCCCCTTTGGCCAGGGCGGCAATGGCCCCAGTCATGCAGTCACCAGCCCCTTTGCTCCCGGCAATGGCTTCGGCGAGGATGAAGGCGGCGATAATGAGCGCTATGCTCGTGCTCTCGAGAGTGTCTGGGGTCTTGCGCGGGGCTAGGTGCTCCAGTTTGCCTCAGACGTTGACCTCAGCATTTTGTCGCGGTCCAGCGAGGTTGTCATCCTTCGTTACATGATGAAGCTCTACGCTCCCTTCAGCGAGCAGCAGGCGTGGTCTTACATCCGCCAGCATATGCATGACCCCATGAGCCGCGCTTGCCTCATCTCTCGCACCATGATCGATCTCCTGGTCAATCGGATCTTCACTTTCGAGGCTTGGGAAGGTTTCTCGGTTGATGCTGATCGCCAGCTGCGTGAGATCCGCCACGAGATGAACAATCTCCCTGGTAAGCTTGATCATTCCCATCCTTCATTCGCGACTATGGCTAACATACACAGCGGGTCAAGGTGGTGCTCTCCAGGTCTGTATCGACCGACTCGCGGCCATTGTTAACTCTTGCATCAATCACGAGCGTTACGACGCCTACCGCAACCACCGCATTGAGTACTTTCAGGCTGAGCTCCGCGAGATGCTCTCACCTCTCTTGCTACCCGAGTCTGAGGGCGGTCCCGACCTCGAGAGGGCCGATGAGGCTCTCCGCCAGATGTGCGAAAAGGCATGGTCTATCTCGGCTAAGATGTTCACCTCGCGCTGGACTTTCGAGTTCCGTTTCCCCGATACTGGAGTGCGGTTCAACACCGGAACCATGGTTGGCATTGCGCCCAATATTGGACCGCAGCTCTTGCAGGCTGAGCACTGGCGCGTGCAGCTGGTGGTTACCCCAGTAATCACCGTCCGCAACGATACGGGCGCTTCCATCTCGGTGGCCTCCATCACCAGCGCTCACGTCATCTGCATGAAATAGTTGGTGGGATATCGCTAAAACCACTTCACTGCTTTTCATTGTGCGCTTCTCTTCACTAATGAAGCTTTCTCTATATAACGAGAAAGCGGATGTACGACTCACGACTTACGACACGTTTGCGACTTTGCTTGTTCCTGGTCTCCTCAGCAAGGCTCTCCAACGAGACACCAATAATAAGAACAACAGAGCGGTACCTTCACTACCGCCAGAGTTACTTTTCGAGAACCTGAAATCAGAGCCAACATTATTATTAGCAAGGCTTTCACCGATCACGGAGAGCAGTGCCACAAACAGGCAAGGTTCTCGGCACGAAGAGAACAGTGCCACCTTTACCAGTACATCATTGGACGAGGCCGACGGGATCAAAGACGACTATAGCATTCATCATCTTTGGCACGAATTGGACTTCCTCTCTCTCAACATGTAGGAGTATTTGGACATGCGTCCCCGATTCCTTTGCCTCCTTTGGGAATGGATTTGCGAGACCTTTGGAACAGCTCGGAGGATTGGGGACGGATACACAGGAATTGGGTTCGAGATTGGCAATTGCGAAAAAACGATTAAAAAACATCAAGAAAACAAACATAGGTTTCCTTTTGTTTCCAGGGGGGAATGTCCCTGGCTAGCTACTTTGAGCACTGAAGTTTCCACCAATTCTCGAGGGACGATGTGTGGCGGCTAAGGGAGGGGATCTGGACTAGAGAAAATGGCGACAGAAAAGTACACAAAAAAAAAAGCAGAAAAGGTCTTGTAAACACTTGGTTCCCAAAACGACCGTGACTTGGAAATGTGGACATGGTGAGGTAGGCCTCTAGGTAAGTCTCTACGTAAGGACGGTATGCGGAGCATTCAATCACTTCAGGCAAGTTTGTCTGTGTGTCAGACCGAAATCTCCATAGTTGGCTTGTCACACCGCAATGCTTTGAGCCAAGCCACATGTCCGTCAAGTCACGTTTTCATTGTAATTGTCAATTCACGAGAGAATCAAGATGGATTTGGAGACTTTGCGATAATTCATTGCACTCTACTGGCGCGTTAGTCTGTTCGGCACCGGCAGTGCCGTCTTCGTGTATACATATAAGCAATGAAGACTAGGGTATTTGATCTTCATTTGTCGTGAGTCGGCCGTTTCCAACTCCATCCAATCCTCTATCCCAGAACATCCCTATTTCGTCTAATCGGACGACTTGCGGAACTTGTTGACGACGCGTTCGATACCATCACAACCCTTCTTCAGGGTCTCCATCTTGGGGCCGTAAGAGAAGCGAACAAAGTGGTGGCAAGGGCTGTCGAAGAGATCACGACGTCTGGAAGGGTTCAGATCGAAAAAGATACCAGGCACGACGATGACCTTCTCCTCCAGACAGGCCTGGAAGAAGTTGAGACCGTCCGCAATGGCATCGGGAAGACCTTCAAGGTTGAGCCAGCTGGAGGCATGTTAGTCTCGGCGCTTACCCGCAGCTCCTTCAACGCCAGCAACTTACAGGTAGAAAGTGGAGTCAGGGACATATTTAATGACGAATCCCATCTCACGGAGTCTGCGAACGACGTAATCACGCTTGTCCTTTTCAATTTGTTAGAACCCGCCAAATCCAAAGCCGCTCATTTGACTTACGCGGAAGTGCTTCTGCAGGGAGATCATCTCCGTCTTGACAAGGGTAGGGTCGAGCATGGGAATTGCCGCCTCCTGGAAGGGGTGGTTGGCACCACCATCGAGGTAGCTACCGCAAGAGCCAATACTAGAGTTGTGTGTCAGGGTCAGTCTCCGGTCCCAACCTCTCCAGTCATCAATATATATAAACATGGACAACTCACGCCTTGATGTATTCTGCACGACCATATTAGCAAGCAATTCGTCATATTCGTGAGAATTCATCACATACCCTTGGGACCAAGAATCCACGCAACACGCCAGCCGGGCAGTCTGAAGCGCTTGGTCAAGCCATCAATGATGAGGACATCATCCTCGTCGACATCCTCGACGTTCTCAGCCGCAGAGATGGTACTGCCGTCACAGTTGCTCGTATAGTTGTAGCCGGAGTAGAACTCGTCGCTGACGAAGGTGGCGCGGCCACGGCAGATGTCTTGGATCTCAGCCAACTCGGGGTTGGCGACGACACGACCGGTAGGGTTGCGGGGGTTCGAGGTCAGGATGACAGAGGAGCCACGGGAAATCTCCTCGGCGATGCGGTCGGGGTGGATGTGGTAGCCGTCCTCCTCGGCCAGAGGAACGGGGATGGCGGAGAACTGAGGACCCAGAGTCAGCTGCTATTCATTCTATCAGGCTCCAAATGCAGCAACGAATACATACGTTCTTGAAGAGAGACAACATTTCGTTGTACGCCGTGTAGTCGGGTAAGAAGAAGGAGAGATAAGAGTTGCCAAGAACGGCAGCGATGCGAATCAAACCGGCGCGACCACCGGGGACAATAGCGACGTTCTCCCAAGTGTACTTGCTGTCCTTGCCTTCACGGTGCATGACATTGTAGAGGTTGGCAACGGCCTCGCGAAGCTCCCTGATACCTGCGGTGGGACCATACTCGCGGCCGGCCATGGAGATGTCGATAGTGGTGGGACGGGGGAAGCAGCCAGCAATGTCGTCCTCGACTTCGGGGGCACCCTGGCCCAGGTTGGCCCAAGATTCGGGATCCTCGAGGAAACCGTACTCGGAGGCGCGCTCAGTACACCAGACGACACCAGTGGAGGAACGGCTGGCATCAAGACCAGCATGGGGTTGGTGGCCCTCGTGGGCATTGCGGAACTGTCTGTGAGTCTTTGACTGGACCTCTGATGGGAAATGTCAGCCTTCACGTTGTGGTGAAATTATCACAGCCAATGGCGCCGATTGGGAAGCCAAGAATGACATCGAGCTTGAGTTGGAGCTGTGTGGGGAACGAGGGGCAACTTTGCTCAGCTCCTACCCCGCACTCAACACCACAGCTTGACGACAAGCTTTTTTCCCATCCTCCCTGCTGTGCGTATCTGCAGAGCTTGGTCGATGTGATGGAGTATTGAGCGGAAGAAGGCGTCGTTCAGAAAGCTGGAGTGGAATGTGTAGAGGAAGGGAGAAGGGGTTTTCATGCTTACCGTTGCCTCCAACCTCACCGACACTGAAGCGTCTTGGCTTAGGCACACCGGTGTGCCGGTTGATGGAGAACTTGCGATTGCTGAACATTTTGCCTTGTTGCACGCAGCTGGCGAATGTGTGTGGGCTTTGTTATGGGAACGGTGATAGGAGGTATTAACAGCTGGATTCTGGAAGCTGGGACTGAGAGGGGGAGAAGGACTTTAATGGTCGATGGCAAAGGTTTCTCCGATATCACCTGGCTGGGGAAAAATCTGGGGAAGGTGAGGATGGAAGAGTGCGGGTGTGGGAAAGGTGAGGCTAAAAGTAGAAGGGGAAAGAAAGGGCTCCTCACCTTTTCAAGGTGAAGCAGCGAGGGGCACAGAAAAACGTCTTATACGGGAAAGCTGCGAAAGGCTTCTCTTTACCGGCACTTGGGCCCTGACGTTGGCTTGGGAATCCCTGCAGATCAGGAATGCAGCTCCCATGCAGGCTCTTCCAGATGTGGGGTTTTGAGGATACGATAGGGATGCTGATTGGCTGTGAAACCGATTTCTCTGTTCTTGAAGATGAACGTGGGACTGCCACTTGACGGAGTTGGGCGGATGGTCACCGAGCAGGGCGACGAGGGCACGGGGGGTCAAAACAGGTCCAGGAAGAAGAACGGCAGCAAACAGTGTTTGTGTCTACATTGTACAGCCAGAGCCAGTCTGAGTCTAGTCTGCGCCGAATCCGTGCCGCCTGTGCCGTCTTCAGGCCAGGATCAATAAGTACCGGATCGTCGATCTGTCACCCTCAGATTCGGTGAGTGAACGCAGCGTAGAGGACAGTACTATGTTTGCAAGGAGACTCTCATAAAGGAACGCAACGCCAGCGCGACTCCGTGCCCGGACGATGCCCCTCCTCTGCTCCTCGTTCTCCCTCGCCAACGTCAACGATTCGGGTTGGTGCGACCACAGTACGTAAAAAAGCGGTGTCTAGTAGAGTCAGTGTCCTGCTCCAAAGCGGATCTCCGCATCGCGGCCTGCCCCGTACCCAGTTGCAAATGCGATTCGTGCCCAATCAGTGCAGGAAGCCGTCTCCCGTCCCGGATCGAGGGCCGTGAGGGCCTAACTTATGGGGGGAATCGGCCCTCGCCAGACCTTCTCCAGAGTCTAGTAAGGGGCACGATATCTCTATTTATCGTAAGTATCAATGGCACACGCAGTGGATGTTGCACAGCATCTCTGGGTTGCTGAACTCCTAGCCCAATCATGGCAGATAAGCCCAGCCAGGGCGGATCCCGAACGCGACCTGCCGGAACATTCAGGGCGCTTGTGTTGTCGTCGTGGGCCGGCGCACCCGATCACCGAATTTGACACACTTTCCACGTCTCAGAGCGATGAACGCCTTTAGAGAATTCGACCAGCAAAATTATTTGGCCATAGCCAGCACCAGTAAATTGAGCCACTAATTATTAACGCACGACCCTTCAGCCCAGACGCACCCAAGAAAGAGAAAGCCCCATTATGAATGGCCTCGAAACAGTGGCTGCAGTGTCCCAGAAGAAGCTCGCGACACCGGCGACGGCGAGTGCAGAGTTCGTTGGGCTCCGTGTTCCGAGACCTTAGCGCCATCTGGAACCCCTCATTCGCGGCCCCTGGAAGGGACGGAACACGGCCGACGATGCAGGCCGGCCGAAAACAGTCAGCAAGATCACGTGACCATTCGTCTTCTCTTTCCTCGCCAAGCCTCGACGCAATCCCAAGAACCCGGGCAGACAAATCATGACACTTCCTATCTACTTGGAAAGATAGATCCGAGGCATCTAGGCACTCAGTTTTTCTCAAGGTTAGAAGGGGTGAATCACGTGCTGGTCACCAGGCACAGTCACGGGAGGTGAATCAGGTATGGCAGTGCAAGAACGCCTGTGGCGCTGCCGTATCCTGGCTGGCCAATCAGATTGTATGTGTATATCCACTCGGGTCACAGCCACTCACTCCGCCCGACGTTGAGTCCCGCAGAGCCTGCTCCTCATCTAGAAGCCTCAAAGGTCATGATCTCTTGGAAGCAAACCAGTCAGAGCGAATTTCGACTTCAAGACTTAAGGCGGAATCATCAGGCAGATTGTAGAAAGTCTATGAGCGCTTCCTTCAGAGGCGAGGGATAGAATCAATATAAGACGACTCGTTTGATGTAACTCGGCAAACCCATGAACCCCAAATGATTGAGAACAAAGACCTGAACAATATCAACTCATCCATATTGACAACTTGACATTCCACCTTTGTGGCCCATCATTTTACTGAACAAAATAATAAGTCAAAGTTTGGGTGACATCTGTTTTACCGCAAAACTTCCTTCGAGAAAGAACAAAACCAATTCACCTACTCCAATAGCTCCTGCCCAACTTTGACACTTATATCAAGTCCACTGCGACGGCAGCTTTTTTTCCACAATGCCTTACCTCGACGATTCTTTCCTTTCCCAAAATTTCCTCTCCGCCAGCAAGAAATCTGAGATCAGCATGTCTTTCTTGGGTGCCGTCAAGCAGAAGATTGGCCGCAGGTCATCTTCAGCTTCTCGCGAGTCCAAGGAGGCATCCCAATTCAATATGCCGAGTCTCGGCAGCAACAATCCATTTTCCAGCTCTGCGGTCAAGCCCTCCAATCGTGAGTCTTCGCCTGACATCATCGTGACCCCTCCGTCTCCGATTAAAAGCGCTGACAGACGTTCAGCTCCCGACCAGCCCCCCCCAGCCTACTCAGAATTGGCACCCGCTCCATCGGGAGACGGCGACCTAGGAAGTAAAGGCGGCTCGGTTAGAAGCCCCTCGCCCGCCCCATCCAATGCCGGGCCCATCATATCGAGCAACGGTATGAGCATTTCGACACCCGAGGACCCCTACGCATTCCTTTCCTCATTCGATACCATTCTCGTTATTGACGATTCGGTGTCCATGTCTGGCCGCTCATGGTCCGAGGTTCGGGACGTCATCCGCAACATCGCCCCGGTCTGCACGTCACATGACGAGGACGGTGTTGACCTATACTTCCTCAACCATGATTCCCAGGCTGATGGCAATCCTTGCGAGGGCAAAGCCCCGGGTGGCTACTACGGCATCCGTCGTGCCGAAACGGTCGAGGATATCTTCACTTCTGTTCATCCACGCGGCGCTACGCCCACTGGTCAGCGTCTTAGAGCCATCCTCAAGCCTTATCTTCAGCTTGCCGAGACCAAGAAGAATAACATCGAGAGTGTCAAGCCCATCAATGTCATCGTCATCACTGATGGCGCGCCATCCGATGACGTCGAGGCACCCATCATCGCCGCAGCCAAGAAGCTTGACAAGCTTGACGCTCCCATGCATCAAGTCGGTATACAGTTCTTTCAGGTTGGCGACGAGCCCGGTGCCCGTGAGGCGCTTTGGGAGCTCGACGATGAAATCGTCGGCAGTGTCGATGGTGATCTTCGAGATATGGTCGACACCGTTACCTGGGAGGACGGTAACCGCGGCGTTCTCACGGCAGACAGCATCCTCAAGGTCGTTCTTGGCGCGGTGGTCAAACGCCTCGATCGCCGTCGTACGACTGGCGAGAGCCGTAGCTAAGAATGGCCAGTTGCTTGTCTCTTTCTACTTTGTTAGTCAATTCGGGTTCCGATGGCGTTTGGGAGGATAGAATTGGTTTCCAGTCTCTCTTACGAGGCTCTATTACAAGAGACACTAGTAGCGCAAGCCAGTACCTGATACACAAGGCAAGGCTTTCAGAATTATTCCTCCGTTGGAGACGGGTATTAAGTGTGCTAGATGAGGAGGGTAACATGGCTCACGCCGTTGGGGAAGGTCGATGCACTACCTCCCATTTCAGTGGAAAACATTTATTAGTCAAAGACAGAAAATTTGTCTTCGTTGAGACTTAGACCAACTTGCGAGAACATTCAATATGCGTGGGGGGAAATGTGACCGAGTTACAATCTGTACGCCGGAACGCCCGTTGAATTGATTGATCAAGACAAATAGAAATAGAGAAGGCGAGGGGTCTGGAAATTGCTAGGAGATACTTTTGGCAACTTTAACGCCAAGCGGGACCCACCTCACTCTCACCTTGAACATCGTCAATAATAGACTCCCACCACAACTCACCAACACCCCCCCCCCCCAAAACCCCGTCCTCGGTTTTCAAAGGCTCAAACCCTCGCTGCAATTACCCTACCGGAAACCACCAGAGACGTAAGACATTTCCCAAATGAGACCACCACTAAGCTACATCCCACGTCTGTACGCGCCTCTCCGACTTCACATCCGCCAATCAGTCGGACTGTCACCCGCGCTGACCGCCGCCACCGCGACGACGTCGAGGTTGACGTTCAACAGCAGCATGAGCACATCATCGGGCCCTCAGGCGACGACAAAGTCGACCGCTGCTACGGGAGCATCAACCCAGGAGGCGGGAGCTGCACGGCAAGGTGAAGGTGAAGGGAGGAACCTGAACAGTAGCCACCGAGAGCACCACCCCACGGAAAGCACGTCACCGGCCCCTAAAAAAACGACATCCAACGCCCCCGCGGAGGCCAGTCCCAACGCCAGTGGCGCCGATTCTAGCCAGCGCCAGCCTCACTCCCAGGGCGACGATCAGGGCCTTGCTGATGCTCAGCGGCAGGATGGACCCCTGGCTTTGCCGCCGCTGCCCGAGACCTCGTCGTCGTCTGCTGCAGGCGGGAGTCCCGAGGGAGGAGACAACAAGAGCAACAGCGGCAGCGGCAGTGGCAGCAACACCATCACGCTCGACATGAGCGGCGGCGACGGCGCCTCGACCAAGCTGGACCACCTGGGCCCCCTGGTCGTCAACCAGGACGGCACCATGTCACGAATCAGCAACTGGGGCGAGATGACGGAAATTGAGAGGCGCAACACGGTGAGGATCTTGGGTAAGAGGAACCAGCTTCGTCTTGCTGGGCTCAGGGGGGAGAAGAACGGGGCCGAGGCTGAGAAGTGAAAAGTCAGGACGGGAGAAAATTAGAGACCTTTCCCCCTAATTTCTCACTACTTCTCTCACATTTTCTTCACTGTACGGATATACTCGGACAGACTCGTGAGAGGCCTGTAAATAGTTTGTCAAAGATATTGGAAGATTGAGTGAAAGGCACTCTGGTAGTTCCAATAGCGGATGACCATTTTTTCATCAAAGGCATCAACGAGGGTGGTAAGGCCGAGTGCTTTTGTAAACTACTGCACAAGAACAGCACCCGAGAAATATCGTCTCCATTCATGAGTCTTGTGTCGCCGTCCCGTCTTCTACGGATACCTGGTCCTGTGCCCGCCACCCCCATTGCCCCCCTAGACAGGATTTTCGTTTCGCCATCCTCGTCCCATCGTCGCCCTTATCCCGTCCTATCCCAAGCCGTCAAATGCGTCTTACTCTTACCCAGCCCACCACATTCCGGAGAGAGTACGTCGTTATGGATTAGCGGGTTTTGAGTTTTTTCCTTCGTCTCTGGAGTTCGGATCCTCTGCCATGGCCCAAAGGAGGCAGTAGAGCCAGGCGGCCCTAGGCCACCTCGTGGGTGAGACCGGGCCCTGAGTACCTCCCAACTCTACCTAGGACACGCGAGTTCTGGCCATCAGTTCTTGCCGTTTGCTCGTCCACGGGGTATGTCGGTGCTGTGGAGCGCGGGGGTCAGCACGACCGTAGAGCTGAGCAGCGGCTCTTGCTCCCCGACCCGTTCTGGCAGAAGAGCAGGTGAGGCCAGGGGATGCCTGTGCAGGCTTGGTGGTTGAACTCTACCTAATGGGGACCGTGGGAGCACGCCTTCAGGTTGCGGGATGTTGAGACCTACACTATGCACAGTAACCTGAGCAAGGTGGTGAAAACAAGAGCTTCAGGAGTTTGGTAAACAAGATTTTAGAGTTGACCTAGTCAATAGCCTTAGGGTCGAAGAACCCATCCGTATAATTCATTGCTGTGATATACTCTATCACGCCCCAGATCATGAGTTCGTGCAGGTATACGTACATGTAAAATCTCATCACATGTTGCCAATCAGTAAAAACAAGCCGCTCAATAGTACCGCCCGTTCATCTCCCCTCTATCCTCCTGTTACGAATCCCATCCACATCGTTTCTTCTCGTCCTTCCACGGTATAAAATCCATTTGATGTCAGAATAAAACTTGACGTCTTGAACATAAAAGGCATTGCGTACAGGCGTCAGTCGGAGGGAAGGAAGTGCATCATCCGAGTGTTGACCAAGTTTGCCATTTCTACTTTGCCTCCTCCGCCTTGAGAGAGTCCGAAGACGTCGCAGTTGTCTTGGTCTGCTTGTTCTGAAATTCCTTGAGCATGGAAGCAATGTCCTCGCTACCCTCGTTCTTCTCCATTACGAGGTTCTTGAGCCAGCGGTTCTCGGTTTCGAGGAGGCTGATGCGCTGCTCCAAAGCTGAGACCTTGTCGGACATCTCCTTGGCGCTCTTCTCGAGAGCCTGCTCGCGCTGCTTCTTCTTGATGCGGAACCTGGCACTGGCGGCGGTGTTTCTCCTGCGCTTGTCCTCCTCAGCGGCAACGCGGGACTGCTCCTCGAAACTGTGACCGGGCCTGCTGACTCCATTCAGAGACTCGGGAGTTCTGGTCTCGGCGGCTGTAGGCGTGGGAGCGGCATAGTGGTGGTTGTGCTGCTGAGATACAGGAGGCGGTGCGTAGGTGGGTTGCGGGTTGGGCTGAAGAGGTTGAAGGTTACCCAGGCCTTCGGCGAAGGACGGTACGCCCGAGGCAGGGTAGGGGTTGGTGAAATCGTGAAAGTTGAATTCGCCTGTCATTGTTCATGGTCAGATGGATGTTTCAAGGCAGGAGTTATCAGTTCCTGGCATCGTGGCGTCGTCGAGACGGCGGAATGAGGGGAAAGACGGGGCGGATAGCGCTTGATCAAAGGAACAACCGCATCGACGAGTCTAAATGTTGGAGATACAAGACCTTCAATCATAGCACTTGCTTAATCGGTGTCGGATAGCGGCTGCCCAAATGGTCGATGCATCCCTGCTAGGATGGATGACGAAAAGTCACGGGATATGGCACCATTCCCCGGCAATTTGTAAGCTCCAATCTTTCGCGGCTCTCCCGCAACACCGCTCGCCGGTAACCTGCATAAGAGCAGGCAGCCTCTCTCCCAATCAAGACATCTGAATGAAACATGGACTGCGCATGAACAGGGTGGGGTAAGAAAAGACAGGTTCGTAGGCTGGTGATAAGTCGGTCGCATGCGTTTGGCTGCGACCCTGAGGGAAAGCTGAGCTGATCGCTAAGGACGTGAGGTTTATTAAAGTTCAGAAAAGCCACTTGACTCGTGTCTGAATGGTGAATCTTCATCCGTTTGCCATTCGCCCGACGCCATAGTGACCGAGGCAGTAGCTATCGGTATCCTAGCAGATCGGCGAGGGGAAAAGTAGATTGTGAAAGGTGAAGGTGGTGAGAGGAGTGAAAACAACGGTACGAATGAGCCGTATTTTTGGTGCCTGGCCACAAATCCGCATCAAACCACAAGTAGGCCCGCAAACCTGGAGGTGAACAAGAAAGGAGACGGTACGGCAGTCCAAAGCGAACATGAAGAAAGCAGCGTCTCACCTGGCAGGGAAAAGTCAACGTTGCCAAAGTCGCCAATTGGAGACGTCAATTCTTCGGTAACGGCGCTGGACGGAGCCTGGGGCTCAGCAACGGCAGCGGTCTCGGGCTTCTTGGGCGGTGCCTGGTAGTCGGTGTGCTGACCGGTCTCGAAGTCGAAAAACTGAGTGTTTGTGAACATGGCGAGGTCGTCCTCAAAAGTGAAGTTCTCCTCGGCGGAGCCGGGCTCCTTGACGGTGTTCAGGTCACGCAGGTAGCGAGACACATTGGGCGCACGCCCACCCCCAGTGCTTGTGTAAGGCGACATGTCGCTCGGCCGGTGAAGGCTCTCGATTGCGAAGCCGGCGGTTTCGATCCAAAGAATAAAGGGGCAGAAGAGCAAAAGGGTTCCGTCAAATCGACTCCAGGGCGAGGGTGTCGATTTGTTTTGTGGTTGTAAAAGACTGGGTCCTTGAGGTCAAGTCGAGGACGGCGGCGATGGCGTTTAGTGGGTTGGTGTTGCGGCCGCGTTGGTTGGAAACCCCCCAATATAGTTGTATTAAATCCGCGCGGTTCAACGACCAGGATCGATTCCAACTTTTGCTCGGCGCTGAAGTCGGCGACGATGGAGGGGCAAATTGGCGTCGAATCGGGTAGATGTAAGACGAGACCTGGCGATGGTCGCGGGTCGTCGAATGCGTCGGTCGGATGTTCTCCTGAGAGGCTGTCTGGCTCTCGAGTGCGATGGTCGTCTCGGTCTCTGGCTAGATTGCTGCGTGGTTCAGGGAGGAGTGGATGGGATGGGGGAAGAGGAGTCAAATTGGGCGAGAATGAAGCCTTTGTTCGGAGACGCAGGTTGCGGACACAGGCCGAGTGGATAATATTAGTCAACTTCTTTACCACAGCGCGACTTTCAGTGCCCCGAGGGAGGGGGCCCCCCAAGGATGCTCGGAGCTGCTGGTTGGTTGCCACCATTGGCCGACGGCCTGTTCATTTCCCTGCAGACCACCCCACGCATCTGCGTACCGCTGCAGGCTGGTCCAGCAGAAGCAGCAGAAGAGTGGTGGCTAGGTTGCTAGCCATCCAGGCCTGGAACCTCCACCCACACACGACGCTTCCCACGTCCTCTCCCACCACTTTGATTTTCGTGCGGAAGAGGTAAACACCACAGCCCATTCGGATGTGCAAGATACCGCTGGCACCACACCATTATTGTCCTGCGGAAGAGGTCACTGGTACCATAGGGGCGAGGTGAGCCCCCACCGGCCGATGAACGGGGCCGTGCTCCATCTGACGTCGCATCCAATCATCTGCGGGGATCTTGGAGTCGACATGTGCTAAGCTTCTACATTTGCTGGTAATCATAATACGGCCAAGTCACTGCGAAAGGATAATCAAAACGGCAGTATTCTCATAACCTGTGCCTTCTTTCCGAACACGCCCTTTCCAACTCCCGGAACCATGACCGGGAGGCATGCTGAACACTCGATCTTGAACCCCTCTCTACATTTACGATCCACCCGTCATCACCCACCCAGGGTTGGCGAACGAATCATCACTAGGCCAATGTTCTGAGAGCCCCGCGGCAATTGCGCATCTCTGGCCTGACAGTGTCCTGACACCCCTCGTTTTCGGGCTGTTGGCAATTGACGTCTTTGGGTCGCATTTTTGGTTGATCGATAGTGTCCCGGGGGCTTCAACCTTGGCTTTGTCTCTCTACGGATAGTCGAGTTTTTGACGACGGGAGTGAGAAAATTCTGACGCTGCCTCGGCTGCCAGCCAGTGATGGCTTTGTGGCTTCTCTTGGACTGAGTTCCAGAAACATTTCACAGGCGAAACGTTATTACACAGATTCTGAGTTTTTATGCGCACACTTCATGTCCACTTACGCTGTGGCTTGCACCGCTCGAGGTAGATTATTAATGCTTCGGCACTAAACACCGGCGGTAAGTGCAATACCCGCGCTACGGTCGCAAAACCATCAGCTAACCCAACCACGTTTGTCGTTGCTGACGATGAAAACCCGGGTTCACCATGACTCGGCTGGTCTCGTTTGGGCTTGGTCGCGGGTTTCTGGTGTCAACCTTGCCATGTTTCTTCTGGCGTGTCTGGGCATGCCTGGCATCGTCTTGTGAAAGGACCCTTAAATCTGAATTTCTAAGCAACCCCTCCGACCGTCGGAAGCGCCACCGGCCAACTTCGGTAAGTAGGCCCGACCGTGCCTCTCAGCCGCGGCATTCTGCATCATCTGTTACTCCCGTCTTCTTCAGGGAGTCTACCGCGCAAGACCAGGACCGCCGCCCGCCAGGTGTGCTATGCTGCCAGGTCCCAGAGCATTGCTGATAGATTGCCAGAGAAGGAAAGTAGCTCCGCTGGCTGGCTGGGTACTGCTGCCTGTTGTTTTGTCGCTGCCCACACCCCGGCCTTTGCAAGTTTGGTGCCAACCATCTTAGGTAAGGCACATCTCAGTCCCAGACTTCCAGGGCTCGTAAAGCCCGCCGTCGCCGCCGATATTTCCTTGGCTCTCCACTGTCAACAATTTGCTGCCGTTGGTGGCGGGCTCCGGGCTGGGTGCCTTGGCCGCCGGCCTCATCTCTGGGCCCCGCCAACGCGCGTTGTCGGATCGGGCACCCATAACCCGTACCCGTCTGACCTTGCCTACCTAAGCAATCCGATCCTGTCAGCGTCCCTGCCTCCCTTGCCTAGGCCCTAGGTTGTTCAACCTTAACGACTGCCGCCCACAGAGCCACTGCTCCGTGCCCCTCCGTTGTGGCCCGTGTCCCCTGTTTGCGGCAAGCCCCTCCGACCCCGTATGCGACATGTGCTCCGTGCACCAAAACTGCACACGCGACGCGTCTTCGTTCTACGGATACAAACGATTCAATGACCAGCATTAGAGCCCATCTCCGCTTAAAATACTTCAGCCTCACCTACCGGGGTGATTGACGACAATCTTGACCATCACGACAATTCTTTTTTATCTCCACTCACGACGTTCCAGGTGGAACAGCCCACTCGAGACACATCACACCACTCCCAGGTTCTACGCGGAAAACAATGTTTTGATGGCCATGGCACGCTTCTCCATCCCAACTACGGGACGCTTATCATCGTCTGTCAGACTTCCGCCCAACAACTATTCTGTCCAGAAAGCTCTGAGCCGTCTATCGCGTTCGTCTTTGTTGTCTCTGGTCCTTGAATGGCTCAGTGATGACAACGTACAGCTATGCGCACCCGTACTAGATGAAGAAGAGGAAGAAGATGACGGCCTTTACCCCCTGGCATCCTCGCTGGAAGGGCTGCGAACCATCTATATGGATTTACAGTACAGGAAAGGGTCCAAACGAGAGGTTATTGATCGTATCACTGAGGGTGATTGGCATCATGGTCTGACTCTCTACCAAATGGCGCTGGCAGACGCCCAATATCTCCAAGACCACCCAGCATCGCAGAAATGGACTGCCTACCGCGTCATGCCCCTCAAAGAGACTTCATACGTGGACGATGACGAGCAGCCCCCAGAAGTCGACACGGCGTCTCTGACCCTTCCCCGGTTTCACCCATCCACGTTCATCCAAAAGCTCCAATCTCATGTTTTGCCCGACGTCAAAGCTCACTTTCACTTTCACCGACCTCAGGGGCTCACCCTCTCCGTCTTGCGCATTTTCATTATCGAATCTCCGTACACTACGAGTATGGCGCAACTGGGACCTGGTTCCGCACAGTCGGACTCGGAGTTCGATAGTTCACGGACACTATACATCGCCTTTCCGGATGCCTCGCCGTTCGTCTACTTGTCCAAGTCTCAGGCGGTGGGGTCTCTGGGAGGAGGCGAATCTAAGAGCTTCCGCAACCTGGTCGTCGAGGGGATACCGAAGGCGCTTTCTCGGCCCCGGGAACGGTACACACTCAAGCCTACAAATATTGCGACCAAAAACCTGGATGCGCTGTTGCAATCAAGAGGCGTTGGCCGAACCAACGCGGCAGGCGGCGGCTGGGACATTTATGCCGACAAGAAGAAGAAAGAATCACCACTTGACACCGTCTTACCGACACCACCCTTGTCGGAAGATTCAGCAGACGACACGTTAGCTTCGGCGGCAAAGAGTGAATCCAAACGAAAAGCCGGCACTTTCGACGTAAGTGAAATTTTTTGCAAGAGAGCTCGTCTATGTGCTCAGGCGAGATTCGGTGAAACTGCCAAGATTAGCGATGGGCTAGGAATCGAGCGGGTAGACATTGTCATGGAAGACCCTTTCCCCGGCAACAGCTCTCGAGCTACTCGAGCCGAGGATGACCAAGGTCTTGAAAACCCAGCAGGCAGAAATCAGGCCGAATCGACACGTGGTCGCAGGGGCAATGTCGAGACGCTCTCAGAGGACGAATCAGATGCGGAAGACGATCGGACCCGAACAAAATCGCCAAATTGGGCTCCCAACGTCAAACTTACGTTGCACGGATCGCATGTATTTGCCGGCATACGGCAACTAGTAGAGAACGGCATCATAGATGGAGAGCGGGTCCCGGGATGGTTGACTGGGGAAGAGGGTGTCACTGTAGGGGCCGTCCGGCATGGCAGGATCAGGGGCCACAAAGGCTCTGGCATATGAAATCTCCCATGACAGGAGAGTCTCGTAGGTCGCAGCTGTTGCGTTGCGCGTAAACCCTCAATGAGCTTGATACCCCTAAGTGATTTATTCGAAAGTCTTCTTGTCTATTAGTCTACGCCGAAAACCTTGACAGTATTCCTCCAAGCCGCCTCGCATATGTCCTCAACTTCTACTCCCTTGATGCCCGCAACAGCTTTGGCCACACGCTCAATCATGCATGGCTCGTTCCGACCCTTGATCATGGCGCCTTCCTCCCACTTTTCCTTCTTAACAACCTTGAAGCGCTCTTGTACTTCGGGTTCCTTCTTCTGGTTCTTCTTCTTAGGCTGAGGTTTCGGAGCAGCGTCTGGAGTTGTAGCTCCACCAGCAGTGCCGTTGACCTCCGGTTTCTTCTCAATGAGATACTTGTAGCCGAAATGACTTGGTCTAATCTCACACCAAGGGCCGTCCGTCTCAATCATCATCCTGTCCAGGCCGATCTGCTCGACGACTTTACAATTCTCCTCGGTCTTGAAACTGCAGCCGTTGATACCAATGTACAGGCCGAGATCCATCAACTCCTTGGCCTCCTCGATGGCGCCGGTGAAGCTGTGAACAACACCGCCCTTCTCCAGCTTCTCGAGCTTGTCGCCGAACTTCTCCTTGAGCAACCGAACGAAATCCGCATGGGCGGCTCTAGAGTGCAGGAAAAGGGGCAGCTGAGGCTTCGTCTCGAGAACGAGATCAAGCTGCGCCGCGAAAGCGTGGAGCTGGACCTTCTTTGAGCAGTAGTGCAAGCGGTCGTAGTCGAGCCCGAACTCTCCAAAGGCGACAACGCCGGAATTGGAGGCTGTTGATTCGTTGATGAGGTCACGTAGCTCGGCTATGATGGCCTCCGTCTTCTTCAGATCCGGCTCATGGTGCTCAGGGACAGGCTTTTCGGGATCCGGGTTCGTGTTGATGCCCTCTGCGGCCTCATCCGAGCTGCTGAATATGGCGCTGCTACAGGGGTGAATCCCGATTGTCGTGTACACAACGCCGGCTTCAAACGTAACGTCAACACAGGCTGACGTGAATGACACTGCTTTTTGACTCACGATAGTCCTTTGCAATATCCAAGGCATCTCTGGAGCTGGTAAAGTCGGACCCCGTGACTATAAGCTTGGTGCATCCGACTTCCTTTGCTCTTGAAACGACCCCAGCAAGGTCATTGGGGTGCCGTTGCTTGCCATGGTGCAGACCCCTAAAGATGGGATCGGCCAGGTTGATGCCGATCTACGAGGGCTGGATGGTTACTAAGCTGACTCGTTACTATGTGGATATTGATGATTTACACACATCAATATACCGGGGCTGATATGCCGGCTTAGACTCCTCTGCAGGAGCTGCCATTGTGACTATGGGCGATGGTGACGGCAGAAAGACGCTTCTAGGCAGTGATTGAAACAATTTTTGCGGCCGTGCCCTTGTGAGAAACAGCGTTGAGAGTCCTCTCATGGGTGGTTGGCAATGACGTCCTCAATTCCCAAGCTCTGTTGTCTACTAGGCGGGAAACCCTTGGTTGATATAGTTGTGACTTTGATTGGCCTCATCTTCACTGAGGCCGTTTAATTGATTTTGGCCTCGTTCACGTGACATCGTGATGAAGTGGACCCCGGGCTATGATGCGACGTGCAGCGCACGCGTAAAGTGCCTACAGAAAAATCCATTAAAGTGCAGGCACTGCATCACTGCACTGAAACGGCGGGGAGAGGTCAACGCGTGCACTAAGGTACGTCGGACGCGAGAAAATCAATTAAACGATTTCTGGGTGCATTCCAAGCAAGACGGTTCCTCGTGGCAAGTTTCTGGTTGCAAGCGGCAACCCGCGTATGACAAGAGAGAAGAATGGGAAGAGACAAACAACATCCACAGTGAGGTGGAGTTTTCATACTTGATTTCCAAGCCTGTCGCGGCATTAGTCAAGTGGTGGCCAGTTGTGAGATTGAGACTGTCCGTCTTTACAGTGCAAACGCGGTCGTCCAGTGTGGTCATGGCAGTGTTGGCTCGGGGATGCGAACGTGAACCGAGGGGCCTGGCCGGAGATGCCTAGCTTCCAAGGCCGGAAAACCACTTTTGCCAGCCAATCTTTTATTGATGCCTTGTCCTGCCCCCTGCCCCGTCGCGCTAAAGTCCCTTTTGGCGTTGAGACCCGTGGACGCGTTTCTACGCGAATTGGCAGTGCCTTAAGTATCTGCAGCACCTCTGAGCATCTTTCTGCTCTCTTCTCCCCCTCCCACAATCCAAACTCTCTTGATGAAATTTCTATTTGCACCGATACAATTGTAATTCTTGGTGCGCCTGATACCCCCTCTCTTCTACATCACTCCCCTTCGTCTTCCTACTCTTGGTTGGCATACATCTCCCGCGAGGCAACCTTACAACCCCGTCTCCCACACATTCACCGCCGTACTCGGGCATCATGTTCGTGAGAAAGCGCGGTATGTTTTGCTCTGACGCGTAAAGCGGTCACTCACGATACTGATTGAACGTAGACGGGCGCCAGGAGCGCGTCCAGTTCGACAAGATCACTGCCAGAGTGTCGAGACTGTGCTATGGCCTCGACATGGATCACGTCGACCCGGTTGCCATCACCCAAAAGGTCATCTCCGGTGTCTATGGCGGTGTCACCACTGTGCAGCTTGACGACTTGGTAAGCATGGCTCCTCTGCCTCCAGCCTGAACGCTGGGTGCTAATGATCTCGTGAACAGGCCGCCGAGACTGCCGCGTACATGACCGTCACCCACCCCGACTATGCTATCCTCGCTGCCCGGATAGCAGTCTCCAACCTCCACAAGCAGACCAAAAAGCAATGGTCTTCGGTCATCAGCGACCTCTACCACTATGTCAACCCTAGAAACAACCGGGCCTCTCCCATGATTGCCAAGGAGACATACGACGCCGTCATGAGACACAAGGAAGAGCTCGACTCTGCCATTGTCTACGACCGCGACTTCAACTACCAATACTTCGGCTTCAAGACCCTGGAGAGATCATACCTACTCAAGCTCGACGGCAAGATTGCCGAGAGACCGCAGCACATGATCATGCGTGTTGCAGTCGGCATCTGGGGTGACAACGTTGAGCGCGTCATCGAGACCTACAACTTGATGTCCAGCAAGTTCTTCACCCACGCCTCTCCCACACTCTTCAACGCCGGTACCCCTCAGTGCCAGCTGTCTTCTTGCTTCCTCGTCGACATGAAGGAAGACTCCATTGAGGGTATCTACGACACGCTCAAGACCTGCGCCATGATCTCCAAGATGGCCGGTGGCATTGGTCTCAACGCCCACCGCATCCGTGCCACTGGCTCCTATATTGCCGGCACCAACGGCACCTCGAACGGAGTCATCCCCATGCTTCGTGTCTTCAATAACACGGCTCGCTACGTCGATCAAGGTGGTAATAAGCGTCCTGGTGCCTTCGCCATTTACCTTGAGCCCTGGCACGCCGATGTCTTTGAGTTCATGGATCTGCGCAAGAACCACGGCAAGGAGGAGGTCCGTGCTCGCGACCTTTTCCTTGCCCTCTGGATCCCCGATCTATTCATGAAGAGAGTCGAGAAGAACGCTGACTGGACCCTCATGTGTCCCAATGAGTGCCCCGGTCTGGCTGACTGCTACGGCGAGGAGTTCGAGGCCTTGTACGAGAAGTACGAGCGGGAGGGCAAGGGTCGCAAGACCATCAAGGCCCAGAAGCTTTGGTACGCAATTCTCGAGGCTCAGACTGAGACTGGCAACCCTTTCATGCTTTACAAGGATGCCGCAAACCGCAAGAGCAACCAGAAGAACCTCGGCACCATCCGCAGCTCCAACCTCTGCACTGAGATCATTGAGTACTGCGCCCCTGATGAGGTCGCTGTCTGCAACTTGGCTTCTCTCGCCCTTCCTACTTTCGTTGACTACAACGAGGGTGTCTACGACTTCCAGAAGCTTCATGAGGTCACTCAGGTCGTCGTTCGCAACTTGAACAAGATCATTGATGTCAACCACTACCCCGTTCCTGAGGCCCGCAATAGCAACATGCGTCACCGTCCCATCGGTCTTGGTGTCCAGGGTCTTGCCGATGCTTTCCTCGCCCTTCGCATGCCATTCGAATCTCCTGAGGCCCGTGACCTCAACAAGAAGATCTTTGAGACCATTTACCATGCTGCTCTGACTATGTCGGTTCAGTTGGCCAAGGAGGAAGGTACCTACTCCACGTACGAGGGCTCTCCTATTTCTCAGGGCATCCTCCAGTACGACATGTGGAATGTCAAGCCCTCTGACCTTTGGGATTGGGACTCTCTGAAGGAGCAGATCAAGGAGCATGGTGTCCGCAACAGTCTGCTCGTTGCTCCCATGCCTACTGCCTCCACTTCGCAGATTTTGGGCAACAACGAGTGCTTCGAACCCTATACGTCCAACATTTACCAGCGTCGTGTTCTTGCTGGAGAGTTCCAAGTCGTCAACCCCTGGCTGTTGAAAGATCTCGTCGACATGGGCTTGTGGTCTGATGCCATGAAGAACCGTATCATCGCCGAGAACGGTTCCGTCCAGAACATCCCCAACATTCCTGCCGAGGTAAAGGCTCTGTACAAGACCGTCTGGGAAATCTCCCAGCGTACCGTTGTGCAGATGGCTGCCGACCGCGGTGCCTTCATCGACCAGTCACAGTCCCTCAACATCCACATGAAGGATCCTACCATGGGCAAAATTACCAGCATGCACTTTGCTGGCTGGAAGCTTGGTCTCAAGACGGGCATGTACTACCTGCGTACCCAGGCAGCTTCGGCCCCCATTCAGTTCACCGTCGACCAAGAGGCGCTCAAGATCGCTGATGCCGCCGTCGGCAAGGCTCTGAAGAAGCGCGCGCCCCCCCCTGGCCACGTTGCCGCTCCTGTTGTGAACGTCCCTAGGCCCATGTACGCCAAGAAGGACTCTTCTGTTCAGGATAACGGCATTCCCACCCCCAGCATCACGCCTCCTCCTCCCAGGACAGCTCCAGCTCAGAAGCCTGACAACTTCACTGCCGATATCGCCGAGGGCGACAGCCCTCGTGCTCTTCCTACTGAGCCCGCCGAGATGCTCAAGATCGAGGAGCTGCCCGTCTCTGGAAGCAAGACTCCTGATGCCGAGGACAAGACCGAGGAGAGCAAAGAGAGAGAATTGGATATCTACTCCGAGGCTGTGCTTGCCTGTAAGTTACTTCACATCGGTTCATTTCTGAAGACACCTGCTAACACCCCAGAAGGTAGTATTGAGAACCCCGAGTCCTGCATCATGTGCAGCGGCTGAAAAACAGGAGCTGAAGTTGTGATGGATTTGACGGCTGATGACACACGTTGATGGAATATCATGGGGTTTGGGGCATTTCAGTATGGGATCACGTCGGTAATAGTTTTATGTTTTGGGCTCATGGGTGGCATTGGTCATTGACACCCTATCTGTATTTGTTTGACGTACATTGCTCTGGGCGAGGCTGCCCCTTTGTTTCTGGCAGGGCTTTTTGAGAGAGGGTCTCATCTTTAGATGCTCTTCCGCGACCCAGAGGGCTCGACGGTTCCGAAGCTAGGATTTTGACTGTTGCACACAGATCACGGCGTTGGGAAGAAAACTTGATTGATCGCAAGTCCTTTAGCAGTAGTATAATTGGTGTTTGTCTCATCAACTGCAGCGCTTGCACTCGCGCGAATAGGCTCGACACTGATTCAATGTCCCCTTCAAAAAGCTTGACCTATTTTGAGTAGTGGAAGGCCTCTTATCCTGCGATGCGTTTACCCACAGGTGTAATTAGACAGGTAATCAGACACCATGAGCTGGCACTTGGTCCGGCCAGCACCCGCACAAGTGACCAGTTCCGCCTTATGCGCCAAGTGTCTATACACAGTACGTTGTGCTACCTGAGCCAGACAAACGCATGCGCGGGGAACATGCCGGAGCCGATCATGACAACATCATACCGTGACCTCAACTATCCAAGGCTGCCACACTGGCACACTCATACATATATACGTTTGTATGCGTACGTGTACCCGTACGTTGGCTCCTGGCAAGCAACAACTTGAGTGCGTCCTGCCTATGGGTCAGTGGCAAGAGAGAAGCCCGGAGACGGGTCGCCTGGGACTTACATCACTCTGATCGCCTACACGTCAATCGAAACGAACAAGGGGCTACTGCTCCAATCTTCATATTGCACCCGAATCGCACCAGTAATGACACTGTAATGAGGTTCAGCCATCAATGAGGTTCAGTTGGATCAGTACGAATATTACAATTCACTCCCACGCGCCCCGACGGAATGGGTCGAAGACAGATGGGCAGCCACTGATTCGCCCGCGGAGTCGCGGTCTCTCTCGTCTGAGACGAGCCACGTCGATCTTTTGCCATGTGTAATTTATCGGGGGCAATGGTAGAGGTAGAGTTAGGGGTAGAGTGGCGCGATGAGAGCGAAGCGCTCTTGCTATTCCATCGCAATCACCATCTTTCGTAGAACCACCGAGGGGGGCTTTGGGGGGGTGGCCTTCAAGTCTTTGAACCTTCTCGAGTGTCTAACGACGTCGACAAATCTGACGACCAGTCATAATCGTCTCCTTCGAATTGCCTATGCGGCAAATTTTCCTCGTGCGCTGTAGGGCCAGCCGAAGGTTCGATGGCCATCTGCCAATAACTTCCGAACTTCATCTTACTGCAACTCTCACGGAGTCACAGTACCTGTTCTCTTGGCGGCGTGGCAGCTCTGCTTTTTCTTGTTTGTTTCACACTATTATCGGCTACACGCGTCATGCCACTAACACAACGGTCGCACCCTTTTACATGACACGAGAAAGGAGAGGGGGCGACTCTGCCGTTGCTTGTGAGCTGCCGAGTGAAGACATTTGTTTTCGAGGAGGTGTTTGGACGGAAGAGCACGGATAACACGTGTTTCGCGAGGCAGGCATTCGAGGGCGAACGCACCGATCACCACCTGGGTTGCCAGCGGTTCACGAGTCGGCAGGGATGTCACGTTCTCTCTACTACGCGTCGCACACTCGCTTCCATCAGCGCAAATTCTGGATGACAGGGGTTTTGGTGGAATCCGGTTGTGATCTTTGGCAGGCAGGATTTGCTCGAGGCCTGTTTTGTTCCTCTTTAATTTTTCCCCTTGTGATTGATCGAGAGGGACTCGACGGTCGAGGTCTCCGGATAAGGACGCGATGCCTCGTTGAGAGTCCGTAAAGTGGGTGGCTGGAGTAGTTCGGGCCGTCGTCAGGCGAGTCGCGGCGATAAGGCATTTTTATGGATCGGCCATTGAACAGCAATACGTCAGCACCTTTTCTGATCGTGGCTCCAGAAAGCGGCCGTTCCAGCAATAGCGCGTCAGAGACGTGTTCAGGGCAGACGTGCCGGCCTCGTCGACCGATCTCAACCCATCGTTGGTCCAGCCTGGTCTGACTGCGATGTGCGCAGACCGAGGTGAACTCGGGTGCTTCATCTCTGATGTCTTGGAGCATCTACCACGACATTGCTACCCTCGTCCTGTCTCTCGACGCGACCTTTCGACGGTGGTTGGTTAGAAGCAGAGATTTACTTGTTTCTCGTCTCAAGGTCAACCGCCGTAGTGGCCTAGCGTGGAAAGTTGGAAAAGGCTCATTGAGTAGGGGGGGCTGCCTCCCGATGCGGGACAAACCCTTGGCGAGCTGAGGGATGGGTCCAGTCCCGACAAGATTCGACCAGGGGCCATGGCAACCACCAGCCCCTGGCGTTGGCCCGGGCGGGAGCGCAACGTTGGGGAACCGAATGGCGGTGTTGGTGGGGCGGGGACCTGACGGATGTGCCGTCGCTGAAAGGGCGATGCAGAGCGATGCAGAGCTGGTTTTGGGGCTACTGCGTAGAACGGTACTGATCTCCAGGTCCCACCACGCCGCCGACGCTCTACACTATTGAGAGGTAGCGTGGTGCAGCATGGAAGCTGGCGGTCAACTTGGCATATTGGTCGTTTCCGTTCAGATACCTAGCCTGCGTGGGGAGACCCATACGCGCTCCGAAGTCAGAGGAATCAACTTTGAAAGGGAGCAGCGAGATGGTTCGGCTCACACGAAGTTTTGGCACGAAGGAAGCAGTTGTATGTCTCATGGCATCCGGCGCAGAGGCATCTTGATACAGAAAGGAACAAAAAAGAAAGGGAAAAGTGTGGGAGAAAGTCGTTGGTATGTGGGAATTGACTCTCAAATCCCCAAGCGGAGGAACCTAGCCCATTCCCTGTCGTTTCCCTCCCCATCCTTTCCCTTTTTGCCGAACCTGCCCAATCAAATATCATGGGACAAAGTGTGGAGCGCCACGGCGCCACAACAGAGGGCCCCCGGTGTCATTGACGAATCAGACGCGACGATGTGCATTTGATTGACCTCATCCCTCTTGGTACAGTGATAGCCACACAACCACGTCCGCCCCAGACCTTGCCAGCTAGCACTTTTTTCCTTGATTCCAGCTGTCACTGCGACTCTCCCTCAGTGGCTCGGCGGCATCTGTCTGCCCACGATGATTTTTCTTCTGCCGTCGACCTTCGTCACTCTGTAAGCTATGCTGCCGACTTCCGGCTGCCTCTTTCTAGTGCGTGATTACGGATAGAGGCCAAGCATCGAGCGATGTGCTGCTCCCAAATCAAGGCCACTGTGATGCAAGATGACCGTAGCAAGCTTTATGCGGTAGATACAGAGTACGTTGGTTGGCGCGTCATAGAGGCGAGCTGCTCCGGCTACTGCCTCCTCCTGCTTCCTCGTCTCCCGAAGCCCCGAAATTTGTTTCGAGGTTTTTTTTCAATGGCGCGTCCCCTGTTTCCCATTCCTCATTTCTGGCCCCAGAAGCTTGATTTGTCGCAAACGAAAAGTAGGCCTTGTCTCCTGCCTTTTTAGTGCTGCAAAAAGCAGGTAAACGGCATGGTTCAAACTTCCAACGCAGCAAACAAACCCCCCTCACCCCGTCTCGCAGCAAAATCGCAGTTGTTGATCCAAGCTTCCGGTAAGAAATTAGCTAGAGCCTACCAACGAGGCTCGGAGTTCTGGTTGCTGGGCAGGGTTCTGACAAAGGATTTCACTTGACATGGCATCCATTGCCTTAGCCTGCAGACTCGCACGTCCCCCAGCCTTCTTGCGTTAGTTTGGTGGTTTGGCAGTGTTTGACAGCGTTGCAGCAAAAGGGATGGAGTCGAAAGTGCGTCAGAGCTCAGGCCGAACGAGACCACATGGCACCAGGTCTTTTCACTACTTGCTGGAAAGTAAGAGCTTGGGTCGGGGGCCTCGGGGGTTGGAAAACTCCCGGCTAGACGCTGGCTGCTCGCGGCAGCGGCAGGGTTACCTCAGGATGATCCTGGTCCACATCGCATATCGACCCCGAAAGTAGGTCACATCTCTCATCTCCTTGTGAGATCTAGGCCGCGCTGGCCCCCAAGATTGGTGTCTTGGGATATTACAATTTACTCGAGGGGTACTTCGCCGGGAGCCAATTTCGCCTGTCGAGGCTGTTTGCCCACCTTGTTCTGCTCACGATTAGAATTCAGCTTGCCTCGCAAGATAAGCGTGCAAGCGTGGTCGGTCCTAGCTGAGATGCCAGCCACCGGGCCGACGACTCTCGGGTCTCGGAAGCAGAAGAGGATCAAGATGCAGCTTTGGGGTTGTGGCTGAGGATCCAAGCAGGGTTTTTCTTGTCTTGTTCCTTGGTGCTGGAGTTGCCGGCATGGAGCAACGAGCGAGCTCCGCTTGGGGCCGAGAGCTGTGCACACCAATCTGGCGCCACTTTGCTGCAACACTACCTACCTTAACCTGGAAGGTAGATGAATTCCACATCAGATACCCACATCGATTGACTACCTTAGCTCCGGGCGGCTTCTCATTTGCTGGCTAGCGGCATGTCAACGTCAGGACAAGCGTGAGAGGCAAAGCCGACTAAAGTTGGGCCAAGTACTAGTGTAAAGATGGAGCCGAGATGACATGGTTCTCCAAAATCTGGCTATCAAACAACCTTGTTCAACGGGAAAGCCCACCTCACATTTCACCGCAGATGCTAAAGGTATCTGCAGACTCAGACCAAGTCAAGGTACCTTACCTTGCCCAATGGTGCGAATTAGTGGCCAGGAAATAAGGCCCGCCCATGGACTCAGGTCTACGGGTTAAGGTAGGTAGCAAAGCAGCCAGGTAGGAAGGCACGGCACCGGGTTCGTACGCCGTGCCCAACTGTCTTCCCGCGCCTTCGTCCCCCGATTGACTTATAAACGGGAAGGCACTCCCTTCTCCTTCCTCGATCCTTCCCTCAGTCCTTCAATTAAGGTGCTCGACTCCACGTGACATTGTTTATCCACCTCGATTTGGCACTCTCAAACAGCTGTCCCCCGGATTATCAACCGAGACACCTTAGCTCACCTCACCTCAGCACACCTCGAGTCCCACCAGCTTTCCTCATATACACCAGACTCTCCCATCAACTCATCCCACACACTTTCGCTCCACCACTCCCACGAGATACTCTCAAGCACGCCTTCAACAGCCTCGACAGCTCTGACATCAATACCAATCGTAGGTAAGTCGATATATCGAGATCTCTAGCATCACGAGCCTTCATTACTGCTCTAGCTTCACTTTCCCTTTCCCCCCATCACCAGCTACTTGCCTTAACTTCTGGCTTTTTTGCCTGGGTTTTCAAGGACAAGGAAAGCAGAATAGTGGCACATCGTTGTTTACCTGCTTATGTGCGACCTTGGACCTGCCTCATTCTTTCCCTGTTACACCGCACCTTCCCTCAGGCGCAGCTTCCCAAATTTGTGCAACCTTCATTTCCCTCACCACCTCCCACCCACCACTTCATGACTTTTTTTTCCCCCTTTCCACCACCACCAAAGTTGTCTCTCCTCCCTCTTCCACTTCACCAACCTTTTTCGTTCCTCAACATCACAAACAATCTCTTACGCTTTGTTCTCAAGCCCACACACGATCCTTGTCACCAGGTAATCTTGTTCCTTGATAGCCTCTGCGACTGCCTCTTCTCACATTCTTGTTCTATTTTCTGTTCGTCTGATCACAAAAATTCGAGCTTCGCTAACCCTCTCTACCTAAAGGTTCTTCATTGTCGACTTCGTTCTCGAACACGACTCACTCTTCCAGTCTTACAGAACACATCAACACTCATTCACAATGAAGTCCGCTATCATCCTCGGTGCTGGCCTTCTCTCTGGTGCCATGGCCCAGGGCGCCTGTGGTGTAAGTAATTTTTGTCCCTCCGCTGTTGGCATGGAAATTCAGTCGCATGGATTTTTGCGTTCAAACTATTCTACCTTCAAAACTTCGTTGGGAGAGCATCTGGGATTCTAACTTGAACAACAGACTGGCTGCATCTCCGCCATGCAGGGTCTCGCCTCTGACCTTGGCTGCACTGCTGGTGACAACGCCTGCCTTTGCCGCAACCCCAACTTTGCCTATGGCATTCGCGACTGCTCTTTCCAGAGCTGCGCTGATGCTTCCGATGCTGAGGCCGCTGTTGCCGCTGGTATTGAGCTCTGCCGCCGTGAGTACTGCGCCTTATCTTGGAGTTGATTTAAATAAATCCACTAACAACTAACTCAGAGGCTGGTGTTGTTGTCACCGTCATCCCTGGTGCCACTGTCACCCAGCCTACTGGCACTTCGACTGTCACCGCTGTTCCGGTCGTTTCCTCGATCTTCTCTGAGATCACCTCCGGTGGCAGCACCATCACCACCCTCCTTGGTGTGACCACTCTTGCTCCCTCCGTCTCTGGTGGCAGCGAGTCTGCGACCCCTAGCCCGGTGTCCACCTCCACCTTCACCACCATTGTCACCAGCGGCGAGTCCACCATCACTTCCGTTGGTGAGACCACCCTCTTCGGTGTTGGTGGCGTCCCTGGTGCCACCTCTCTTCCCCAGACTGCCGTCACCACCGAGCCTGTTGTTAGCACCATCACCTCTGGCGGTAGTGTCATCACCTCGACCGTTGGCTCGACCACCGTTCTCTCCTCCCTCACTGGAGGTGAGGCTTCCAGCGCCCTCTCCAGCCAGGCCAGCGAGGCTACTGGTGCGACTACCACCGCCAACTCTGAGTCTGGCACTGCCACCGGCACTGCCACCGGCACCGCTGCCAGCTCCAGCTCCAGCGGCCTTGTAAGTTCTCAACAGTCTGCCTGCCTTCATCTACACCATCGTATTAACATGTATACCTAGGCCAAGCAGACCGCTGTCCCGGTTGCCGGCTTTCTGGCCGCCGCTGGCTTCGTCGCTATGCTTATCTAAGCCTTCTGCTCAGATGATGTTCTTGCTTTTCTAAGTTGCGGTAAATACCCGCCTGGACCCATAATCTTGGTTTCGACATCCGAATTCATCCTCGCCCTCTACCAAATTCCTACTTGACACGACACGGTTGTGACGGGTACATTTTAGTGAAATGGACAGGGAAGATGAGGTGTGGAATAGGGATGATTCGGAATTTTTTCTGGAGGGTCAATCAGGCACAATGAGTTTCTGGGCCGTTGATTTTCAGACGGCAGTTAACAATGGTTTGACGATACAAATGGCTTTACACAAGGGACGTAATGACTTGACGGACTGATATCCAATGTGGTTTTGGTGGCCAGCATAGGCACATCGTAGGCATTTGACCGTAAAACGGTGGTGGTGAGGTAGCTGGGGGGCATGTTTGTCCCAAAATAGCAAAGCAATTTTCCACCAGTCTGATGACTTCGGCCACTTGTGACGCGATGCGCTTTCGTGACGCGAGCTCTACTTTGCTGTAGTGGCTCGACGTTTATCATGGAACATTTCACGACACGGCCCGTAGTGTCTCTGCGGATTCGAATAGGATTATGTCAGTTGTGTTTTCTTTAAGCATTGTATGGTAACCATGGTGAGAAGATCATGATCAAGCAAGCGTTCTGTTGTTGACCGTGAAAATGTACAAAGGCTGCAGTGCCTCGAGGGTATCATGATATTCTATCTAGGTAGTATTGTACAAAAGCATGTCTCACGCCAGCTTCTTCTTCAACAGGGCCAACTTGGCAGCGAGACTGGCGCTGATTCCTTCGTCGCTTTCCGAATCTGTCCCAGAGCTGCTCGTGGTGGTGTCATCGTCTTCCTCGCCCAAACTTTGCTCGGCGATGATCTGGTCTACGGCGGCAGCGAACCGATCAACGTCGGCGTCGGCGAGATCCTCGTCACTGTCGTCACCGTCACTCGGTAGCTCGCCATCCTCCAGATTCTTGCGAGGTTTCTTCGCCTTGCCGCCGCCCCTTTTACCATTGCCCTCGAGCTTCCGTTTAGGAATAAGACGTACGGGTTTCGGTTCCTGGAGCAACGTCACCGGTAGGGCCGCGGCAGCTTCGACGACGTAGATTGTAGGGAACTCGGGGACCGTTGTATCACGCAGGGCTTCGCCGAGGGGCGTCGTCGCGTCCACGGCGTGGACGACCGTCTTGCCCGTCGCTGCCGTCGCCGCGGACGTTGTACCGGTGACGTAGAACGAGTATCTACTCTTTTGCGCCTCCTCTTCCTCCGTGATGCCCGTGAAGGGCTGGACGCCGGTATGAGGGGTCCAGGTGCCGCGCGGAGAGGAGGACTGCATGCAGAAGCGGCCGGGGTGCCAGGCGCCTGTTTCCGTGTCCTGGGCCGTGGCGATGGACTGGCCCGGTTTATGGTGGTGTTTACGGCGTTTCTTGGTTCGGCTAGGGCCGCCGGCGTTGGCGTTGGCATCCTGGGCCTCGTCTTCGTTGTCTGGTTGCTGGCGTTGCTGGGTTTTCCTGGCCTGCTCGTCGTTGAACGACTTCTGTCCGGCGACGAAGGCCTTGTAGAGCGGTACGTCGTCGAGCGCCTTGGCCAGTATCTTCTTTGTCGCTGTCGTACCTAAAACCCGTCCACCCTCCTCATATTGCGATGGCGCCAGTGTCCCCACGGACGGAACGAGCAGCCACTCGACCTGCCAGTTGATTCTTCCAGAGGCCCTGCTGAAGTTGGTCCCGTTCTCCCTCTGCCTCACCATGCCGACTGGCGCACGCTTCATTAGGATACCAAATTTGCCCAACCTCTTCTTGAAGGGTATACTCGAGAGCGCCTCCTGCCTCGCGCCGCCTGGGCCATTGTCCCCTCGCAGGACCTCGGTGACCAGTACCCTCTTTTTGCGCCCATCGCGCCCTGTCTTCCACTGCACGCTGCGCACCTCAACCGGCCGCAGGTCCTCAGGCTTCAGGAGGTGTCTCTCCTCGATAATCTCCTTCTCGGAGCGCTGGACGGCGCGCTCGATACCCGAGAGGAAGTTGAAGTCGTGGTCGACACCCGCGGCCGTCTTGAGCTTGGAAGGCGGGACGTAGGCCGTCGCGTCGCGGATGCCATTGCACGAAGACCAGGACTTGTGGCGCTTCGTACAGGTCAGGGAGCAAGTCTGGAGCGTGCAGCGCGGGCACTTGTATTTGGGAGGCTCGATGTGGCAGATTGCGCAGAGGCTTGTGAGGAGAGGGTCGGCCATGGCCGCTTCGTGTACGTGTTTTGTCGTTGTCAACGAGGACTCTGGGGGAAAATGGAAATCAATAATTAGATTGGTGCAACATAGATGGTGTAATTAGAGCTCAATTACTGACTGACATTGTCGTGATAAGCTTGTAAGGCTGATGAAGACGACGGGACCAGGGAACTTTTTCTGTTATCGTTGGCTTATCGGTATTGGAGGACCTAGCCCCACTCGCTTCAGGTACCTTACCTATCTTACCTACCTAAGGAATACCTAGAGCAAGGTAAGGCAAGACGTCGCATTGCCGGCTAAACCCATCTTCCGGCACCGCTGCACCAAGACTGGACATGATCAACACACCTTCAATAAGCCCAAGTTTCGCCAACAAATAATGGCCGGGGTGACAAAGTAATAATCATCAACTTTTTACAGTAGAGGTGGCCGCACTAGTGACCGACGAAGGCGGTCTCTTCTATGCGTACACCCACTCCAAGAGTAGCGTACTGATGTTACAAGAGGATCGCCTGAGGAATCTAACCCACTCCTCGAAGGTCGCCCATGAAGGAAAGTAAGAGAGGAGGGCAGGTGCTCAATGCCCAATGGATCGATAGTAGACTTCCAATCACCGCTCTTCACGCTCAGGGTGTTCCCCCTCTGCGTCCTCGGAATATTCCTCCTCTTTGTTCTGGGAGGCTTCCTACTACTCGCATCGTTCGACGATAGCGTCCATTATCATATGAACCTGGTGTGACACCTCGTTGATTTCTTCTGGGGTAATCCGCAAAACCGAGTCAAAGCCATGCCCCTTCATCCAATAGTTCATCGACTCAGCAGAGCCGACGCCGAAATAAGTGGCCATGCCAACGGCCAGGCTTCTTTGCACGTAGAGTCCTGGTGTTGGGAATGGGAACTGGTGGAAGTAGTTCTGCCAGATTTCCTGCCTACCCCGTCTGTTGCTGTCCTTGACATGGACAAGCGCCGACACGAAATGGAAATAGAGGAAGCGTGGTGCTGGCTGTTTGTCGTTGAGGAATTCCAACCTCCGGCCATCGAGGTCCCTGGCGGCGACGTGAAGCCTGATAGGACTCAAAGCATATGCGACCGGTACGTTTTTGATCTCCATACAGATCATGTTGGTTCGCCATCGTGTAGTGGGAGTGTCGGCCGCATCTACAGGCACCATAAACGATTGATTTTCGTCGAACCAACCTTCAGCCACTCTTGGTGCGAGGCCTACAACCACAAAGCCGCAAACGTCGTACCTCACTTCATCAATTTCGAGGACATGGGTGAGCTTCTGTTCGGGCAAAAGGACGGAGTCCCTTCGAAGCCTACAGAGTGCGTTCTTGCTGTCGAGACAGGTTCAGGCCTGCCCTGGGCCATTGCCTTTGATGGCTCTCGATTCGTCGTCTATTTGGTTATGATCCTGCCAACTATAGAAACTGTTGTAGTACTTCAAGGCGTCTGAACACCAAGTTTCGGTGTGGCCGGCTTGGGGCGCTCATGGACGGGATCTTATTGCCGATATAGCAGGAAAAGACACGGAGGAGACTGACTGACATTTCACTCAGCATGGCTCATGGGACATGCCAAATAAGAAACCAGGGTGGCGCATTTCTAAAACTCTAACGCCATCAAAGTCTTTTAGCAAGCCCGCCTCCTATCCCATCCTAGCCGAGTCATCCATATACCGCGTATCATTGCGCCATTCGCAGGGTGCCTCGTATGGCCTTTGTCGGCATACGAGTTCACTTGCTTTCGCATTTATCAAGCCCTTCAGTCCGAAGGAATACTCAAATCTTTTATCGGTAGGACCGGCACTTGTTAAATGCTGGGCTCCAGGACAAAGTAGGTTATGGGGCTCGCATGGTGATCCAGTCCAGTGAGTAGACTTATTAAGCACCATCAGCACGTTTGTAACGGTGGATTCCTTCAACTCTCGCCGGATTCGGATTGTGGGTACTAAATAAGGAGGGACATGAACTGAACTAAGCGGGAGGTTCCACCCTCGTAGATACAAATGATATAAAAATCGTGAGAACGTCCAATCCGGACACCAGCGAGCCCTGTTCAATTATCCCAGGCAGAAAAAAATGACATTCGTCGTGTGAAGAAAGACAGAAAAATGAAAAATAGCTAACGCCTGACGCAACGAAATTTGGTCCACGACCGCAAGTAGCAAAAAGGTATCAGGCAAAAAGATGTATGCACAATGTCGGTAAATCGTCCTCCCCGTCGACCGAGGAGGGGGAAAAGAAGTCCTCTCTAGTCGCTTGTTACTCCTGATATTCTGTCGAAACCGCCCAGGATAGTTCTCTAGCGGGTGCCGCCGAGAGCGCTGATGCGTGCTCCAGACGGGCGGTGGATGAGGCTGTCAGTGTGCTTGCCAACGTTCTGCTGGGGCATCGTCTCAGACTCGCTGCGATTCCCCTCAAAGTCCTCCTCGTCCTCGACAATCTTGGTAGGAATGTCCTGGTGGATCATGTACTGCTGACTTGAGCGTTCGGGAGTCGCAGCGCTAGAAGCGAAGGACATCGCTGTGCTACTCCGGTTGGGGACCAGGTCCGGAGTAGGGGGGATGCTGGATATCCGACCAGAGGCAGGGTGGAGATGGCTGTCTTCACCCATGTCGGATGTTGCGTTTGACTGGGTCTCGTGACCGTCATCGCTATGGGTGGCAGAGAGGTTGCTGCGACGGCGTTGAGCGCGAAGGCGGGCGGCACTGGCAGAACGTTCGTCAAAGTCGGCATCCTGGGCCAGTTGCAGACCCTCTACGGCAGCCTGACATTGCTCAGCAATGTTTCTAATGATGTGCGCAATGGCATCAGTCTTGTCCTTGAGGTGGCGGTCGGCCACATCCTTGAAACTTGAGGTGGAGAGCCTCTTGTTTGCCTCGGCGGCAGCAGAGAGAAGACGGGCCTGGTTGACATCGGCTTCCCTGGGAGTAATGCCGTCCTCACCCATCTCTGGCACAAAGCCTTCCTCGATCTCGTGCGCCAAGTCGTCGGGCTTGGTCAAAGACTGGACCAGGTGCTCCATGTGATGGCTCTGTCCGCCAATCAGGCTGCGCAGATGCAGCACAACGCGACGAGCCTCGTCACGCTGCCTGAGGATAGTGACGTTGGTGTGCTGAAGGGCGGCGAGCTCCTTCTTGTTGCGCTTACGCTCGCGTTCAAGCTCCTCGGCAATCTCCTGCTGGAGAACCAGAGCCTCAAGAGCATCATCACGCTGCTTCTCAGTAGCGCCGAGGCGAACGTTAAGACGACCGTTGTCATCCTTCTGCTGATCAATGAGGCCCGCAAGGCGTCTGTTTTCCCTCTTGTGAGTCTCAATCTTGGCCTTGAGATCCTGGGTTTCCTTGGTGAGCTGTTCAGCAAATGCCTGGAATTTGAGGAACTGCTGCTTCCAGCTCTCTAGCTCCTCGTTGAGGTAGTTGTTGCGTTTCGTAACCTTGTTGAGCTCGGTGTCCATGCGACCCTTCAGGTTGATGAAGTCCTGCCAAGCCTCAAGAGCATCACGAGAGTACTGGTTTCTCTCGCGAACAATCTCGTTAAGATGTCTCATCGAGACCTTGGTCATCAAGGGCTTCTTGACGGAGCCACCGAAAACAGCCTTAATGCCAGTGTTGCGGCCCATCTTCTCGCAGACGTGGTCCATAACGGCCATGACGGTGTCCTGATTCCACCATTCGGGATCTTGGATGGACTCGACTTCTCCACGCATGACGATGATCTGGCCGGCGGGGACGAGCTTGCCACCGCCATAAGCGGAGCGGAGATGGGGAGGAACTCCGGAGGGAGTAACATCTCCGTTGAGAGATTGTGTGAGGCGGGTGACAAACTTGTTGCGCTGGCTAGGGTTGAGTGCAGTCGGGGGGCTGGAAGTGAGGACAAAGTTGCGGTCGAGGTCGACAACCAGTGCGTCCGTTGGTGCAGTGAACAGAGAGCGGCACTCGGCAGTGACACCGAGGATGTAGGGACCGGGTTCCTGGACCAGATCCTTGGCATGGCGAGCATGCACAACCGGGACGTAGAGACCACTCCATTCGTAGACGCGAACGCAGTATCTGACAGTCTCTGCAGCCATGGTGAGCATAGCCGGGTAGTGACTGACGAAGATGATGCGCCGAGTTGGCGAAATGGCGGCCTCAACGACACCAACAATATTGGGGATGGACAAGCAGCAGAACAATGGCCACATGGCAAAGTTCTGAAAGCCAGTCGGCGACGATGGGAACTGGTAGCAAAGTGCGTAATCCTTCATATCGATGCGAACCAGGTCGTTGAGTCTCGGAGCCGGGAAGCTGAGGATGCGCGAGACCTCCTCAGCATGAAACAGGTTGGTAGCCTTGTTCCAGTGGATCCACATGCCTCGCAAGTAATCTCCAAGAAGGTTGTACAGCGGGTACCGAGACAAGAATGATAAGCAGTACGGAATCCAGTACGTCTCATCAGGGTTGTCGTAGTAGTCTGGCTCGGTTCTCTTGCGCAGATCTCGAATTGTCTCGGCCCTCTTCTCGTCGGCTCGAGACCACACGCGGAGACAGATTCCGTACAAAGTATGGGATGAATCTTGCTGCAAAACGAAGGCATGGTGGACGCAGTGAGGCTGGCTGCGGCCGGTGCAGATCTCAACGTCGTGGGGAAAGCAAGCCTGTAACATGTAAGCCACTCAGACTCTAAACAACAAATGGACGGCAAACGGCCACTAACCCGCATGGCAGCGTGCAACGAGCTGGCAATCTCGTTGTCTTGTTCCAACCTCGGACTGCTTCCAAGAATCTCGGGCAGCCAAAATTGTCCAACAGCGCCCTTCATGTGGCCAATCTTGCCCTGTGCTGGCGCTGGGGCTTTGACCCATTGTGAAGGTTCCCTACCAACACCGCAGACCATATAGGCATGAGTAAGCGTCTTTGGGGTGCGCTGCTGGGGTTTCGCGTTCAGAGTCGAGGGGATCGGCTGGGTGATGCGCGAATGAAGGGAGGAGGTGCGGCTCGGAATAATGAGGTTGTTGTCTCCTTGATCACGGGTGGTAGGTCGGCCATCGCGGTCGCCGGTCCGGGGCCGTGTGAAGGACGAATGTGCGTTCAACGAAGGTGCCATTTCGTCGGTGATTAGTCGTCAAGAAAGAAAAATTAGGTTGAGGTTGTTAAGGTGGACGTGGAAGCCGAGAAGGTGACGGATGATCCAGGCCACACACGAGCTGCCCAGCGTGTCGAAGGAAAAGGGCCTAGATCGATTCGATAAATCGAGACGTCAGGGAAGCTATCCAGAGAGCAACCTCTCGTCAAGTAATCGTTGGTCGAGAGAGTTGCTCAAAAGCGCGCCATTCGAAGGAGCCTCGGAGACCAACGTGGATTGTCTGGTCCGGTCGAGCGAGAGATGAGGCTCTGGCACAGACTGGTTGCTTGACTGACTGGCTGCTCGGTGACAGGTGGGGGGAGAGAAGAAACAAAAAAGGAGGAAGGAAGGGGGAGAGATCGAAGACAAGACAAGAAGAGGCAGTTCCAGCTGAGGTAAAAGGGGAGAGATGTGCCAGGGGGGGGTGTTGGGATAGGAGGACGGGGAGGAGAGGAGAGAGAGGGTGTGTGGGAGAAACAAGAGGCAGATGGCGAGAAAGCGAGGGTGTGCCACTGGCGGGCGAGCTAGGATGAAGCGAAAGGGGACCAAGCACCCGACGCGAAGCTGGAAGAGGAAGTGTACGGTCGAGCAGCAGCAGCAGCGGTAGGTCAGAGTACAAACAGTGTGCCCGCGTCCGTGTGTGTGTGTGTGAGGTGTGTAGAGATGAGACGGACAGAGACAGGGGCGGCGACAGAAACACAGGCCAAGAGATGCAGCGACTTTGAGTACGGAGTAGAGCAACCGACCGGGGGACGGGGAATTAAGGTCTGCAGCCAACGTGCGGCGCAATGGTAGTAGTCCGGTTCCTCTTGGATGCAGGTTCCAATGATGTACCTCTGCCGGTATTCTTAGCGCATCATGGGGCAAGACAGGTAGCTCCATACAACCAACCGCAGGCTTGGACCAGCGAAAACCACCACCTCAAGTCCTGAAAGGAAAGGGAGCAGGACATGGCTGGAGGGGCGACCAACTTTCCGTAACTGTGGACTACTTTGGAATTACACAGTGAATGAGGGAGCACTGTGAGGCTGCAGGCCTGTGAGGGGAGGAGGCACAGAGAAGAGCCGTTAGCAGGTACGGTCGGGACACAGATGGGGCAATGGACGGATGTGCAAGGGGAGGAGGCATGCAGCGCAGTGTTGAGGTTCCACTGCTACCTTAGACAGGGGTTGAGGTGGGGTTCAGGAACACGCGGACAGGGGTCACACCATCTATTCAACTTTCCACCACGGAAGGCACCCGGCCATATGTGATGCTTCCAACCTGCCCGATATCTGCAAGGTACACAGCAAGTACCTTAGTCAAGTACGGAAACGTACCCGGTTGCTCACTGTTGACGTTGGGAACAAGGTGATGGGCACGCCGCACCAACTGCGCGCCAGATGGAGACGGCAGCTTCACGGTGGCTCGTCGAGTTGGAGTCGCGGCGTGGCCCTCGAGATGGGGATCGTCCCGGGGGTTTAACTCTCGTTGCTGCTGCTGTTGCATCTCGGACGGGAGGCCATGGTATGACACGCTTCCGTACGGCGTCTTGAGCCCCTCGCGTTTGGAGGTGGTCAGCACTACCTTGGACAGCCTGCCTCACTCGCACTCGCATTACAGGTACAAGTGTAGGTGCAGGAGACCCTGAGGTGGAAACTGTTTCTCTCTTGCTTACTTTTCCTTTGTGGACTGAGACATTACCAGCTTCCGCCATGTCTGCGACGAGGAAACGTATCAGTCGACGGGCAAAAGCCAAGCAAGTACGGTTAGAGCTTCCAACAGCTTTCCCAGCTTCCAATTCCCGACTCACACCGAAAACCTGCCATTGTCCTCGACATGAAGAAAGGAGACGCGATAGTTGCATGGCAGCTGGAGCAGGGAAAATAAGACACAACCCAACATCTGACATCCCGTCAGCACCAACCAACCCCCAAAGAGCCAAGCGCGATCCTCCTCAGAGAGGAGGACCGTTGAAGGAAACATTTGAAAGAAGTCAGTAAAAGACAAAACGAAACAAAGCCGACCCGGGCCTATTTCTACCTAGGTACTCTAGACTTTGTATCCGTACGCTGATACGGATACGGTACGGTACGCAACAGCAGAAAGGACCCCGAATTCCAGACTACTGCAATTCGTGCAGTAATTATCGAGACCCTCAAACGATCCGATGGTCGGTCGAATCAGTCGCTCCAACTTTCAAGCCAATTGGCAAACGCAGAGACCTTCTTTGCACTCGATACTCTGTACTCGACACTGGTCAGAGAGCCATCGAATCCTGTCTTTGTTCTCTGCCGTCGCCGTTGGCTCCGGGGACTGCTAGCCGTCACGCCTCTGAGCAGCACTTGCAGCCGTAGCGACAGTAGTCACCTTCCTACTACCTTAGTAGGGTAATACCTAGGCTCCTCTCGAGTTTCGAGAGACAAGTGACTCGTGGGGGCCCGCAAAAATATGAGGAGCTAGCGCACATTTGTGAAGAGCTAGCGTCATGCGGCGGCTTGCTAGCGGCTTCAATACATTTTTTCCTCCTCTTTCTGCCCGCCCTACTCCCCTCTCAGTGACTGAGGTGATGATGGTCTTTTTTCCTCTGATACCTGTTCTTCTTATTCTGTGTGTTCCCGCAAGGTGCAGCCCGTCAAGTTCCATTCGCGCACGGGCCGCCTTTCCCCAAGAGGAACGAGGGAGGAACCCCCGGTCGACCCAGGCCGAACCCTGCAAAATCTGGACCTCCCTAGTCCTTTCCCTAATATTGAGTCCCCACCTACCACTGGTGGATACTGTCTGATTACAGCCAATGGCAGTCGCAGCTGGCGCCGCTCAGCACCGACTGCTTTCCAAGGAAATTGGCCAGTCTCGTTTGGAAATTCCGTCGTCCCTTCCTCATCCTTCCTCACCACCGCACCACAGAGTGATTGGCGATGCCGCGATTGCACCCGTTCGGAGTTCCCTGGTTTATTGGGCCTAAAACCATGACAGCTTTATACTTTGAGTCACGATTGTCGTCCCCGGCCTACCGCCTCCTGGCGTCTTACCGTCCGCCAAACGTTGGGACGCGCCCCTTCTCGCCTTTGTCTGTCCCCCGGCGCGCCGACTAGGTACTTTCTTTTGCCTGGCGAACGAATGGAGTGTGCATTGAATGGTGGACGGACCAGCCACACGGTAATTTCTCGAGTGCTAGGAACGCCTCAAAAGTTTGGACGGAATAGCACTCTGCTGATCCGGCTGTTCTTTGGCTAGGGACATCGTTACATAGTAAACATCGGCTCGATACGATTGTGCAGTTCCACGCCTAGCATCCTGGGCCGACCTCCCGATACGAACCACCATGTCACCGTGTGCCATGTGCCGCAACAACGAATCATGACTTTTCGTGTGTCTCCATGTAGCATTTTCGATGGCACTCTATCGCAACCGCAAATCACCGAGGGAAAAGGCATCCGAGCGGGCGTGAGAACCCAACTTGCCAGCCAGCCACCCATCCTGCAAAATAACGCACACAAATGCAACCTTCTAGGTACCCTTCTCCAGATGAATGACGAATTCAAGCTCAAGAAAGATCATCTGCCGAATCGCTCAAGCCCCATATCTGATCCCCCAAAGGACGCTCTCCTTGCACGGGTCGTCCCTGAAGTCTGGGACAGGATAACTCGATAGCTCCTGGTCGCTCGTCGACTGGTTGGCTAAAGGGCGTCCATGACCAGCAAACCCGGATCGCCGCACCTGCAGCACATCCCACACTAACACAGGCTTGTGTGTTTGACGAGAGGACAGATCCGTGTGGGCTGCAGCACTGCCAGCAGGACCCGGCACCTCAAAACAAGTGACGCTAGCACGTTTTTACCACTGCCACTGTGTTAACGATAGCTGTCGCATGCATGGTAGCACACGCGCTACGCGGGTCAGCCAGCTGCGCGCCATCGGCCTTAGCAGGCGCATAGTGCGAGCAAATCAACACATCAACGCTAAGCCCGGGGGCTGAAGTGGGCGGCCTGCCGGGGCGGGACCTTGGTTCCAACTTCCGCAACGCGATTCATCGGCTGCGGCTTTGCATCTTCTATCAGGGGCTTCCTTGGTTCCGCGACTGAGAAAAAAGTGTCGAATCAAGCGAGGCGGATTGCGGGACGACTGGAAGCCGCGGAAAATGTATCACGACAGAGGGCAGAAAAAGCAGAACAACACCGGAAGCCCCACGACCAAGCCCGATGCTGTTCAGGTGGTGCACATGAAGGGCCATCTATTATGGCTTTCCCGTGGTGGAGGCAAAGTTACGAGCCCCTGGTATCGGGCAGTCAGTGCTAAGTTTACGATGTCTCCGGACATGAACGAAGTGCCAGCCGCGCTAACATATGGCCCTCATTAATTGTCGTCCAACTCTTGTGTGAAAGTGGGAAGCTTTTCACTCTATGGATACTTGAACAAGGCATTTGAGAGACCGCAAACCTCCGTTGGGTCCCCTCAAGAAAGTCAGTCTGAACGCCTAGTGAGTGATCGCAGGGGCAATGCTGTCTGTTGGCGCGTGTGTTTTGCTTTGTTGATTCCACGGATGTATGGATGGATATGCTTACTCATCTGTATGCACCAGATATATTGAAACCTGTCCCTTCCCTTCCAGAAGCAGACTATGTTAATCTGCCACCCGAGGACTGGAGCTAGAGTTGCCCGCGAGTCCACCAACGTCAGCCATACGCATCATCGTCCTGGAAAGCCCGTCCCATTCACGGTTCTACCGTACTGAATGCTCGAACTCCGCCTGTCATCTACAGCAGACGCAGCCCGATTTGCACTACCGCAATTTTGTGAGGAGCGTCACATCCAGCAGGGCGCTTTGACCCGCCGCTCTGGATACCAGCCTACCAGGAGAATCTGGGTAACGACGCTGTTCCTCCTCCTCGGTGTCGGAGCACAATGCAACTTTGGATATCACGTCCGTATTAAGAGCTGGCCAGCTATACTAATGGTCCGCATAAAACACAAGCCGTGTGTCTGTAACCCGAATCATGGCCCCCACGAGCGGATTCATTCCCAATTCCACGTTACTCCGACTTTGCCTAGCCACACTACGGAGACTTTAGTGTAAACAGCCCAAAGGAAGGGATGGATCGTGGCCCTGCAGGCTCCAAAAGAGGAACTCATACTATGTAGTATTGTGATATGTCTCGAGGGGAAAAACTACTTCTGGTTATCTGGGCTACTTGCATGCGCCAACAAGCTCTGGACCAATTTACACTTGTCGGCTGCTCGTCCCATTGAAGAACTGACCTGGACCCTGTCGCGCGATCTGAGCACGAGTCCCGAAGCCCTGATCGCTGTCTTATCTTGTACGCACCACACAGATTCACCGATGGCCAGTTACAACTTACTACAGTATGTACACCAATGACCCGTTCGTCGACTGCAGTCCCAGCTTCCCATCTTGTTCGACAGCGGGCTCTCGGGCGATCCCCGTGTCCATCTATCTTGAGGTTACGGATAGTTTTGATCTCTTTAGTCAAAGTCCGCACAGGGGTGAACAACCACACAGCGTAACTGAATCCACTTAGTCTCCTGCAGGCTGCAAACACTGACCGTGAAAGTGGCATCGGGTCTGAGTGCCCATCGGCAACCCAGGCTCCGTCGCCGTTATTGAAGAGAAACCCCGGTCTCATTGGTACGTACCTGCCCGAGGGAGCCGTCACTCCGTCAAACGAAAAAAAGGAAAACAAGGAAAGAAAAAAGAAAGAACGAAAAAAGGTCCAAACGCAAGGAAACAACAGTAAGAGAGCTCCGCCGCCGATGAACTGAAAGGATAATGGCTGTCAGCACGGTCGCCGGCATAGCATCTTACGCTCCAGATTGTCCAATGTAACCTTCAGCTCGAATCCCTCGCGACCTACGTACTCCGCATGTAGGGACTTCAACACAAGAGGCACTTCATTCAACGGTCACGCCCTTCCCGGTGCCCCCAGCAGCACGGACGGTCAGACGGACACTGTGCCCGAGCCTCGCCAGCCGCTCCAATACGAAATACCTCAGCCCATGATAAATGAGTTGTCGACGCACTGTCCCTTGAGAGTATGAGCCGTCATTTATTGAAAGAGGGCGGACAGAGGTAGTTTACATAACCTTTTGACAACCAAAGTCAGCATCTGTGTCTTCCGAACGGCCGTGCGACGGGTCTGTCCTGGAATACCAATATTGACTGCCGCCATTAGCTCGGCAAAAATGGTTCGTTTCACCACGAGCGTCTGCCTTGTTTAATACTTTGAGTAGCATCCCCTGCTTGCCGTGCTCGGCCCAACACCTTGCTGTTCAACTCTGAGGCTCTGACTAGTGACGCCAAGTGGACTCTTGGCCTTCTCCATTCTGAGTGATCTGTCACCTGCTAGACTCTATGTGACTTTGTCAACCTCAATTCGTGTTACAATATCGGAATCCCCGGCCGACGTCCAACGATGCTTCGTACCGCGATCTACACCCCGCCGGGGTTCTACATGTTACTTGGTTATAAGCCTCTCGTACATACGAGATATGAACTGTAATATTATTTTTTATTATTTCCCATTACAACTTTACCACTTAAACATCGAGCCTATTAGGTGGGTGACAGAGTAGTTTTCCGGCCACATATCCATAACCACCCCTTTTTTACCACCATAACTGATATTACCAACACCCTTTCAATTCGATCATTCTATTTAGACGTACATAATGTGTGATAAATTCTAAGGCAGTTGCTTTTTCTTAAAAACGTATTTCAACAGAGGGGGAGGTGGTGGTGTTAGTGGTGAAAGAAAGTTGATTATGGACATAGGGATATTTGGTATGACCGGAAAACTATTTCGGCACCCACTTGCCTATGTTTGACGATTAGTGTACATTAGGAGTTGAGGGTCTTGACGTCAGTATCCCTCTGCAGAATCAGTATAGAAGCTACATTTTTATGGACTTATAGGGCAACTCGTCGAAGTAACATTTAGAACCCCGGCGGGGTATAGAACCTCCGCTGACCTGGGTGTCAAAGATGGCGAACGTCAATCCAGCCGGTCCCCCGCCCCCAGACAACAGTATCCATACGGAGGACGCGGGATCTACGACCCAAGTGCCTACCGTCATTATAGACACTTTCTCCGCATGATACCAAATTTGTGTCCCTGGCCGCGGTTTCCACGAGGCTTGACAACCGTCTTTCTGGCCCCGAGCCGCGCGACTCGACATGGCAAGACTCGTGGGCCGGCAGGACAGCGTGCTGCTATTGCCAGGCGTCCCTCAGGACACCATATACGCGGACCGGCTTTCATTCGGGCTGGTCTGCTTTGCCCGTCTGGGTATGCTCAATGACGGCTACGGCATCGGTACTAACCACGGCCGCTCCGTGTTGACAGCAAGTCCACGTGCTGGGGTTCTTGTCAAAGTCTAGTCTTATGTTTCCCATGCTTCGAACAGCAGATTGAGAAACGACCTGTGTATCGTCCAGTTATTATCGGAGAAGGGAATAGCTCCCCGTGTTCGGGGAAAGCCGTTTCGATTCGCTTGCCGGGTTTACTAGCGGACATCGGTACAGGTTCTTTCATATGGCAACGCAAAATGGGGTAAGCTTCTAGTTGAAAGCCCTCTGGCTGCTAAAACCTATGAAGCTGGATGGGGCGACGCTCTCGTGGCGCCTCGCCTTCCTTTGCCGAGGGAAAAGTTCAAAGGAGGCAATCATAACAAGCTACCCCTAGCAACTGATTCATCAACAAAAACGCGTTTACTTCATGGAACCCCGATATTTGTGAAATCTGCAGGACGCTGATTCCAAACAAGAGGTTAGTTATTTCACTTTACTGTCCCCATGCCGTTGAACGAACGGTCTCACCAACCGGGGATTCAGACCACCTTTAACTTGGCCATGATTCAGAGCTCATGTACGCTACAGGAAATTTCATCGATGGAATCCAAACGTTTTCTCGGGCCAAGACAATCCCACCTCATTCTTCGAATGCCAGAGTCCTGTCCTCGGATACCCGGTTACCTCGGACCGAACGCGGATAAATTATGGGGCCGATATTCTCATGTAAACCGGGGGTTTCGGAGGTCGCCCCGCCTTTACCGGGCCCCGGAATCCCGAGGATCGGGGGTTGCGACATCGGTCCGCCGCAGCGTCTCATTCTCTGTCAACCGAAGCGGTCAAAGGTCCTCGGCTATGCGAAGCCAATCGGGCGAGCCAGCCAAGAGTAGCAGAGTGCCGTATTTCCATCGGGTGAGGTGGCGAACTGGGTTTTTTCCCAACTTGCTTGCAGAAGAAGGAAGCGTTCCTTCTAACAACTGAGATGGATGGCACACTTTAAAGATGCCGAGTTCTCACGCAGGACGCAGGGGCATACACACCCCTACCCTCTACCATTGACCAAGTAGCCACGAAAGAAGGAGGCACGTATACTCGCTTCGCAAGGGATGGATGGGACGGGAAGGGGAGGGCTCCCGTCTTGACACCCTTCGTTGTTATGTCTCTCTTGGAAGACCAATTCGTGACTCTAGTCAATCTAGAGCGCGTCGCGCCCGGGGATTATGACGACTTGTCGCAGAATGGCGAATTGCAAGACCACTGCGGACACAACATGCATTGAAGTGCGCAGAGCGCGAAAGCCGAAGAATAGATCAACATTGTCCGACCTCAGCACCATTTCTTCCAATGTCTAGAAGCTCATATCCAGGCGATGAAAGTGCTGTATGTATACTCGTCACTCGCTGATGAGTTCCACTGGCATGCGAGATGAGCGCAATAGCTCTCAATGTTGAGGTTGTCACTGCAGGTAGGTGAGACATTGTCTGACATGTGAATGTGGGCATATGTGGCTGGTGCAGAGGTGGAGAACAGGGACGCGATCAGGGGACAGGGGTGGTTGCGCAGAAAGTGCGGCGTGCCCGCCCTACCACGTCAAAATTGTCCGATGATTTCCAGGTTTATCGCGACGGATCAGGAGCAAAAACGGCCGAGTATTGATTGCAATGGGAAGACGAGAAATCAGGTCGTCGCGTTGATGACCAGTCAGGTGAAGCGTAAGGATTGAGAGTGGTGACGGGTAGGTGGGTTCGTCGTCCCAATCCTTGGCTCCCGAGGTGCCATTGATTGTCTACCGGCCGAGCTGGACGAAGATGGCATCGTCGATAATGAGAGCCGCGGCACCGTAGGGGGTCACTGTCCGAGGCCGACGGGAGAGTTCATCGACGGGTCGAGTAGTATTAGCTCCTGTGCTCATAAAGAGACGGCGTAGGCAAGCTATAGCTTCAAGAAAGAAATGGAAATTAGAAAGGGTGACTGGCGTGTCACGGGTCAAGTTGTATCTAATTTCTGGGGGGCAGAGACGGCGTCACCAGCATTACGATAGCGGCCAACGCCATCTAGAGGAGGAAACAGCGCCAGGACGGGCTTCACGAGCAATGCAGGATCGGAGGCGCTGAGGCCCCCTCACCCCAACCACAAGCTCGAGTGGGAAAACCGGGCTGAAAACCGGACCGCGTAGCGTTACTTCCAAGCGTCTGCCACAAGGCTTGGAGCCAAGGCCACCAAGGTCAGGTACCTTGGGCTAGTCGGTACGCGATGGGTGATTTGGCGGTGCCCCCCATTTTGATGAGCAGAGATGAAGGAGGTGCAAAGCCCGACCTCAAAGTCGCTTGTGGTGATTATGGTGTCCCGCTCTTTGGGCCTAGGACGCGTGGTTGTGCAGGACCAGCGCCAACAGTTGGCTTGGGATCTCCCCGTGATAAAGTTTGGGATGTGAAGCGATAAGCCGGGGGGCGCATGGCCAATTGTGTTACGGGAGGAACTTGGGGGTGTCTTTTGCCCCTCCTTGCCACTCGAGATGGTGTACAGAGTGATACTCTGTAGGGACGAGATACCTTCCTGGACTTGTTACGCCGCCCTCTTTGGTGAAGAGTTTGACGGAGCAAGGTTAGTAACGGAAGATGCTGTACCAGGGCGGAAGGGAATGAGGGAATAGAGACACATTGGCAAGGGTTCTGGTCTAAAAGAGACATGAATACTGCAGAAATAACTGACTGACTCTATGACAGCTCGAGGCAGATGTCATTCAGAGCGCCTCGTCTCATCCATTATCAAGCAGCTCACAGACACCGAGAGAGTGATGTGGATGGAACTTGGACGTAACCCGTCCGCTGGGACACAGATCAGCGGGTGCCCCGGCAAACTGTCAGATAAGGCACGCATACGTGTTGAGCAGCGACTTGTTGACCGGGCGCTTCTTTTCTCTCCTCCCTCCGGTGTGGCATGCGTGCTCGTTCATAGGTGCGTAGGCAGACAGGTAGGCAATAGGTAAGGTGGTAAAGGTAGCTCCTCACTTTGTAGCTTGCTTGCACCATCTCTCTCATGATGACATAATGACGGGCCCGTCCACAGCATGCAGGAAAGCGCCGTGCGTTCGCGTATGTCTTCCGTCCCGGAGGGGAGGGACGATTCGTTCGAAGACCTGCAATGGTCTGATCCAGACGCAACCGAATTGGCCAACAATTCACAGGGCACCAGTACCTCAAGCCTCAGCACACCTCAGGAACGCGGCTGCGACTGTGACTGCTGGAGTGTGGGAGCTTATCCCCTCTTCCTCCTCACCTGCCCTCTCACCCTGGCCCACATGCCTTTGCTCCCAAACCCTCATCCAAAGTGCCTCTCGTCAATCCTGAGGAATAAACAGGTATGGATCATATGGTCAACGTATTCTGCTGACTGTAGAACACACATCATGAGAGGAAATAAAACCAGTCCTCGTGCCCTGTCCAATTGTCACGGCCGAGACCCTCTTTTGCCTTTTTTTTCTCCCGTCTCCGTCCCTTCCAGCATTCCACTTTGACACAATATGGCGGGGCGAGAGTTCGTGTACCACTTTCACATGTCAAGAGCCGGGGTCACGATAGGGACGCATGCAAGCCATCGCTGCCGCTCCTCTGCCTACCGTGGCTGCTGCTTGCTACATATACAGACAATTCTGGTACTGCTCTCGGTCGGCTTACTAAATGTATTCGTCCGTCCTACCTTGGCAATGCCCTTTGCGCTGCGTCTCTTCCTATCGCTGGGTTGCCGCCGAAGCTGCCCCGTCCAACGAGATACTTTAGCTGCACGACAATGCGACAATAGGCTTGCACAACACGCACCTGCCCTGCGGGTTTTGCTGCCCACGGGCGGGACGGACAAGGGGTGGGTCCTTTGGGAGCTGCCGTCAGCTGTACAAGTTGCTATTGCATGTGGCTTGAACAGCTTTGGACCTCTCTCTACCTCGCCAGTCCTCGGGAAGACAGGCCGCAAGAGTAAACTTTTTACGATACTGAAAAGGGGAGAAAGAAGGATGATTTGAACTCAAGAACAGTAGCATCAATACCAGCATCGGGGCAGGGCAAACGGCAATCAAAATATTTGGGAGCAAGCAGAAGTGCAGAGGAACACATGGGAACATGCAAAATCATCAGCAGTAGGTAGCAAGAGGGGACCAGGAGAGAGAGAGGGTTAAAAAAAAAAGACGACATCCCACTGGCATGTGGCGCATGTACCTCGTTGGTAGGGATACTTGGGCCGGACCCGCCACCACGGCATTCCTGGGCGTCCCTTTCCTCGCATTCGACCTGTGAATGTCTGAAGCACATGCTAATCAATCTAGTCTCGCATCCTAAGGGGTTCAGGCAACATCGTTAGGCCAGCCCCATACAACAAGACGTGGTGGGCTCTCACCTCTCTCCTGTCCTGAGCATGAGGTAGATAAATACTTTCATTTCAGTCCATGCCCATCTGTGGCGTCAACCTCGTCACCATTCATCTATACACGCTCGTCTCCGTTCCAGCCGCCTCTCATCCAACCCGCTCTCCTACCCGACACCCCTCCTGCTGCTATCTGTGAGTCTCCCTCTCTCTCTCCCCTTTCTGATCTCCTCCTTCCATGCTCTTATGTGTCTTGTCTGTGTCTCCCTCCCTTTTTAGCTCTGCCTTACCTACTACCCTTCCCTCCCTCCAATACGTCTTCCTTTCTGATTCTTCCTCCCTCCAACAACCAAAACCTTCTTGCCTTCCTGTTCTCGTAACCCTTCCGTCCAAAAATCATCTCGACTCCAATCCTTTCCTCAGCATATTGCCCTCACCTGGATCTTACTTGTTCTGATATCGAATCCTTCAGCAGACCCTCCTTATCTCTCACGAACCCTTGCTCCGGAGCCTCATTTGCAGCTCTCCTAAACCGCAACTCCTCCCCGCGCGCGAGCTTCCTCTGCAGCAATTACCCCCGAAGCTCTACCAGAATTCGCCGGGCTTCACGCTTCGACGAATCAACCACACCAACTTCCCACAAATCCCTCGCCAATTTACTAAATGCCCAAAATGGCCCAAGTCAACGGTGACCTCCCGAGCGTGCCCTCGGCTGCTCTCCAGGTGGGTTATCAATGCAACCGCACTTTGACCTTTTACCGTAAGCTTTAATTGACCATCCATTGCAGCACATCCTGGATTACCCTGTAGTACACGACGGTGTCGTCACTTTCAGGAACCACCCCGTCGGCAAGAAGTCCCTGGTCTACGGTGACTCTGCCTACAAGACCTTCGCCGAGCCTCTTCTCCCTTACTTCGCTCGTCCTTGGGGATACTTGCGCCCCTATGCCGAAAAGGCAGACAACCTCGGCGATCAGGCCCTGACCAAGGTTGATGAGCGCTTCCCCGTCGTCAAGAAGCCTACGGAGGAGCTCTACGCCGGCGCCAAGGGCATCATCGCCCTGCCAATTCGTACTGGATTTGAGGCCAAGGACCACGTCCTGAAGACGTTCAGCCAGCAGAAGAAGAAAGTCGGCAGCGAGAACATTGTCGCATACGGCAAGGCCCTCGTCGGCACCGCCCTCATCACTACCAGCGAACTCATCATCTGGGTTGGCGACGTCATCCACTACAAGAAAGAGGAGGCCAAGGATGTCATCAACGAGAAGGCCAACAACTAAGCGCCCCGGCTCGTAACTGTACAGCTCGCTGATGATTTAACCCCCCTCAATTTCATATACCCTTCCCTCCCTCCGCGGCATCCTTGGATCACTATCGGGTTCTTGGACCGCAGTCATGATGGCGAACGCTTCAACGACATACAGCAAGGAACGGAATCTATACCTCGGATAAAGAGCTTTCATGTACTGTGTTTGTGTGCTGTGTTGAATTTCCTTTGTCTATTTCAATAGTGGTGTACGAGTGAGGAACCTGAGAGAGAGAGAGACAGAGGGGGAGGGAGGGAGGGAGAGATCTACTGCGCCGCTTCGGCCCTTCGTCCCCGGGGCCAATCGGACGGGGGCTTTTCCCTCCAGGTCAAATGGTGCCCGCCAAGGCGCCCGATGCTCCCTCAAGGCTGATGGGTCCGGCTAAAACGGCTCAACTTTCGGCGGACTTAAAAATCTTTCTCGAAAGGCGGAACTCGTGTGCTGGAGCTGGAGTTGGTGTCGGATGTTTCATAGGAATCAAAATTTAATAGACACTATGTGTTTCCTGACTAAGTCGTTGCGAATGACGTAGCATAGATCGAGACGAAGAGTCTGACTGGTACCCCACTGACGACAGGAAGGATGTAAAATGTGACGAAGGCATTCTCGCCCTACACCCAAGTAAGCCATCTACATTGTCCAAGGTATGCCGGGTCTTGGTCGCCCAGCTCGGGTACGAAAGTAACAGTGCTGGGTCGGCGGTAGACAACCCTAGAGTTGGTCCAAACTCTATATCACAATGTGAGGAAAGTCTGGAGTAACAAGTCGCGCTCAACATCAGATCAACGTGGAGAGAGACCTGGGAAGGAGAAGGAGCGACTGGGGAAGGTTGCTGGCTGCTGATTGGCGATTCTTACAAGCCATCATTGGCCACGGTGATTGGGCGCGAGCTTATATCACTACCTACCTTAGCTGGCTGGTTGCAGCTTCCCAGATCACCTAACCTCTTAAAGTCCCCACGCCTCTTAGAGTTGCTGACGTAAAAATGGGCTGCCACTTTAGGTAAGGTAGGTGTTAAATCGACGCTGAGGTACGTACCTATGTGCCTATTTCCCACTAAGCTAACCGGGCGGGTAGCTTGGACCCCGGCAGTAAGTGTGTGGGCAGAGCTCGCGCCGCGAGAGTCCTGCTTTTCCATTGCTGATGTAAATTTGACTAATGCGCCGTTGCTTACCAGAGAAGCGCATAAGACGAGTCCTCACGATGCTGTTGCTGGGTGGTATTTGCAATGTGGAGAGAGGCAATGTATGTCTCGGTCCTTGGTCAAATAGATTCATCTTCTTCCTTCTAGAAATTTACATCCGCTCTTCTCACTCTCATTCCTGGAACCCATTGAGAAGGGATCCGCGTACAAATATCGTCCCTGGTCGTCGCCACTCATCAATGAAGCCTCTTCCATTTTGGCTCTCCATCGTCATTGGAATCGCATCGATTATACTTTTTCGAGAACACATATTGGGTATAGCATTCGCAACGGCCACGAGCCTATTCAATTCATTGAGCAATATTCAGAACAGGAGCGTGTTCGACATTGAAGCCAGGTCTTCGCAGCAACAGCCGCAGCAGCAAGAATCGCAAGTAGACGACCACCTGTACGCCACCGACATGTCTGTCCCTCGCGCGATCCGCAAGGTCTTCCTGGCCGTCGAACAGGCCGAGGGCGCTGGTGCTCGCGTCCGCCGCTCCATCGGCACACCTCAGCTCAAGAACTTTTCACCATTTTTGATGCTTGGTTAGTGATCCTACCACCATCGCTCACTTCTTTCTTCATGTTGAGCCTAAAATTCTAGCTTGCTAACACGAGATTACGAAGACCACTTCAGCATCGCCCCTGGCTCGGGCTTCCCGGACCACCCCCACCGCGGACAGGAGACAATCACCTACCTCCTCCACGGCGGCGTCGACCACGAGGACTTTGCCGGCAACAAGGGCACCATTGAGGCTGGCGACCTGCAATTCATGACGGCCGGCCGCGGTATCATGCACGCCGAGATGCCCAAGCAGAACCCGGATGGCAGCGCCAACGTCGGCCTGCAGCTGTGGGTCGACCTGCCCAAGCACCTCAAGGCCTGCGAGCCGCGGTACCGCGACCTGCGGGCCAAGGAGATCCCCACCGTCGACGTCGACGGCGGCAAGGTCCATGTAAAGGTCATCTCGGGCCAGAGCCACGGGGTCGACTCGGTGCGGGACCTGGCGTACACGCCGGTATGGATCTTGGATATCCAAGTCAAGCCCGGCGGCCAGATCGCGCAGCCGGTGCCCAAGGGGTGGAACACCTTCGCGTACACACTTGAGGGGCAAGCCATTTTCGGCGCGGGGACGCAGAAGAGGGTCGTGGACCAGTTCCACAATGTCGTGTTTGAGGAGGAGGGCGAGATTGTCAACGTCGAGGTCGATGCCAGCGCGGAGAAGGATGCGAGGTTCGTCCTCATCGCCGGGACGCCTCTCGACCAGGAGGTCGTGCAGTACGGTCCATTCGTCCTGAGTTCCAAGGCCGAGGTGTACCAAGCCCTGATGGACTATCAGACTCACTCCAATGGGTTTGAGAGGGCTGAGGGCTGGCAGAGTGAGATTGGAAAGACCATGATTGAATGAGATGACGCAGTTTTGCGTTTCCTAGTTGGCTTGTAGTTTAGAAGCATCGTGTATTTCCATCTTTTGGCATCGAGCGGAGGGGCATTCATTCTCTTGGGTTTGTAGCATCACAAAGGAGGAAAACGAAGGGTGAACAAGATACCACAGGATTATAGGATCTAGTAAAAGAGCTTTCGTTAGTAAAGAAACAAAAAAGAAAAACCCTGTTCATCATATTCATCATATTTGCTATTCTAATAGAGGCTTGTTGGCAGCTCAAGTGCACAGGCTGTCACAGAACCGCGGTAGATCAAGCCGCTCTGATCGACTCCTTAGCTTTCAATATGTATTCGGAACCTCACTTTGCAACTGGAATCTCAAAAATAAGAGAGTGGATCTAACATCTTTTTTCATCGCTTCGGACAAGTATACTTATCGACCGAGAATCTTCTCAAAAATGTCTCGTTTTGACAAAGGCGAGTAAGAGGTAGGACTAATGGCTGTGGGCAACATTGATTGCTGAGGTGCCGAATACTGTGAATCTGTAGAGCCCGTCTGCAGAAGTCACTCGAAGAACTCGGGACGGGAACGGGTACGCACTGGCCACCAATGTTCCCCAGCTCTCCCTTTCCCTGCTGTCGGACCCATGCGTGCCATGCAACCTGGAAGCAAGGTACACGAAACCGAGTCGCGGCATGCAATGCGATGACCTCCCAACCCAACACCCACCAACGACATGATTAATGACGACGCCCTAAAAATACCCCCGAACCCTCTTCACCAAATGCGCAATTGATACCCGAACCGATCGACAGATAACTCGTCAGCCATTCATCGACGAGATTCCTCATAATTCGACCCTACGCTCGCCAGCCCAGCTGACTCCAGCCAACCCGCCATGGATGCGCCCATCCCTAAGCTCGCGGAGCTCCTCCGCCACCCCGACGACCTCGAGAAGATTGCCGGCCTAAAGCAGGAGTTCTCTCGCAAGAAGACCGCAGTCGATTCCCAGCTCCGCAGCGGTCTGCGCGAGCAGCTCGAGACCACCCAGTCCGGCATGACGGGCTTGACGGACGGCCAGAAGACGGTGCAGCTGATCAAGGAGGAGATGATCAAGATCGACCGCCTGTGCTCCGAGTCGCAGAACATGATCAAGGACTTCAACAGCATAAACCTCGTCTCCCAGGCCCACCGGAATTTCGGTGCCGTCGAGGCCATGCGCAAGAACCTGGAGACCTTCAACGAGCGGCTGGCCATTGTCGATCGCATGCTAGATGAGGACGAGGGGGACAAGGAGAATATGCCCAACCTGCTTCCGATTCACTACGAGCTGACGCAGTTGAGAAATATCCGAGACGATGCCATGGAACAGATCCAGAGGGCGGAAGACCCGAGTCTGGAGTCGACGCTCGAGGATTACTTCCAGAGGCTGGACACCATGATTGACTGGTTTGATGAGCATATTGGCATTTTGGCGCTGAATCTTATCAACTTGGTGGTCAATGACAACAACGGACTGGTCGTACGCTTCGCCGTGGTTATCGAGGCCGAGGAGAAGAGTGACCAGAGGGTGCTGGCACTGCAGGAGGCGCTCAAGGACCACAAGGAGATGGCAACGAGGTTCCAGAGCATCACGGACGGCGCGAAAAAGGTGCGAGGTTACAAGGACAAGTTCACAGAGGCCATAAAGATCAGCGTGGAGGGCCAATTCAACGAGGCCAGGGGAGAATTCCTCGATGACCCCTCGGCTCTGGACAAGATTCTCAAGTGGTATTTCAACGACCTGAACGCCGTTAAGATGGGCATGACGCCATTGATGCCCAAGAAGTGGAAGATCCTCAAGACATATGGCGGTATATACCACCAGATGATGCACGACTTCCTTGTCGGTATGATTGATGACCCAGATGCAGCTTCTGCCAACACGTTGGAGATCATCAACTGGCCTGAAAAGTACTACAAGAAAATGAAGAAGCTCGGCTTCAAGCAGGAGGATCTGGCGCCCCACGTCATCGACTCGAGAGAGACGGAGTTGGTCCGCGACTTTAGGCAGCTCATCATCAAATTCCTCGACGAATGGATCGAGCGCATCTTCAACGCCGAGCAAAAGGACTTTGCCGAGCGCAACGTTGAAGGCTCCAACCTTGACCAGGACGAGTACGGCTACTTTAGGTCCAGGAACCTCGTCGACATGTGGCGTATGATGCGCGAGCAAATTGACGCCGCCGTCAACTCGAAGCGCGTCGACGTTATTGAAGGTGTCATTGACGCCATGTTCTTGAGATTGCGCGGCAGACAGCAGTCGTGGCAGAAGATGCTCGAAGAGGAGGCCATCAGATTCGAGACGGGCAAGGTCCCGGAGCTCGAGGGATTCCAGCCCCTCCAGGACTGGCTCGTCGCCACGGCAAACGACCAGATTGCGTGCGTCGATGATAACGAAGACGAGAACAGGTTCGGCTACCTCTCCAACTTTAAGCAAAAGTTTGAGCCGCTCGTGTCGCCGGCGTACCTGGAGCGGGCAGAGACCGAAGTCGAACTGCTGCGCGATGGCTACATCGACTTCAGCACGTGGTGCATCACAAAGTTTGTGCAGCTCATCTTCTCGGTCGACTTCAAGCTCGTCATGCCAGACTTCTTCACAACAAAGTGGTACACGAGCACGGCCATGAAGCAGATGGTGGTCACCTTTGAGGAATACGTCGGTGACTACCGCCAGGTCCTCCACCACTCCCTCGTCGACATCTTTACCGAGATCTTTTCGGACGAGCTCCTCGTGCGCTACCTCTCGTCGGTGCGCAACAAGGGTGCAAAGTTCCGCCGCGCCGATCCCGTGCAGGACAAGCTCTTCAACGACATTTCGACGGCGTTTGAATATTTCAGCGCCCTGCCGAACCCCGACGTCGGAAACTCGGTCAAGCAGACGTGGCGCGTCACCGAGTACTTTTTGCAGCTCATCACCGTCGACAAGGATGCCATTCCCGACACGTTTGAGGCTTTCAAGACGGCCTACTGGGATCTGCAGGTCAACTGGGTCGAGGCGGTGCTGCGATCGCGCGACGACTTTGAGAGGAGTATGCTAAACGCCGTCAAGGCGAGGGCGGCGCAGATTGATGTTGTCAGGGGCCCCGAGACCATCATGGGCAAGGTCAAGTGATTGACAACCAAGAACATTGAGTCAGGAAGTGAGGTGTCTTGTTACATATATATATATATGTAGTCAACCATGGGTTCGAGTCGCCCAAGAAGGGGATCGAGCCCGAGTCACGAGGATAATGAGCACGCCAATGGGATGACGGAAGCATCTGGAAGGGTACAAGGTGGAAACGATGCTCTCGCAAGAGAATGAATATATGGATGATTACGTTTCGGCGTACTCTTTACTCATTGTGCGGTGACGGAACTGGCTGAAGACAAGATGTACGAGGAAGCATCTGTGTATTTGTCATTTTGTCACGGCTTTCAAAGTAAGCCATGCTACTCAATGGAACAAGCAATCAACAACGACAGCAATAACAGCAACAAGGCTGACCATGTTCAAAAGAAGCCATGACCTGGAATGGGTATACGTTGAGAATGACGCGTTTCCAAGTGATTGATCTAAAATGCAGCCCACAAGTTCATCTACAGCATCAAAGAGGTCGTGCATGCTCGCACGCAAGTAATCAATCATGGCACTTTCACCCATCAGCTGTGAAATCCTAGTGGCTTCTATTGATGACAAGGGAACCAAGTAAGTAACGTAAAACCAGAATGATAGAAAAGGTTTTGCAACATTGCTATGCTAGTGTTGAATCGACATGTACATCCTACATACACATTAATTGCCGGAGGTCCACCATGATCCAAAGGGAGAATCCAGCGGCCTGGCGTAACGGGGGGTTTGAGGGATTGCTGAATAACTTCCAGATACATTCAGGTATCTCCTAGGCCAAGCGGTAAAAATTAGGCGCTTGCAATCATGGGGGTTCACGCTCCTTTGCCTCCCATTAGGAAATCAAACTGCGTGTCTGTTCTCTTCTTAATTGTATGGCTGCTATCCTTACGACTGGCTAGCAAGATAGTTGGCAGCCTCAGGAAAAGGTTAGTCCTGTGAACAAAGAGTCACGCACGCAAATCTCAAAGAAACCCACTTACCCTTTCCAAGTTGTAGTCATACTTTTCCAAGGCGAGAATGGAATCCTCTCTTGAATAACCCATACTGGTAAGATTCTTCAAGATTGGATCGTCATGCTCGCCTGTGTGTGTGAGAGCTCTACCGGGGGTTGGTCGAGTCGCTTCTGCAGGGGGAGCAGGAGCACTTTTTGTGGGGTTCGCATTGGCGTCACTGGGTGAATCGAGACTGGCAAAGATGGCATCCCAGTCCTGAGCATCCGGAGCTGCTGCTGGGCTTTTTGATGCCGCACCAGCGTTGCCACCAGCGGCGGTGTTTGGTGACACCGATCCAAAGTCGTAGCTGCTCTCGTGTCCAAACGCAGTGGACTCTGTCTTGGCTTGGCTAGGCGGCGGGCTGCTGTCGAAGACGGGGTTGAAGTCATCCAGCCCAGATCTAGATATCGTCTGGAAGTCATCATCGGCAGAACCCTCTTTGGCATCTTCCAGACCCTCGAACTCATCGTCAAGATCGTCAAAGGAAGACTGAGCCTTGGGCTCCGGACGTTGTGCAGCCGCAGCTGCAGGGACAATGGCAGCCTCCGATGCCTCAGGGATAGAAGCCGCTGCAGCAGTCGCTTCAGGGACAGGCGTAGAAGGGACCGGATCCTCAGTGACAGGAGGAGCAGCCGCAGCTACAGCTGCAGTCGGAGAAGTGGCATCCTTGGGCTCTGTGGGAGGTTCAGTCTTCTTTGCTTGAGGAGACGCCGGGGCAAAGTCATCATCAAAGCCGCCACCCTCGCTCGCAGTGTCCGAATCATCGTCATCGTCGTCGCGATCAAGCTCGGAGATGGGTGGGAATTCAGAATCGAAAGCTGAGAAGGGTTTGTTTGAGTCAGCACCAGACTTGTCAGAGTTATTGTGCGCGCTGGTAAAGCTTGCAAACGCATCATCGAAATCAGCCTTGGCGTCGTTCGGGCCCATTGCTGCAAATGGGTCAGAATCCGCCGCAGCCGCAGCAGCAGCAGCAGCAGCTCCATTGCTCGAAGGCTTCGCATCACCTTTAGCCGCGGGCTCATGGATGCTCGCAGTTGAGGTAGATGCCGTGCTCTGACCCGTGGCCGTAGGCTCGAGGGGGAACGCTCCAGGCAGTGAGCTTGCCTGAGGAGTCTCAACATCGGCCCCGGCTCGAGAAGCAGGCGGCGAGACAGCACGAGAAGAGCTCAGAGACTCGTTTGCGTCGGCAAACGGCAGAAAGCTCGAACTGATCTGTCTAGACTGCGGAGGAGCAGGAGGCTCTGCTGCAAGGGTAGCTTGCCTGCTGATGGTGGGAGGTGTGGAAACAGGAGGTGTCGAAAACGAGCCCAAGCTAGCGGTCGACGCACCTGTGTGTTGCGGGTTGAATGAGGTAGCGGGCGGCGGGGTGCTAGTAGAACCGACAGGAGGGAATGCTGGCCCGAAGACATCGTCAAAAGACTTGTCGCCGCTCGAAGGCTTGGCAGGTGGCGGCGAAGTGAAATTTCCCATGATATCAGTACTTCCCGTCCTCTTAAAGAAGGGATTGTTTCCACTGGCTGTCGAAGGTGTTGGGCTGGCTACTTGAGCAGACGACGCGACAGGAGAGCTCGTGTTCACCTGGCGAGACAACTCCTCGTTGCTCTTATGAAGATCAGCGATCTCAGTTTGAAGCTTGTCACGCTCACCCTCGTTCGTTGTCAACTGCTTCTTGTTGATGGCAACGAGTCCCTTTTGCTGTCGCGCCTCAGACTTGAGTTTCTCGATCTGCGGCTTGAGCTGGGCGATTTCTGCATTGAGATCTCGGATCTTCTCCTTCAAACTGGCGTTCTCTTGCTGATCAGCCTGCAGTGCGGCATAGACTTGCTGGTGCTGCGTCTGTAGGTCCCTGTGGGTGCCGTCTAATGTCATGCATTCGCCTTGTAGCTTCTTTGTCTCGTTTCTCGAGGTATTGAGCTGCACCTGCAAAGATTCAACGTCTTTAGCTTCCTTCTCATACATGGTACGGAGTTGGGCCAAGCGGTGCTCAAAGTTCTTCTTCTGCGAGTTGGCTTGATTGAGTTCGTTCTGCGTTGTGGTGCGCTGTCCCTGAACCTCCTGCATTTGCTTGGACAGAGAGCCGACCTGGTTGGACAGGTTCGCAAGCTCAGCGGTCTCGTTTGTCAGTTTCTTGCTGACCTCGGGGTCCCCATCTCCCAACAGATCTTCAGATGCTGGGGAAGCAGGGGCCCGGCCAGAGTTGGAGTCTCCTGTGTTGTGAACCGCAAGTCCCCGTCCGAAAGAAGACGAGGGCACAAATGGCTTGAACTGATTTCCGGTGGGCGACGGTCGGATGGGGGAAGAAGGTGCCAGAATAGCCGAGCCCGAGCCGAACGGATCGTTCGCATTCGAGCCGCCAGTGGACAGGGCAACCTGTGCAGGAGCGGGAGCTGGTGGTGTGTCAAGGCCAAACAAGTCATCAAGAGCAGACTTCGGAGCGGCCGGGGTCGGGGTCGGAGCGGGAGCGGGAGCGGGAGCCTGGGGCTGGGTTGGGGGAGGAGCATCAAAGGGAGATCCCGAGGTCTGAGGACGGGCTTGCGTTCGCAGGCTAGGCGGAATGAGGTTGGGTGGAAGTGATGCCGGGAGGGAGACGGTGCCATCCCGTCTCGTTCGCTGCTGCCGGATCAAGTACATGGCAACGGCGAAGGTGTCTCTGTTCAACCGGCCCTCGGAGTTGATGTCTGCGAGGTCCCAAATCTGGGCCAAAGCGTCCTCTGGGAGGTTCGATTGACTGAGGAAGGGAACGGCCTCCTCGCCAGTGATGAAGCCTTTGTGGCTCTTGTCCAAGTCATTATAGAGGATATCGAAGCGCTGCTTGTCATCGGGAGTGACCAGCCAGTCGCTGGCGGGAGAACCAGTTGCCTGCGCGGTGATGGGCGGACGGCCGAGGGGGCTGCCGGCACGATACTGGGCTGAGCCACTGAGTTGCCGCGGAATCGCGGAGATAGGCCCAGTTGCGGTGGGCGACTGTCTGGGGGCGGTAGGTCCGCGTCGCGTAGCGGCCTCATAGAGCGGCGCTGGGAGGATATTGGGCAAGCCTCTCAGGGCACCCGTCTTCATTGATGTAAGTAGATGCATGGCAATAACGAACTCGGTCAGAACCAAGGCTCCACGCTGTTCAGTGTCGGCTAGTTGCCAGATTCTGCCAAGCACCTCGGTCGGCAGGCCCGATTTCTCGAAGATGGACTTGGCTGCGTCGCCAGGCAGGAGATTGCCTGCTTGAAGCGGTTGACGCTCGAACAACCCAGAGTATTGATTGACCTTCTCAGGTGTGAGAGGAGGGATCCTGATGGAACCACCGCCAGTGCCTTGGGCTTGCAGAGCCGCAGCGGGCGGAGGTGTAGGAGACGCGAGACCTGCTGGAGGAGGCATGCCATCGAAGCGCGGCAGTGGTCCTGGCTGGAGGGCTATCTCAGTCGTCGGTTCTCGTCCAGCTTGACAGTGGCCGATGAGTCTCAGCACCAATCCAAAGCCTGCTGGGGTTAAAAAACCCCGATTCTCCTTGTCTGCGATCTGCCATATCTGCAGTTGTTGGCGTCAGCTATCGTGGCCGATTCTCAGTATTGATACCGGGTTGTCTACTTACCTCTCCCAGCACTCTTGAATCGAGCCGAGTCTTCTCAAAGAACTTGACAGCGGTCTCGCCAGTTACAACTCCTACGCTTTCGGTATCGGCTTGCCGGAACAGCTGACCATAGAGACGTTTCTCTTCGGGGGTCAGATTGAGGTTCGGCGCGGCTATGAGACACGATTGTCGTCAGTACGCCGGCTCTTTTGCGTCGGCGCGCAAGCGCTGCGTGTACTTGCGCACTCACCGGCATCGACGCCCTCGGCAGACATCTTCGAATATCACAGCTCCTTGCAGTAGGAGCTACGGTTGCTGCGCGGCTTGAGGTGGCCCAGGTCTGGCTGATTGGCGGGAAGGTCGGTTGGTCGTCGTCAGTTTCGATGCGGCCTCCGGGGGGTTGGGTGGGTGATCGACTCGGGTTCTAGCAACCAGAAAACAACACGTTAGAGGCCACACACATTGAAGAGAAAACATGGAGGTGGTGTCAAAATACCTTGTGCACAGATACTGTGCCCGGTTCTGTTATCTCGGAGAGAGATGCAACAGGACGTATCTCGTGTATGTACGTTGTATCCTCCAAGTTAGGTAGCGAGCAGCAGGAGGTCGTTTGTGAGCGGCTGGGGGCGGTTGGTTCTCCGCTGACAAGTCGTCAGGCTAAGGCAATTCGCAAGCCAAGCCACCTAAGGTACCTCTGCCCTGCAGAGGAGGTACGTATTCCAGCTCTGCCCGTGTCAACGTGCACCGACGTGCCCCATAATTAAAGCCTGGGCACACTGCCCACTGCAACCCCCATCAAATGCATCCGACTCCTCCGCGCCGTGTTTTCGGTGCCACGGCATCCTGTCTGCTTTCCATATGGTATACTTACCTTACCTTAGGTTCCTTTGACTACAGTATTTCGAGGACGATTGTGTGATGTGGTAAATACAGCTCAGATATTGCCGAAAACAAAACCTTGAGCTTAGTCTCGAAAGTAACATGAATTCCATGACTAAAGGTTGACAGAACAGCATCACTTGAGCTGAGTGGAAACCTGAGTTAAGGTATGGTATCGTAGGTACAAAGATGGACAGAAAGTACGTAGCACCACACAATCAATCTGAAGCTTTGAGGTGATTCATCCCCGTGGTATTAAAGTCGGCTATTCTTTTCTCATTCTAACAACTGAAGTAAACACGCGTTTGGCCCCGTGGGACAGCATCATTGCAAACATCCATGACACCAAAGTCTGCGCCCCATAAAGAATTGGGGTGCTGTTGCTGTGCAACTTGATCCGCATCCAATCACCAGGATATACACATCTTAGTACTCAGCCTCAAGGCCCTCCTCACCCTCGAGGGAGTCGGCGGCAACCTCCTCGTAATCACGCTCCAGAGCAGCGAGATCTTCGCGAGCCTCGGAGAACTCACCCTCCTCCATACCCTCACCAACGTACCAGTGAACGAAGGCACGCTTGGAGTACATGAGATCGAACTTGGTCGACAGGGCGGACCAGGCCTCGGCGATGGCAGTGGTGTTGGAAAGCATGCACCTGGGACAGCCGTCAGCGACATACACTCTTACTCTTGGGCGATGATAGCAAAACTTACACAGCACGGCTGACCTTGGCGAGGTCACCGTTAGGCACCATCTGGGGAGCCTGGTAGCAGATACCAAGCTTGAAGCCAGTGGGGCACCAATCGACGAATTGGATGGTACGCTTGGTCTTGAGAGTAGCGACAGCGGCGTGGGCATCGTTGGGAACGACATCACCGCGGTACAACAAGCAAGTGGCCATGTACTTGCCGTGGCGGGGGTCACACTTGACCATCTGGTTGTTGGGCTCGAAACAAGACATGGTCATCTCTTGGACGGAGTTGGCCTCGTGGGCGGCCTTCGCGGCTGAGATCATGGGCGCGTAGGCAACCAGGGGGAAGTGAATACGAGGGTAGGGGACCAGGTTGGTCTGGAACTCGTTCAAGTCGACGTTGAGAGAGCCGTCGAAGCGGAGGGAGGCGGTGATGGAGGAAACCACTGCGGGCCACTCGTCAGTATCTCATATCTGATTGAGGCTGCGTTACATTGTTGTAAAACTTACCTTGAGCAATGAGGCGGTTGAGGTTCTCGTAGTTGGGACGCTCAAGACCCAGGTTGCGACGGCAGATGTCGTAGATGGCCTCGTTGTCGACCATGAAGGAGCAGTCGGAGTGCTCGAGGGTGGTGTGGGTGGTAAGGATAGAATTGTACGGCTCAACGACAGAGGTGGCGGTCTGAGGAGCGGGGTAGACGCAGAACTCAAGCTTGCTCTTCTTTCCGTAGTCGACAGACAGACGCTCCATGAGCAGAGCGCCGAAACCAGAGCCGGTACCACCACCGAAGGAGTGGAAGACAAGGAAGCCCTGGAGACCAACGCAGTTGTCGGCAACGCGGCGGACCTTGTCGAGAACCTGATCGATGAGCTCCTTGCCGACGGTGTAGTGGCCACGAGCGTAGTTGTTGGAGGCATCCTCCTTGCCAGTGATCATGTGCTCGGGGTGGAAGAGACCGCGGTAGGGACCGGTGCGAACCTCGTCGACGACATTGGGCTCAAGATCGCAGTAGATAGCACGGGGGACGTACTTGCCCTGGCCTAGGTACATTCCGTTTCATCAGTACGCTACTCCACAGAGAGTTGGGGTTTTGTCGGGCTCAACCATACCAGTCTCGGAGAAGAAAGTGCTGAAACCATGATCGGGATCGGCCGCCTTACGCTCCTCGGTCAAGTATCCATCGGGCTGGTGAGAGAGATATGGGTTAGGATCTTGGGCCCAGTCACGACGAGGCGAGTCGAAAGCTTACCTGGATACCGTGCTCAAGGCAGTAAAGCTACAAGACGATGACGATTAGCTCTCTCCTCCGAATTGGCGGTGCCGGGTTTTCTTCGAATATCGTTTGGACAAGTCGTTTCAATAGTCGACTCGGCGATTTGGGAATATCGAATGAACATAAGGAGAAACATACCTCCCAACAGGAGTTGGCGATCTGGCAACCGGCCTGACCGACTAAAGGAAGTAGTTAGCAAGTGTTCAAAAGCAAAAAAAGCCGAAAGGCTGTCGTGGCAAGTGATTGCCGCAGGCGCATCTTGTAGCTGGGGGCGAGGATGCGGTGAAGCAAGACGCGTGGGGTTGGGGGATCAAAACAAAAGTCGGATTTGCTTACCGTTGATGCTGATGACCTCACGCATGTTGGCGACGAATTGGATGAGGGTATCGACAAGCGACTGAAAGAGGAGAGCAAAGAAGCAGGACTTGAGGAGGTGAGAAGCAAGCAAAAAATGTCGTCTTTGCAGCTATCACGAGAGGATGTCGGACAGGAGGTTGAAAAGGTCAGGTTGGGCCTGGCAAGTGCAAGGGGAAGGAATAATAGGTACTGGGCTCGTGCTTGTGTCTTTTCGGTGCCGCGGTGGACTGTCTATGGACTGCCAACTGATGGTGCTGGCAGGACCGGGGCGTGGAGACCTCTGGACATGAGGTGAGGTGGGACGTGGGACCAGGTTCCTCAGGTGGTCAAAAATCTGGGTGGGGTAGGAAATTTGGTGCGCCAGGGGCCGTGCGGCGAGTCCAGCGAAGTTTTGTTGATATGAATGGGCCCGAAGTGGTAAGCGCGTCTGCCCACGTCTGTTGTCGTTGGCGATTCTGTCCAATGGCAGGAGCAGACGCCAGGAGGCAACGGGGATGTCTATTGGCCCCTGAATGGGGGATTCGGCAGGTACAGGGCAGCTTTGGGTACGTATCTCGGACGCTGGGAAACATTGGAGAATTCGCTCTGCGGGCTAATCTGCCATTGGCAGGTAAGGTTCACCGCACTTCGCTGGTCCCGAGCATGCCCTGCTACCGAGACCGAGGAAAGGTGCTTTAGGTAAGGTCCCTTCTGTGGTTCCTAAGGTTGTCGCGATTGACAGCTCGCAGTACGGGAAGCGAAGGAACACAATTCATCTCGGTCACAGAGGACACTACAGATTGCCCTGTGTGCGAAGTATGGAACACTCCTCTACGCTTCGAGCCGGGTGATCCAATCTTTGCTCGGTATGTTCCACGACGGATAGAAATGGAGACCCCAGCAGGGCCTTTCTGCGGTCATGTATGGGTACCTAAGAAAACTACCTTGGGCAACCCAACGTTGACCCGTCGTTGAAGAGACAGTCTCGATCTCCAGTTTGCCAGATCAATGATCGATGTGGGTGAGGGGCTAACGGAGTACGGTCTTCTTCTCTGTAGCCCCGAGGTGACTTCGAACATCTTTCAACCATCGGACATTATCTAGCCGGAGAAATCGCGGCCCAAAGAAAACACAAGAGTCCCTTTCCTCCGCACCCACGGCACCCAAGGGAGTTAATTTGTAAGGCGGGTTCCGCTCTTGATCAGGCTCCAGGAATCTTCAATCACCGAGTGGAAACGGGGCCCATCGGCGAACCGTGATGGCGGTAATGAAGCAGCAGCCTGGCGTAAAGTCAAAATGGAATAGGATAAAAACGTTTAATGTTTCATAATGTAGAAGCCTGGGGTCTAAGACAAGAAGGACCCGAAGGCACCTTGAAAGAGCAGATTGTTTGCGGCCTTGCCTGGTATTTTTTTTTTTCGTTACCTACCTTACTAGGTTGGCGAGAGGCAGGCCCAAGTTCCAATCCTCCGAGTCACAGATCAAAACATGCCAGCCAGTCCCCTCACCCCCAACACCCCTGTCTACTACTCACACACACACGCACGCACACATTGCTCGCCAAGTAATCCCTACCTATCAAACAGCTTCGTCCAACTACATCGTTGATTACCGTTGACCACCGCCGCGACTACCCATCAAAACAAAGGCAGTCCAGGCAGCCAACTACTCCTCAAGGCTTCCAAATTCCTCGAGGAACCGAAATCTGCTGCCTTGCCAATAGCCAACCATCAATATGCGGCTAGCCTTCGCCGCCGGCCTGGCGCTGCTGGCCTGTTGTCTTGATGTTGTTCGGGCCAATACCGAAAAGGTCATCTTTCTCGGGCCCGAGACCGTCAACGTTCCGGCCACGCCACCGACACTTGACGATCTTCGTTTAGACGTCCTCACACCCGATGAGTGGTCCAAACGGGTTGAATTGCAGGCGTCATTTCCAACGCCGGACTCTCCTTTGGGAACGACGACGTGGCTACTGCTCAACATCTTGACCCAAGGTCAGCGTTATGAGCTTCGAGTATGTTGGGCCGCCACAGTAAGTTGTTGAACCTCGTTATTATCTGGTATTTATTGCTTATTACGTACAGCAACCCACGGCTTTCGCACTCGATGTCTTTGAGTTGCCCGTCGTTTGGGATACTCCCGAGCTCATCTCGTCGCTGGCAACTTACGCATCCTTGCGTCGGTCTGACCAGGATGATGTCGACGCGCACGAGGCCTCGCGAAGAGCAAACCAGGAGCATGAAAATTCGCTGCTGTTTCTTCGGGTTTCGGCCTCGGCGGACTATTTCACAGACAACGACACACTCATGGCCCAAGTCGAGCCCGTCAGCGTTGACCTTATCCTCGATCCGTTCTTGTTCAATGTTTTGCCACGATCCTTGGTGCCTACCGTCGCTTATGTCGTCTTCGTGGCGTTTTCGGCTTGGTTCCTATCTAAACGCATTCTTGCTTGGATTCAACCGGTGCTCGCCACTGAAGGCAAGTCCGCGGAAAAGAAGAAGAGGCTCTGAGCACGTAACTACTGCAACGTATCGCCTTCTCCGTGCATTCATCTCTTGCTCAAAACGAAAGGACCTCTAACGACAGGAATTCCATTGGGTACAAAACGCTCCTGTGTCTTGCGTCAAACAATATCCAAGACTCGTCGCACTTCTCCCATCCTCAAGCAGCAAGACATGCAAAGGGTAAAATAAAATCCGGGGTTTCTTGCCAAATCAGCATGCCCTGTGTCATTCTTGAGCATATCTCACTAGGAGAAACAAACGTCTAGGTGCAACAACCCACGCGCACAAGTGACGTCGAGAGCCGCCTCATACCTCACTTGATTATGGAAGCACTCTTTGAATTTACGCATCTTGACAAACATCTAGTAGTGGTTGCCATAGCTGGGTTGTTGGGACGGCTGGCTGCCGTACGAAGGTTGACTGGGATATCCTCCTCCAGTTTGAGGGCCTTGGGGGCCGCTAGCATAAGTGGCCGGGTTATATCCTCCGTATTGTTGCTGCGGTTGATGCTGCTGCTGCTGCTGCTGGTGATTTGGCTGGGCACTGTAGGTAGCGTGCTGACCATATGAAGGGGCACCACCAGCGGGTGGAGGTGGGTATGACTGAGTGTGAGACTGTTGAGATGGAGCGCCGTAGGAGTTGTTGTGATGCGGTTGACCTTGATTTGGCGGAGGGGGATACTGATTAGGCGGTGGTGCATATGACTGCTGCGAATGGTTCTGACCCTGGTTCGGCGCGGGGGAGTGGTATGAACCTCCCGTTGGGGTAGACGAGTGCTGGTTGTGCGAAGATGAACCAGGTGGCTGATAAGAAGTAGGAGGAGCCTGGCCTGTGTAGCCGCCGCCGCCGCCGCCGCCGCCAGAAGCATTGTTGGAGTAACCGAAATCGTTGTTGCTCTAGATGTTTAAAGTCAGTCATCCGCCCCGGAACCCATCGTGTGGTTTTTGACATACACCATGACTCTGCTTGTTTCCGCCAAACATGGTGGCAACGCCGCCCATTAAAGATCCAGCAAGGCCACCTTGTTGTTGGTGACCCGAAGACTGACCGCCATGGTAGTTTTGCGACTGGCCCTGCTGAGACTGCTTCCCGCTGGAGAGCAGGCTCGATGCCAGAGAGCTACCAATATTGCCCAGGGAACTCTTGCCACCCCCGCTGCTACCGCCGTGACTGTTACCGTGCCCACCAATACCGTTCATCAATTGACTGGCAATGCCGCCGAATGGGCTTGAGCCGCTTTGGTTGCTGGAAGAGGAGCCGTGGTTCGAATTCTTGCCGGCGCCGAGAAGCGCATTCATGGCCATGCTCTGGGGAGGGACCAAGTCAGTAATCGTACTCGGACACAAGTCAGAAACAACGCGGCCGGCAAAAAATGCACGGCATGGAAAGGGCGAGAGAGGGTCGCAGGGAACATACACCAAGCCCGCGATCTCCTGTCTGGCCATCGATGCCCCTCGTGCTCGTGGTGTCGGGAGGCATAGAGGGGTTGACGGGTTCAAGGGTGCCATCGGCGTGCCGCACGGTCTGGCTGCCGTCAGGATGAGTGATGACCTCGGGTTGAGGAACACCATAAGGATGATCGGAAGGCTGGGCAGGTGTCGCGCCGGTGGGCGCGGCATCTGTCGGGGTCTCCCATTGCGAGACACCTGTGGAAAGCTGCACGAAGTAGTACTTCTTGCTCGCACCATCCCACTGGGCAATCCAACCAGCAGGAAGATGGGGCGGGGCATACGTGGGGCCCTCGGCGCCCGGTGAGGTCGGCCCTGCCATCGGAGAGGATGTAGAGGTCGTCCGTCGAGTCGGTATGAGGCGCGAAGGAGACCCAGCGGACGGCGAGTGTGATGCTGCTTTGGGGGGATCGTCAACAATGGATGTGTGGTGTTGTCGGATACCAAAAGTGGCAGGGAAGGAAGGGTGCGGTATTGATGAATGTAAGGTAAGTTAAAGTCTGGATGGACACCCTACGGATACGGGTAAATGGTGGGCGTATCGGCACTACAAGTGGGTGGCTACAGGGTACAGGCAGTGTAGAGGGCAACCCGGATTTAGGAGCCCAGGGTCTACCTTAATAAGGTAAAGTTCTATTGCAAAAGGGGGGTCCATCCAGTGCTGCTGCGCTCTGACTGACTATTTACCCATTTCCCTCAGAGAAGCCCGGACAATATGGTCAGCCACCACATACACTGACACAGGCACAGACAAGACACGAGTTTGTCGTGAGAGGGGCAAGGGCATGACATCTGCATCGAGGCTGGCTTGGCCAGGTCCCTAACTACTTTGCCTCAAGCAAAGGTGGGTGACTGATTTGTGGTAGACACTTGAGGGGTCAGGGATCACCAGGGAAGTAGCTGGTAGTGTACTAGGCAGCTGAGATATCGAGAGTGAGGGAGGGCAAGGAAAGCATCAGCGCAATCCCACCCAGTCCCTCGCCGAGAATAGACTTGCGTGTCTGGTGCGGAGAGGCCAGGGCAGACCAGATGATTCCAACCTCGCGAGTCCGAACTATGTCTTTGACGGACCTTCATACCAGAGGCAATCAGGTGGCCAGGTCAATTGGGCAACAAGAGGGTGCTGCCAGAAGTTGGACTTGAGGTGAACTGAGGTGGGTTAAGGTTGGGCGCCAGTGGGGTCGGGCTTGACTAGGGGGGGCAGCTGGCCTGCGAAGATGAGCTGCAAGGCGACTGCGATTGCGACTGTCTCTGACTTCCTCCTCTCTTGCGGTCTACCAGGCCCGGGTTTGCAACTAGGAAGAGAGGACCCATTCACAACCTACGAGACATTGCTGGATGATTGCAAAGTGCTTGCCTCACTGCCGCCTTGGAGGGTGATGACGGCTAAACACAGCCCCATCAGAGTTGCTGAAGGTCGCTGCTCGGGCTGATGTACTTAGATAGTATCCGACCACGGTCCACGCATCTGCAGTGGGCGGCCTCTGAAGCAATGACGGCCAAACACATCTCCTGCCCGGCTCAGTTAGTCCAGGTCGAGTCCAGGTCTACATACCTCCGCATACCTTACCTTAGTACGGACTACTTGCCTGCTGTATCATTGGCTACAACATTCTCTGCGAGTGCACCAGCCACATCTAGCTAGTGCTTTAATGTGGCTTAAGAAGCCTCTTGACCGAGGGAATCCCGCTCATCAACCTTCTGGAGGCTCTCAAGGTAGGAACCTTCCTGAAGGTAGTATCGAGCAAGAGATGCAACACAACCTAGTGTTGGAAAGATGATCAAAGATATTTTTATTCAAAAAAAAAAACTTACGTGCACCCAAGAAACAAGAATAGTCAGATCTGGAAAGCCTCGCAAGAAACTCCTTTATTGTAATATCGCTCGAGTGCGATCGTCCTAGCATGGGGGAGGCAAGTTGCGAATATCCATGTCTTTCAAGTTGTGAGAAAGTGGTCTATTTGTCCATGTGCTTTCAATATGCACAGAGAATGCATTTTCGACCGCCCCGACCTCATCTACGACAGGATTACCTGCCAAGGCTTGACCAATCCCTCATCTCCGGTCGTGACCAACATCTCCTCGACGCCCTTCCTCTCCGAGCCTGCATCGTATCGTTTGCACCATGTAATGTGGTTGACCTCATACGGGCCGTGGGCATTGGGCACCTCTGCCACGACGCGCCACTTGTTCGATCCCACTGGTACATCATCCGGCTTTCCACCTGCAGGAATTGCATCGCTCTCCATCGATACGACGTCCCCGGCATCATCCGTCTTGCGTTCCTCGCTCTCGTCCTCCCGGTACACCGCGATGATGCTATCACTTCCCGTGCTGGCCACTAGCCCCGTTGTCGCGCTCCAAGTTACCGAGTAAATATCACGCGTATGCACCTTGGGCAGGATCGCTGTGCACACCCATTCTTCGCGCAGCGATCTCCGCATGGTATTGGGAATGCCTCTCAATCCACCGCCAAAGCCCCCACGTCCACCCGTCTCATTTTCCTCGTCCTCAACCTGCAGCGTCCATATCCGTATTGTCTGGTCGGCGGAGTAACTGAGCAACCTTGGGAAGGCGCCGTCCTCTCTCGGTTTCTGCTCCCATTGCACACCCCATACGGTGCCTTCGTGACCCTCCAGCACCGACACGCAGACCCATTCTCCGTCGCCGTCCTCGCGCCATATGCGGACGGTGTTATCGTAGCTGCCGCTCGCAAGGACGTCGGCGCTGTATCTCCTCCGTGAGTTGCGTCCCGGCACGTCGGGACACCACGCGATGCCCTTCATGTCGCCGTTGTGCTCGTTCAACACGGCGACCGTCTCCCACTCGTCGTCCCCCTCGGTGGCGCCCACATCCTCCCATATCCATACCGTTTGGTCTCTACTGCACGTGGCGAGGTACGCGCCGGACGGCGCAAAGGAGACGCCCTTGATCTCTGAGTCGTGACCCTCGAGGACAAGAGTGAACTCCCAGTCCTTCTCGCCATCGCTGTCCGCATTGTCGAGAGAGCGACGCGCCGCCTTGCTCAGGTCGATCTCGAGGGGTTCTGCGGCCGCAGCATCGCCGTCACCGGAAAATGGCAGTTCGCCGTCCCAGCGCCAAAGTCCGGCCGTGGAATCGAAGCTGCCGGTGACGAGGCACAGCTGGTGAGGAGGGAGGTTGGGTTTCCAAGCTACCGAGCGGATGGAGCGGGTGTGGCCTCCTGTCAGGGTGCTGTGGGAGGAAAGCGACGAGAGCGAGAATATCTTGACTGATTTGGCATATGCGGTCGCAATGAGCGGCAGCGTGGGGTGAGGTACAGAGCACCAGGCGCGCTCGTAGAGATCGGGTGTGAAGGGTGTGAGAGGGAGGACCTGGACCGCCGTCTTCGGCGCCTCAGCCGACGGACTCATTTTGATGGCGGGGTTGTTGTGAGAGGTCTTGATGGTGGTCGAAGAGTGTTTGCGCTGCAGATGCAATCCGTGAAACAAAACAGTATGTCTGACTCCGAAAGACAGTATCAAAAAATTGCGATTGACCTGCACATTTAATATCGCCTATCTCGAGGTGAAAACCCTCAACAGGGGCTGTTGTATGTGGGTGAGGTCTTGGTGTGGTTTGTTACGGTGCACGATTATGAACCACTATCAGTACCTCGATGCTGAGTGATGCAATCAATAGGTACCCCTCCACACCCCGGCGGATTTTTTCGCATTGGACAGTGAGCAACTACCAGGGGGCCCCGCGTTCCTTCCTTTGGTGTCCCTACAGAAGCTCGGGGAATCATTATTCCAAGGGGTAAGTGAACTAAGGTAAGAAAGAAAAGAAAAAGAAAACGTGACCTGTCTTTGGACCCGGACTTCGGCCCCATTATTCAAGTCCGCATCCGTACATCTCCGGGACCTTTTCCGTTCTTGTCACCCTCGGCCACTCTTTTAATGGAATTAAGTCCACTTACTTCTCAATCAACTTTTCCGAAGTCGAACCGTTCATAGGACTTATCTAGAGAGTTGGCACCTGCGGCGTTTGCAAGCTATCATTGCCAAATCAATACTTTTATCGGCTATCACAGAAACCTCAATGACTTGAATGTACGACCAGAGGCGGTCTCACACATAGAATACCGAGATTGATGGCACATTGAGAACGAATATCTGAACCATGTCAGGCAGGCGATTTTGATGAATTAGAGACCTAAGACCGTCGGCCACCCCTCCTTCTGCAACTCCACGATTGCGGCCCACGTAAGAGTAAGTTAGAAACAAGCTTTTCATGAGTGTGCGACTTAGACCTTGGAGTTATAAAGCAATAATATCCACCTCGAAGTACACCCGGAAGTAAACATTGCGCCTAAGTTATGCTGCTTATTTCCATCCTTCTCCTCCCTCTCTCCCTCTCACTCACTCACTTATAGAGACAGAGTACGAGACAAGAGGAGCACTTATTTGCCTTGGAAAGGCCGTCGGGGGG